CATTTATAAAAAAAATACAGTACAAGGTTAAAATACGCATAATTGTTCACAAATATAATTTAAAATGTTATTTTTAGCCTGAAATAAAGCATTTTACAGTACAAAACAAAGTATGGACTAGCTTATGAAAGTTTTTTGGGAGCAAAGGTGGCCCAGTAAGCAAGACGTTGGCTCGCTAACCCGGATATCCCGTCTTGGCCGAGAAAGTTCACCTGGATTTTCAGGGCGTGGTCCACCCTTGTCAGTGATGCAGGATTAAGGGCCTGGGGAGGGACAACCTATAGTGGTTCGGTAGGACGAAAACTGAGCAAGTAAAAGGACCCTTGGCAGTTGAAATTCCACAGGACAGAAGGCCGTAGCGCCGCTGCCCTCCCATAGCACACTGTAGGATGTATGTCTGTCTGCATTAGCCCACTCAGAGCAGAACAAAGGACGTTAAACTCCATTTCATTTTATATAAGCGTTTTAATATCTAAATATTTATCGTAGACTCACAAAGAGTGTGATGTAATTATATATGTAAGCTTCAAACTAAATAATTGAATTGAGTATGAAGCGATCCGGGAAAAAAAGGTGGTGTACGTCAGGGTACACGTCTGGATGGGTAGGTGTTACACATTAAATACATGCAGGGGCGGATCCAGGAATTTTTGCAGGAGGGGGTTTGCCAGGTACTTGTTAAGGAAATTTGACAGTTGACAATGCATGATGCCATCATCGCCTCCAAATTACGTAGGCATACATACACACTGAGCTTTTTAAAAAGAGAAATCCAACACCCCATTTGACGTCAATTTTTATTATGAATTAATAGGATCACATTGTGATTCAATTTCATTGATGCGAAGCATTAATTGTGATATTACATATCACATAATTATGTCTATATCATTATCTTACGCTTTGAATGCCCATTCCATCCTTTCCAATATCGGATGATAATGGTCAAAGCACACGGACGTGACACTTTTCTCATATAAAGTGTTGTTTTTTTACAATTTCTTTTTATTTTGACTTGTTTCCTGTTTAATTATAATATAGTGTGGCTTGAATTAAACAATATCAATAAAAGGGTCATGGCAGAAATACACATCAAATTACATTCATACATGTACAATATAACAATATAATTTCAAAGATTGTAGGTTAAGCTTTAAACTAAATAATTTAATTTAGATTTGATCGATCCGAAAAAGGCGGTTTTAAGGGTACACGTCTTGTTGGCTAGGCTGTTAGACACTATATACATTATATTTTTATTGCGACATGTTTCTTACTGTTTAAAGATAATATAGTAGGACTTACATTACACATAATTAATATTCAAGAAATACACATAAATTACAATATCAAAATATAATTCTTAACTGTTTTCCTCAGTGCAATAATTTACCACATCAATCTTTGAAAATAGTATACTGAAACGTGACATTTTATCATGCATTCCGTATGTAGATGTGCATACCGCAGAAACACTGCCATCAACCTAACCAGTTCTGGGATTAAAGTTTAATATTATACTCTTCAAAAAAGGAGGGGATATTGAAATGCAAATACCTATGCAGGTTGTGATATGATAAATAGTCATAGATACTTGACATGCTTTGAGGGTATGTTCACAGATGAAGAACTTATCGCCCCAACAGAACTACTGACCTGCATGTGCGACACGCAATAGCGCCATACACGTGCGAGGGGTTCATTGTCAAATTTGACACTTCAAGGAAGGGTTGACGAAAACTGCCGCTTGCTGGTTTATCCTATCCATATTTGCTTTCCTATTGGTTCTTGCATAAGATTTACTGTTTAGCGTATCTTTGCTTTAGTGCGTTACGCTTAATTTGATCGGGAGACGTGTTCGTCGACGTCAACGTCAACCGACAACACTGCAAGAATTGGCCGTGGCACTACAAGTGGAGTGGGTCAGATTGCCCCAAATCGTGATTGGACCGTTCATTAGGAGCATTCCACGACGAATTACTGAATGTCTGAGGATTGGTGGAGCAATTACTCATTATTAAGACAAAAATCAAAAACGTCCATTTTCACTTTTGACAGTGTATCTCTTTGCTAGTGAAATGGGGCCTCCAGATAAGCCGCCCATATGAACTGTTTAGGTTCATGTGTAGGCAATTGGTCTGTTATTAACATACACTGGTTACCTCTAATAAAAACAGCAGTGCATTTCCGCAGTTTTGTATTGTTTCTGAATATCCCCTACTTTATTGAAGAGTATATGACACATACATAGTATTCAGTGATGCCAGAGAAGATCGTCAATTTCGACAATTAGATAAGGTTTTATTCAATAAGTTATAAAATAGAATTTAAGACATTCATCGTCTTGGTGAAGGTTAAAATCTCATATTAAAATGATCAGTCCGAGGATTCTCGATCAGAAAAAATATTTGAAATAATAATTTCAAATTTTACTGTACCGCTTATATGTGAAGAAACGAAGTTTGGGGTTGTTTGAGGTCAATTATAATATATAGCTTAAAACGTTGTAAAAAGATACGAACTTAAAGATACGCAGGTAATATTTCACCATGCAACGTTGACGTTGAGCTTATAACTACATACAAATCTAAACAAAATATTCAACATCTAAGTAGCGACTAATTAGACTGAGTTTCTTTTTTTTTTCAGTTATTGCGCAAAATGAGACTGAAGACTACAAAAGTAGCGTAACAAATAGTTTTTTTTATGACGACCAGACAAATTGTTCAATTTATGTAACGTTGTTCCCTTGTCTAAATTTACAAAGTTTATTTCAGTACTGAAAACAAAATCTCTTTCAAGATTGAAAACAAAGTCTCTTTCAATATTGAAAGCAAAATCTGTTTAAGTATTTGACTACAAATTGTTTCGATACGGTCCAAATATTGTTTTGATATAAAGTTCAAATTATATTCTGACAAAACAGAGTAGAATAAAGATGGCAATAAATATGATTTACTTGCATAATTATAGAGCAAACGTTTGAACAAAATTTGAAATGCAACTACATTTATACACCCCAATCATATCCCAACGTATGAGAAGTGTGCACATCTGATGTACTGAGGAGCACTTCAGAAACAACATTATAAAACACCCTTACCTTGTTGAAGGTTAGAACTTAGAAAAAACCTCTCCAAAAATATGTGTTGACACATAGCCAGAAGCTTTGACCAAATGCAGCTGGAAATACGAATGAATGGCGAAGTTTAAACAAAGTTTAGTTAGAGTGATGTATATGTGGTAAAACATAGCCGAATTGTTCAAACATGATGAAAGTGATACAGAAAATGAATGAATCTATCCACTTATTGTCATTTACATCTAGCTGAAGTATGCCAAAAGGCTTAATAATTAGTTACACTTCATGGAAGCCATTTCGATATCCTATCTGACTTATTTATTCTATTGAAAGTTTGAAGTGTTGTTTTGGAAGTGTGGCATATCATATTTTATTATTTAAAAAATGACCAAACCCTTGTATTTGTTAAGGAATGCAATAATGACATCAGATCTTTGAAAATCACTCTCATTTAGATGAAAGGAAATCTAACTTTTGACGTGATTGAATCGTTGATTTACTAGCCCAAATCACTGCATTCTGGTTTACATAATATCCTGCATCATTGACTAGAAATTTCACTGTATCCAATGTTCCAAAATAACAACTATGATGTAATAGATCAGTACACTCATCAAAGTCATTCTTAAAGAACTCTTTACACGATCGACATGTAATAGTAGCACCTTTCGATATCAGAAAATTAATCTTTTTCATTTGTTCAATTTGTGAATTAAAACACCAGAATAACGAAGTCTCGTTGTCATCGTTAGTAAAATTTACATAATATCCTGCATCATTGACAAGAAATTCCACTGTATCTAAAGTACCGATATAACAACTATGATGTAAAGGATAAGTGCAGTGATCAAAGTCATCCTTAAAGAACTCTTTATACGGACGACATATTGTAATAGTAGCATCTTTCGATATCAGGAAATTAATTTTTTCCATCCGTTCAATTTGTGAATTAAAACACCAGAATAATGAAGTCTCGTTGTTATGGTTAGTAAAATTTACATGATACCCAGCATCATTGACAAGAAATTTCACTGTTTCTAATGTACCAATATAACAACTATGATGTAATAGATAAGTACAGTCATCAAAGTCATCTTTATAGAACTCTTTATATGGTCGGCATATTGTAATAGTAGCACCTTTCGATATCAAGAATTTAATTTTTTCCATCTTTTGAATATCTGTTTTGAAACAATCTAATAATAGGGAATCTTTACCATTACTTAGATTAATAACTAATTGATACATATGTTGGTCAATATGTAATGGATGTATGTCTAACCCCATTAAAAATGCTAGAGTTTCTACTGTACCAAATTGACAACAACAATTTATTAATACATTATTACTTTTAATGCCAAATGAAACCCCATTTAACAAAAGAAACTTCAGTTTTTGTACCGGATCAACTTTAGACCTAGTACAATGCAGTGCGAGACCAAACCCGAATGTTTTGACATCTATTCTCATTGTATTAAGTAAATACTTAACCGTCGCAAGAGTACCAAATTCGCAACTGTCCATTAACAATCTAACTGCGTCTATAATGTCTATTTTACACCCTTTTGAAAATAAAATCTTCAGTTTTTCGACAGGATTAACAGTAGATCGACAACAATATGTTGCTGGTGTAAAACCACGTTTGTTCGAGTGATTAATATCTAATCCTATTTCATTAATCAAAAAGTTAACAGTTTCAATGTTACCTTCTTTACAACTGTCGTGTAGTAAACTAGAATCATCATCATCTACGACATCTAAATTACATCCTTTTGATAATAAAATCTTTAGTTTTTCGACAGGATTAATATTAGATATAGCACAGCACACTGCAGGAGTCTTGCCACTTCTGATTTTTTGGTTGCTATCTAATCCTATTTCATTAACTAGATAGTTAACTGTGGAAGCGGTACCATGTTCAAAACTGTGATATAGCAAACTAAAGTTATTGTTATTTTTGACATCTAATTTACCTCCCTTTGATTTTAAAAACTTCAGTTTTTCAACCGGCTTAATTGTAGACCCGATACAATGCCACGACGGTGTTTCACCTGAGCTGTTTTTATAGTTTACATCTAATTTTATTTGATTTACTAAATAGGTAACCGTCTCAATGGTACCAAATCTACAACTGAGGTGTAGTAAATCATCTGTATCTAATTCAACTCCTTTTGATCTTAAAAACTTGAGTTTTTCAACAGGCTGAATTGGAGACGTAGTAGAATGCGCCGCCGGTGTTAAACCAAGGCTGTCTTTTTGGTTTACATGTAATTTTACTTCATTTACTAAATAGTTAACCGTTGCAATGTCACCAATTCCACAACTGGCATGCAATATACTGCGGTTATCCTTATCTACTGCATCTAATTCAACTCCCATTGATTTGAAAAAATCTAGTTTTTCTACCGGATTTATTGTAGACATAGCACAATACACAACAGGGGTAAAATCATATTTATCTTTCTGATTTACATCTAATATCGTTTCTTTAACCAAATACTTAACCGTCTCAATGGTACCATATTGACAACTGACATGTAGTAAACTACGATTATCCTTATCTACTACATCTACTTTACCAGTTTTTGATAATAAAAACTCCAGTTTGTCTACAGGACTGATATTCGAGACAGAACAATACATCAAGGGTGTTAGACCCATATTGTCTTTATCGTTTACATCTAATTTAATTTCATTAATTAAATACCTAACCGTCTCAATTGTACCATACGCACAACTGAGGTGTAGTAAACTACGGTTGTCGCTGTCGACTGTATCTAATTTGACACCCTTAAACGATAAAAACTTCAATTTATCGACAGGACTTATGTTGGATGAAGCACAATACACCACAGGAGTGACACCATTTATATCTTTATGATTTGGATTTAATCTGATTTCATTAACTAAATATTTTACCGTCTCAGCGGTTCCTTCATTACAACTGAGGTGCAGTAAACTACAGTTATTTTCATCTACTACACCTAAGTTACCACCCTTTGATAATAAAAATCTCAGTTTGTCGACAGGATTTATATCGGATAGAACACAATACCCTGCAGGCGTCAAACCATGTGTATCTGTATGATTTACATCTAAGTCGACATCATTAACTAAATATGTTACAGTCTCGGTGATACCTCCTTGACAACTGACTTGTAGTAAACTACGGTAATCGTTATCTAATACACCTAGGTTACTATTTTTTGATAATAAAATCTTCAGCTTTTCGACAGGATTTATCTTAGAGAAACAACAATATGTTGCAGGCGTTTGGCCATTAATGTTTTGATGATTAATATCTAATCCTACTTCATTAATAAAATAGTTCACGGTCTCAATGGTACCGTCTCTGCAACTTGCATGTAGAAAACTACATTTTGAATCATCTAAAGCATGAAAATCGACGCCTACAGAACGCAATGCCTGCAAGTTTTCAAGTGAGGGAAAACGGCTGCATAAGGCCATTTTATCGATTTTTAAATGTTGACATTTTAATTCATCGAGGATAGATCTGAATAATGTATTGTCTGACAACTGGGTTGCATCGTTCATAATTGATTGAATAACTTCGTCTGCTATATCAACCATTAAATGTTTTATATTTAATAGACCCTGAATGCAACTTCTGTTCACATTAAATACTGCCTCTTGTAACGGTATCAAACCGCGTTGATCGCTAGAATTAATCGGAGAACCAGCTTCAATTAATAGGTTAAGGATACCCGAAACATCGATGTCATTTTTCCCATCAGCAACGGAGCAAATTACGTGGGCAGGTGATCTGTTATTATTATCCAGAGCAAGGACAGACGCACCGCTCTTAATTAAGATTGATACGTTTTGCTTTTTGCCTCGCCCAACAGCAAGGTGAAGTGGGGTACAACCATCGCTATCCTGTGCATTTACGTCAAATCCGCTGTCTATCAGAAATTTGATAATTTCAATAACATCATAATTAGAATCACAAGCATTGTGAAGAATTGTTCTGGATTTGTTATCAAGAGATCTAGGATCAAATACCGTAAAACTAGCTACATATTGAACAACATCGAAGCAACCAGAATAAACAGCCAGGTGTGGTAACGTAACAATGTCTCCATAGTTATTATCCCGCAAAAAATTTAGTTTTTCAATTGGTTCAACCATCGAAATAGCGGCGAGACCCATTACATCCAAGTTCATGTTATTTTTTTCATTATTCAACATATGTTCTTTTAAATTCTCGAGTACAGTTATAAGGCACTTAAGGTTACCATTAAGGGAAATGTAATGGACAAAATTTCCACATTCTTCACTACCTTTTATTTCTCCTAAACTGATAGTTTCAATGTCAGACAGCAAAACTTTTACATCATCCTTAGTAAGAAAATCGGTCAAAAATGTATTGTCAAGAAAAGCAGGGTGGAGAAAAATACCAGTATTTTTCGCTTTTAATTCTTTTAAACAACGCAATGAAAAGTAATCATAATATCTTTCATGAATAATAATAAACTGGTTTTCCGGTTGACCTGTCGTTTTGGTTAATGCCATTAGCAATTCAAAGGAGCAATATTCTAGAGCCATTTCCATACATTTCTCAGAAAAGTGATAAAAGAATGGAGCCTCTACAAACTCTCTCAACAAGAAGTTTCTTTCAACAAGTTTGATAAAAGTTTCTGCGAGTTCATTAACATTGTCTTTGGCAATATTAAGATGAAAACTATTATAAACATTTTCAATAATTTTGTTCACGAGATCTCGGACGCCTTTCGGAGAATCCAGTTTTAAATCTTCCATCCTAACTGTATGCAGACAAAAAACCACCAGTAATGTGGAATATATGTCTTTATTTTCTTTCCAAAACGTGTTTAATTCAGCAAGCAGGAAATCGTGCGAGCTTTCTAAATTAATCGGCAAACTGTCATTTTTAAGTTTACCACACACGCTTGAAATAGCGGGAAAACCGAAACAACCTTTGATTTTGGAAATAATTGTGCCAGAAGAAATGTTATAAAATTTTAAAAATCTTTTTTTCTCTTCGTCGTTAAGGGAAAACTCTCCTATATGGAGAAATATTTTTGTAGTGTTTTCAGAGAATAACTCATATTTATCCAACTGATATTTTGAAGAATAATAAATGTAATCTCTCATAATATATATGAAAGCTAGCTGACCCCTTTCTTTTCGAATTCGAAAATTTTCAAAATTATGAGGCCATTTGTTTATACGATCCTTTAATTTATTAAATTTTCCGTACATGTCATCGATGATAAATACATAATTATCATCATTAAAGGTAACATCATTTAAATCATCCAGCTCGTTAATTATTAATGGTGTATACTGTTGGTTGTCCTTTATAAACTGGTTGGCAATCATCATTGAAATAGTTGTCTTACCATCGCCGGCTGCTCCTATTATACCCAATATAGAGCGTTTCTTCAATATCTTCAAACCTTCTTCAAATGCACGCGTCTTTACAAAATTCTTCTTGTTCACATCTTGAAGGATAGTTATGGTGTTATCTTAATAAAGAGCAAAAAGATAAAAATGGTAAGTTATTTAAGCTTACAAACCTTTAAGACAAACTCGCGAACAAGACATACAACCCCATAACTATTGCAAGCAATAAGAACAAACGTACTTTACAAGGTAAAAAATGATTTGGGAACAAAAAATGTTTAGATTATTGGATGGAAACTGTGTGATTTTAGAAGTTTGCTGACCTTTTTGTAATTATATATCTTAGAAGCTGAACAGAGTGTAATTTATCCATGAATAAAACGAAACTAGAAGTAACGTAACATCCACGGCATGAAATAGATAATTAATAAAACATAATAAACCAGGAACTGGGGCCTGTTTCACGAAATTTTAACTAAGATAAAATCCAAATTTTAGTAATTTGATTGGATAATATTGGATTGATTTCAGTATGTAGTAAAATTTGGATTTTATCTTTAGTTAAGATTTCGAGAAACAGGCCCCAGTTTCTTAGTATTTGATACAGTATACTAGACATACCTTTTATTGTCCTCAATCGTGGACTATCTTCATTTTTCTTGTCTGAAATAGATACAAAGAACCGGTCTTGAGCTGAACCATCTATGGCAAGGTTTGGGGGCATTTGTGTGGAACTTTTCACCAGAACAGTTCCACAAGATATTGGGTTTCTGAAAATAAATACATTTCACAAGACGTTCGACTTCAAATAATATTCATAGAGTGTTTTGGGTCTGTGGTGTTTTTCACCACAAGAGTTCCACAAGTTTCATATTGCAGCTATTGTGACGGGCAGGAACTGTCAGCGTCCGATCAGAAACCGTTCCTAAAGGGAACTACTGCTGAATCTGCTGCTATGCGCCACGTCGCAATGTTCACGTTTAAAGTTCTTGACGAACTCACTCAAGAACGGGGATGTTTTTTACTCACCTAAATGTGGATGTGTTCTTATATTTTCTTGTATAGGAGGGATACCGCTGAGCTGGTAAATACCCTAAAAAATAATAAAATCAATTCCTGGAACTGTACATTCAAAACACATTCTGCTTAAAGATACATTATGGGATATTTAGATAAGGAGCTGGCAGTTCTCGCTATAATAGTTAAAAACTAGATAATGTATATGGCGGGGTATCGGGTTAAAAATGCGATCTGCAGTAGAAAGTAGAAAATAAAAAGCAAAAGAGAAAATTGTTATCCAAAATGGACATTTTCGTGTGGGAAACATATACCGCTCGTGCTTTTCAACCTAATACGTCCACCTTTTCAACTTTAAGTCGTAAATATTCTACTTTCAACAACAGAATTTCTACTTTCAATAATCAACTTTTGACATTCGACTATTTGATCACGTGACTATTCCTGCATGTCATTAAAATACGGTATTTTTCCAGAAAAATAAACGATCCCAGGGAAAGATAACTCTTGTTGTAAGACTAAGATAAGATGGTCTCAGACTAGCAATTATTTGCCCATTGTAATCAGTTTGGGTTCCAGCCCCGAGGATCTCTGTAAACTTTGCTGTTTGGTGATGACTTAATTTCCGAGCTTGAAAAGGACGCCCTTGTGTTTATCATGACCTCTCATATTTGAAGATAACATAAATGGCTTGTGTGTTGACGATTGTGCATATCTCTTGGTCAGGAAAGTTGTAGGCACCATTGCCATTGTAAATCATTTGACAGGCCAGAGTGAACAGGGTACGGAAGCCTATAACCACCATTCATAATTTCTACTTTTCGCCTTTTCACAACGCGAAAGTCGAAAAGTAGAAGTTACGACAAAATGTGAGGCTAATAGCGCCCCTCGTTTTTTCCTAATTTCTTATTTTCGACTTGCGTTTTGGCTTGTATACCGTCTTGTCGACTTTCGACATAGTCAAATTTTTGTATTTATTGAAGTCAGTAAGAAGGCGCCAACACGCATACCAAGCCAAAATGCAGCTCGAAAAGTAGAAATTAGGAAATTAACACAGCACGCTATTAGCGACTTTTCGACTTTCGCCGCGGATGTTGTTGTAGTCTCAGTTTTCCAGGTCGCATTTGAATACGTGCAATCAGGGCTCACACTGTATTTCATTCTTTTCTGTCAAAATGGATAATAATTTTTATATAAAAAAAATGTTCATATTTTTTTCCGCCAACTGGGATATTTTATCTGCCAAAAGTGTCTGATAAAAAAAAACACCTTAGGCTACAACAATTTAATTTATTATATAGGCCTATTATAAAACAAATTTCCCGTGCCGATATATACAATATACAACAACATACATGGGGATTGGGTGGTCTGACATTGATTCAAGTGGCGTGGTTTCGATTCCCCGCTTAAACATGACAAGGGAGTAGGGTCGCTTGTCCAACCTTGTGGATTTTCTCCGGATACCCCAGCTTCTATCCACTGCTAAAGACCCCTACGTGCAAACGAATTATTGAAATGATTTAGTTTGCAACAAGTGGATGTTAAGCCAGCCTGGAGGTCGGGTGTTCGATCCCTGCATTGGCCGAGAAAGTTCATCCAGATTTTCCGGCAGATTCCCCCTTGTCAGTGATGCAGGACGTGGAGGTCGGGTGTTCGATCCCTGCATTGGCCGAGAAAGTTCGTCCAGATTTTCCTGCGGATAACCTCTTGTCCGTGATGCAGGAGTGGGGTCTGACAAGAACAACTGTCTAGTTGTTCGGATGGGACCAAAAAACCGAGGTTCCGTGTACACATTGGCGTGCACGTAAAATATCCCTTGACAGTTGGGATTCGATATAAGAGTAGGTCGTATTGCCGCTGTCCGGGCAAAATTTCCCTTATAGCACACTGTATGGCGTAAGCCCGTCTTCATTAGCCCAGTTCGGAGCAGAACAGTAGAACGTTAAACCCCAATTTCATTTAATTTCTCTTTCTCTCTCTTTCATCGCCAATTTTTAACATTAAATTGCATAATGTTAGTCACTGAATAACTCTTAGTTTGTGTCGAGTGGACGTTACCCCCCCCCCCCCACCCTCTACACCCCTACTGAACAATATATATTCAGCCTCTACACGCCAGTCTCATCCAAGGATTTCCCTTTTTAACGTTTTGCATATACAATAGGCCTATTCTCAATTTTATTCGTAAGACATGCTTACTATTCGACTCGTTCTTACATTTCCTACCCATGGTGATAATATAATTTGAAATAAAATAATAATATACAATCGGGAAAACCTGAATATTTTACATGCGGTATGAAACCACAGAAGGCCTAAATGAAATTCAATTATCAATGCGCGTATTCTAATGTGACCTTGAAAGTAGAGACTATATCAACTTCCGAGGCGAAAAGTCGACAGCACGACAGCAAGCCAAAATCATAGGTCCCTAATATCGCCTTCAATAGTAGACTTTATCATACAGACTATTTTGTTAACGCAAATTGCATGTATTTAAATGCGACCTGGCAAATTGTGACTACAGCCACTTCCGAGGCGAAACTTGAAAAGTCGTCAGCACGACAGCAAGCCAAAATGATAGATCGCTAATAGCGCGCGTGTTTATTTCCTAATTTATATTTTACGAGTTGAATTTTGGCTTGGTATGCGACAGAAACTGGGGTATCCGGAGAAAACCCACAAAGTTGGACAAGCGACCCTACTCCCTTGTCATGTTTAAGCGGGGAATCGGTACGGGAAATTTGTTTTATAATAGGCCTGTATAATAAATTAAATTGTTGTAGCCTAAGGTGTTTTTTTATCAGACATTTTTGGCAGATAAAATATCCCAGTTGGCGGGAAAAAATATGAACATTTTTTTATATAAAAATTATCATCCGTTTTGACGGAAAAGAATGAAATACAGTGTGAGCCCTGATTGCACGTATTCAAATGCAACCTGGAAAACTGAGACTACAACAACCTCCGAGGCGAAAGTCGAAAAGTCGCTAATAGTTTGGTGCGTTATTTCTTAATTTCCTATTTTCGAGTTGTATTTTGGCTTGTGTTGGCGCCTTCTTACTGACATCAATAAATACAAAAATATGACTAAGTCGAAAGTCGACAAGACGGTTTACAAGCCAAAATGCAAGTCGAAAATAAGTAATTAGGAAAAAAACGAGGGGCGCTATTATCGCTGTGTGTTATTTCTTAATTTCCTATTTTCGAGTTGATTTTGGCTTGTATAGCGTGTTGTCGCCTCACATTTTGTCGTAACTTCTACTTTTCGACTTCCGTGTTTTGAAGAGGCTAAAAGTAGAAATTATGAATGGTAGTTATAGGCTTCGATAACAGGGAGACCTATGATTGGTCAGCAATGTATCAGATTCCATACTGGGGGGTGGGGATGATAAAACTCTTGTAGTGTTACATAATCAGATTATCCACGTGGAAATACAGCTATAGGAGATATTTTGAAATTCATGGGCACTGCATGTTTCAACATTTTAGATTTGACCACAATTTGGCACTTGAAACTATGTTAAGAGAGAAAAACTGTGTGGTTTTTGATGAAAGTGTTAAAAGTCTAATATTGCATCATGATTACTGTTTTAAAGTATTTTCGTGTTTGATTTATATTGAATTAATCTCATCTTTTTGAAGAATGCATTTATGTTCAAAAATGAAAATGTTCTGTGGAATTCAAAATTCATGTGCTTTTAAATTATTAGATTCCAAACTGGGGGTGGGGGGGTGGTGGGGATGAAAAATCTGCTGTAGTGTTACATAATCAGATTATTTCAACTTACTTATCCTATGGAAATACAGCTATATAGGGGATATTTTAAAATTGATAGGCACTGCATGTTTCAACATCTTAGATTTCACCACAATTTGGCACTTGAAACTACGTTAACAGAGAAAAACTGTGTGGTTTTCGATGAAAGTGTTAAAAAGTCTAATATTGCATCATGATTACTGTTTTAAAGTATTTTCGTGTTTGATTTATATTGAATTTATCTCATCTTTTTACAGAATGCATTTATGTTCAAAAATAAAAATGTTCTGTTTAATTCAAAATTCATGTGCCTTTTAAATTTCTGTCTGAAATTCCGCAGTTTTCTGATGTATTATAGTGTTTGCAGAATGCCGCACAGATTTTCATAATCTTTGGACAGGGCATTGCATATATGTTTGTTTATTAGATAACAACAGATTTGTTTAAACTGCAGAAACATGTGAGGTATATAGGACTAAGACTAGTAATTATTTCCCCTTATTTCATGATGGACGAATGTAGTGCGAGTTATAAATAGACAATTTTTCCCTTAATTTTTTTCTCCCCTCTTCCTGCATTTTTGGGTTGACTTTTTGGTCTAGAATTGGAGAAAAGGGATCAAATTTGCAATTTCATAGCAGTTTTGGGTAATACTGATGATATTACAGCGGAGGGATAGGGGGTGTAAAGTGTCTTTCTGCAGAGCAATCATTGTGTCGGAAGTGAGATTTTCACCCCTGTCAACTTCAAATCCGTGTAGCAAAAAATCTAAACGGTCAACCCCCTACAAAATTATGATGAGGAGATTGCCAAATGTTGTCCCCATTGTGCCTATAAAGATTGGAACCAACGGAATGTTGAGCAAAAAGCTACAGCCTGTGATGTTACAGTCATTTAACATTGAAGTCAATGGGCAAATAATTGCTAGTCTGAGTCCTTATCTTAGTCTTACAACTAGAGTTATCTTTCCTTGGGATCTTTTATTTTTAAATACCGTATTTTAATGACATTCAGAAATAGTCACGTGATAAAAATTTATTTCCGTAATATGCATGGAGAAAATCTCGAGTAGAAAATCTGAAGTTGAAAGTAGAAATTTTGTTGTTGAAAGTAGAATATTTAATTACGACTTAAAGTTGAAAAGGTGGACGTATTAGGTTGAAAAGCACGAGCAATATATGTTTCCCACACGAAAATGTCCATTTTGGATAAGAATTTTCTCTTTTGCTTTTTATTTTCTACTTTCTACTGCAGATTGCATTTTGAACCTGATACCCCGCCATAAATGTAAAGGGAATTTGCTGAAAATTTCTGTCAAATTGATCCACTCTGAACCGAGAATTTAGCGATTGAATTTTGGGCCTAGCCCCGATCATCATTACTAAAGTCGGTACGATAAAATACATTGTCTCGATTATCCAATTTTTGATTTAATCTTGAACGAGCGTTGGTAGTGGTATAGAGAAACAAACACGATTCACGTTAATCAAAGAAAAGTTGGTCTCCATTCACCTGTGTATTTTAATATAAATGGAGCAAGTAAAATAGTTTTCTTCACAGTTTGTTTTTATAACCTAAGAATTTGTGCTCGTTTGAAAATACCCCTCTATGTTTAATTCCAATCCCGATTACCGAAGAAAATAGATTAACTTACTAGGTTATTTCGGGACTAACATATGGTTTTATTTTATTTTAATAATGCGTAGGGGTCTTTAGCAGTGGGAGGAAACCGGAGGACCCAGAGAAAACCCACGAGGTTGGACAGGCGACCCTACTCCTTGCCACGTACCTAGTTTGTGTCGAGTGGACGTTAAACCCTCTCTCTCTCTCTCTCTCTCTCTCTCTCTCTCTCTCTAACAGATTAACACACGCGTGTACACGTTTTCTATTGGTTAACGATATACTATGTAACCATAGATAATGGTAACTATAGCCAATTAAAACCACAATGTTACTATGTAAATATGTATAAATATACTATACTGTCCATCTTTTAACTTATTACACATGGTGCTGATCTAGCGTTGTTGGTGTACTCACGAGAAGATGCAGTTATAGACCATAGCCAACATTAATTGTTCGGTCGAAGGCGTCTATTTACACATGCCCGTTTCATTTGAAGATTTCTTTTATCCAGACACCGTATAATGGAGCTTTGGACACCGCTCTCCATTGCCAGATGAAGACTGATGGGTTAAAGCAGTTTGAAAACGTATCATGTATACTGAGTTAGTTGCTCGGTCCTAACGTATAGGATTTTAAGGGCTTTTAACACAAGCAGTGTTTTATTCTCCAAAATGTAATTGAGATTGTCCCTTTAATCTGTTAATACTTTTATACATCACGACTATCATTTTTATCAGTATTATTAAAAAGCATTATAACATCAATAGTTATTAAACTTTTTAAAGTGAAGTATTTAACTAAGACCTAAAACAGATACAAGTAAACCAAATACAGTACGTATCCATCCATCCATGTTTTGAAAATAATAGGATCAGGTAAACAATACCGGAGGTGTTATTTTCAGCAATTTGTCCTGAACTCTTCAACCAAACGACCCCGCGCAAGACATGCAAGAAAATGTCGAGAATCCTCACTTGCTTGAGAATAAAGAAGTATAAAGTTTAACTTACAGTCTCTTTCTTCAAATCTCCAAACAAATGTCGATCAGATGTTATCGAATCCTCCTCGGCCCTCTTAAACCCTATAAAGACAAGTTATAAGTTAGATAGATTATGTTAAATTTTATTTTCGAAAGTTTGGCCGTATGGGAGTTACTTAACAGGGGCATCCACCGAAAAATGACCGGGGTCCCTATTCCTATGGCAGTATATTAGACTAAAAATTCTAACATGCTGTCGTCTAATTTCTATCTTCTATTCATGTAATTTCTAACGTATAATCCAACTTCTTTTTTGTTTAGTGTAAATTTTAATTCTGTTTCATCTTATTTCTATTATTAAGACGAAAAATGTCTACTTTCTTGTCGCTTTACATGTTCTAAATATAGAATTAAAACATACCTGGTTCTATTCCGAACAAAGCAGTATAATATTTGTTGTCGTCGAGAGCTCGTATAAAGTTATCATAGGCCATGATACCAGAGTTTAAAACAATATCCAATAGTTTAATTGCTGCGTCTCTTTTACTGCCATCGTCACGTCGTTCTTCCCTCTTTATTTTCTCCAGATCATCAGCATCGAAGATATGGTATTGAAATAATGAAATCGCAAAACCCATTGGATCATGTTTAATGTCTTCTACAAGATAAGTATAATTGGACTGAATCTTCTCATATTGTTCGTCTGGCAGTTTGCCTTTTTCACACGGCATTTTGTTTGAGTTTATTTTGATTGCACTACTTTACTGCCATCTTCAAAATTATTGTAAAATGCTTTTTTATACTTCATTTTAGGCCTAGAAAAGAAACATTAAAGATAAATCATAATACAGAAAATCATTTTTTTTATTACCCACAAATGTCATCGACCAAGTCTTCAAAAAATAATACAAAGTATATACTTGTAAGCCACTGGTGGTTGAAAACGTTAATATATATTGCATTATCACCATACAAGGAAAAGATACCACAAGTGTACGAATAGTCCCTGGAAAAGGGCAACAGCGTAGTACTGGCGTGAATCCCTTTATAGGTGAATCTAAGGAGGAACGAATAGACCGACCGGCTCGCCCTTAAAGTGTCAAGCCTGGCAGTGCTAAGTGTCGAACTTCCTTATAGCATAAGGTCGGGTTCCGAATCAGCTCTGAATAGGAAACAATCTTGTGGAACTGAACACAAGCAGATTTAGATCCGATGAATCCTTAAATGCCAAGTTTATTGTAAATCATCTCCGTAGAAATATCTGACGTTTAATAACAAAGCTGAATGTGAAGGAGACGCTTAGAAATTCTAAATTCAAGCCTATAGGGTGTAGCTGCGGTACGGACAAATATCTAGCTCATATCCTAACAGACTGCGATCGTGGATTAATTAAGCCCAATTAACATGGCCCCCAATGATCCCAATCTATACTCTATTCTATGGTAAACCACAGGAGTCTGACTTTCTAATCGTTTATATATATATACGAGAACTCCTTATAACGGATATGTATTCTAAAGAAACAGATATCAAAAACTATCTTTCATATAAATCATGTAACCCACGCCATACCAAAAATAATATACCATTTTCTTTAGCTAGAAAAATATGCACTATTGTGATAGATGAAGACCTCCGGGTTGTCAGATTAGGTGAGCTAAAAAGAAATTTATTGAAACAGTATTACCATAGGCGTAGGAGCTCAAAGTAATTCAGGGGGGCATAACAGAAAATTGCCCGAAATCAATACCGTTTTTTCAGGCATACATATCATAAGAGAGCGTCGGGTGTATTTTCGAGCATGCAGTGGACAAGAAAAAGACGAAAAAATAATTTCGGGCAGTGTGGATCTCATAGAAATAAGTTAGTTATATTTTTTCTCTAAACGTTAATAGAAAAACGCCTATGAGTATTACCCCCTCGAGGTAATAGAAGTTGGGATAAATAAGGCTTTGGCAATTATTGATATCCAAACACTGAGGGCTACTAAAGCAAAAGACAGAAAGACAGTTCGGATAATATCGTTACCTTTGTCGCTACTCATAACCCTCAACATCCCAATTTCGGGATCAAACGACAACCTCAGAACGAAATTTGATAATGTTCAATTCATTAAATCACAAAGACAGTCACCTAATCTGAAACGCCTCCTAACCAAAGCAAAGTTCAATTCATCTATCACAAGGACCGGCTTTTGTGTATCTAAATGCCCGGGTCTTCGATGTAAATGTTGCGACCATATTACGCCCAATAACAAAATATAATTTTCATAAGTTTACGTTTAATGTCAACGACAATATGAATTGTGACATAAAAAAAATCTCATATATGTCTTGACTTGCAATGGGTGTCTAAATTTATACATAGGGGAGACGTCCACGCATTTACGGGATAGAGTATGCAACCATCGACGGGATTGTAATATTGAAAATCGGCCCTTATTTATAGACATATCTTTAAATGTGCACAACACCTACAAGTAAAATTTCAAATTTTCCCTTTTATAAAATGAAAGTCGATGACACCACGAAAAGGAAATTAATGGAAACCCATTTTATTAAAAAAAAATACGTTCCTCGACTTAATAGTCAATAAGTAACAATTGACCATTAACTTCATTAATTTTCTTAAATCTATCATATGATTATATTCCACTCATTGTTCCTAAATTAAACCCATATACTAACAGATTAACGGGGGGTTGGATGGCTGAATGGTTAGCGTGCGCGCGCTGTATCATAAAGTCTGTCATTGAGTTGTCTGGCGTGGTTTCGAATCCCCGGTTGTACGTGGCAAGGAGTAGGGTCGCCTATCCAACCTCGTGGGTTTTCTCTGGGTCCTCCGGTTTCCTCCCACTGCTAAAGACCCCTACGCATTATTGAAATAAAATTAAACCATATGTTAGTCCCGAAATGACCTAGTTTGTGTCGAGTGGACGTTAAACCCTCTCTCTCTCTCTCTAACAGATTAACACACGCGTGTACACGTTTTCTATTGGTTAACGATATACTATGTAACCATAGACAATGGTAACTATAGCCAATTAAAACCACAATGTTACTATGTAAATATGTATAAATATACTATACTGTCCATCTTTATACAATGACATTATTTATGAATAGCCCCAAGACGGACGAAATGTACTTTAAAATGTTATTAAACCAGTGTTGAAATCAGTTTGTCTCGGCATACCTTTTATCTTTTCATCGTTTACCGAAAACAAAGTAGTGTATTTAGTGTTGAAATCAGTTTGTCTCGGAATACCTTTTATCTTTTCATCGTTTACCGTAAACAATGTAGTGTATATATTTTCTCTTCAAAAACGTAGGGGATATTCAGAAACAATACAAAACTGTGGAAATACACTGCTGTTTTTATTAGAGGTTACCAATATATATTAATAACAGGCCAATTAACGGGGATCACGTGGCTAAGTGGGTAAGACGCTGGCTCGCTAGCCTGGAGGTCGGGTGTTCGATCCATGCATTGGCCGAGAAAGTTCATTCAGATTTTCCGGCGTTGTTTCCCCTTGTCAGTGATGCAGGATGGAGGGCCAGACAAGGACAGCTGTCTAGTCGTGTACACATTGGCGTGTACGTAAAAGATCCCCTGGCAGTTGGAATTCGATCTAAGAGTAGGCCGTAGCGCCGCTGCCCAGGCAAAATTTCCCGCACAGCACACTGTATGGCGTATGCCCGTCTTCATTCCCAGGTTAGGAGCAGAACAGTAGGACGTTAAAGCCCATTTCATTTCATTTCATTTCATTTCAGGCCAATTGCCTACTGTTACATAATCAGATTATCTGATGTTAAAGACGCTTCCTGCCAACTTGACACCTGTTCGTTATCGACATGCCTGGAGTCCTTGGTCTATGTGATTAGGTAATGATTATGTAAACTTGCTGGCATGTTTTATTTAAACTTTCTTTGTCTGATTAGCATGTATCGAATGTTAAACTTGATATGATACATTAGCCAGATGTTTAATAAGATTCCTTTGTCTGGAATGGTTTATAAACCCAGATTAACAAACGAAATCTCAGAGAGGTACGGCCAGGGCAGACCACGCAGGTCTGGTTACGACGGACAACGGCCATTTAATGTAAGAGTTGGGAGTTGGCACACTCGTGCCTAGCCGAGCTAGGGCATGGCTCTCTCAACACAAGCTAGTTATAGAGTCTTTAAGTTTTGTATATAATATGTTAGAAGAAGCAGAGAATAAAAGTATTTTAAGATGTTAAACTAGTCTTGTCATCCGAACCTGATTAAAGAACTAATACTGTCACATATAAATTGATGTCGTAGACCAGACCAACGTTTTGAAGTCATAACCACTAGGCGATCAAAGAATTATTTCTAAGGTAAGTCTTTTTCTAATCCTACCAAGGCCACGGTAATCCTGACATTGTGCTATGTAGGCCCTATTATAATTTAACTGGGAAATCAAAAGTTTATCATCACGCTTTATTAAATATCATGGTGCAGTTACTAAATTTAATATATTGCTTTTCAAGCTAGTAGTGGAACAGTCCTTAACTATTTGTAGGAAAATGACTAAAACAAAATTGTATATATATTGTTTGTTTTACAATGGGTCATGTTGTTTTTAAAAGATTATAGATTATAATTGTTTGTTTTTGAACACATATTTTGGCATTTAAAATTAGTATTAACAAGTTAATATCGAGATGTAAAATGTTTTGTGATTGTTTTTTAACAGTATCGTAATTTGGAATTTAACCCAATAACATTCACAAAGTATTAACGCGTTTATCTCTAAGTTTTTGTTGTTTTTTTTGTTGTTGTTTTGACTATATGTGTCTATTACCCCAAATATTAATGGGATGCCCCGATATTTACGGGAGAGAGTTTTTTTTTGTGATACCCCTAATATTAATAATAGAATGACCCGATATGTACGGGAGAGATTTTTTATTTTTTTATTTTGTGATACCCCAAAAATATAGATTGGGAGGTCCCGATATGTTACGGGAAAAGGTTTATGTGAAACCCCAGTCAGGTGGGATTGGTTTAACCCCAGGAGAGGTTCGTGCTCAGAATTAAGAGCGAACGTATTGTCTTGTTTTGTGTTGTGTTTAAAATTTTTAGAGATAAACCGTAATTTATTTTGATAAGTTCTTTCAAAATATCTTATTGAAGATTGGTAAAATGTGTTCAGAAAAAAACAAAACAATATGACATCCTAATTTCAATTCTATCCATGTAAATAATAATGTAAATATCGTTAGATAGCTAATTTAAGTCTGTTCCACTTGCTAATTTGATTAACTATTAATTAAGTGCACTCCATGATATGATAAACAGATGATAAAACTTGGGCGGGTGACAGTTATAATACTCCTCATAGCACATGTCATAACGCACCGTTCCGGCCAGGCGGTATGGAAAAGATAAGACTACCGGAAGACACCGACTCCTTGCCATTACGGAAACTTATACAAGAAGACGACGGAATGAAGGAAGAAGAAAAAAATGAATTTGTATCTCCCTACAGTTGGCTTCAAGGATTGTATTTCGCGCTTCTCGAGTGTGTGCGAACATTAGAATAGTTACAGTGTTTTGGGTTTTTTTTTTATAATTATTAGTGATTGTGTGCGAACATTAGAATATTATAGTTTTACAGTGTTTTTTTTTTGTTATAATTATTAGTGATTCAAATATCAAATAACTCGCGTGTGTGCAAATTCAAATATTTTTCATTATATATGCGATTCCAGGAACTCGTGTGTGTGAACAGTAAAATTATCTGCGACATAATTATGTGATTTCAATGTCTCGCGTGTATGAACACTGTAGTATATATGTATGAACTTTTCAACCAATATCTTATTACTTTTCAACCAGTGTTTTATTCTTTTGCCATTTGCATTTTTTCTTTTTGTTTATATAACTTTTAATCAGCTTATAGTTATTTTTCGTATTTTTGTTTATATATTAATTAGGGTAGTTACCATCGACTCCATTTATATTTAATTTTGTAATAGTCTTTAAAAGTTATTTCATATAATTCATAACTTTATTCCAAAAAAAAGGGAAGGTATGTTACATAATCAGATTATCTGATGTTAAAGACGCTTCCTGCCAACTTGACACCTGTTCGTTATCGACATGCCTGGAGTCCTTGGTCTATGTGATTAGGTAATGATTATGTAAACTTGCTGGCATGTTTTATTTAAACTTTCTTTGTCTGATTAGCATGTATCGAATGTTAAACTTGATATGATACATTAGCCAGATGTTTAATAAGATTCCTTTGTCTGGAATGGTTTATAAACCCAGATTAACAAACGAAATCTCAGAGAGGTACGGCCAGGGCAGACCACGCAGGTCTGGTTACGACGGACAACGGCCATTTAATGTAAGAGTTGGGAGTTGGCACACTCGTGCCTAGCCGAGCTAGGGCATGGCTCTCTCAACACAAGCTAGTTATGGAGTCTTTAAGTTTTGTATATAATATGTTAGAAGAAGCAGAGAATAAAAGTATTTTAAGATGTTAAACTAGTCTTGTCATCCGAACCTGATTAAAGAACTAATACTGTCACACTACACATGAAATGAACAGTTCATATGGATGGCTTATCTGACAGCACATTTCATTCACTCGCAAAGAGATACACAGTCAAAAGTGAAAATGGGCGTATGCCCGTCTTCATTCCCAGGTTAGGAGCAGAACATTAGGACGTTAAAGCCCATTTCATTTCATTTCATTTCAGACCAATTGCCTACACATGAAATGAACAGTTCATATGGATGGCTTATCTGACAGCACTTTTCATTCACTCGCAAAGAGATACATAGTCAAAAGTGAAAATGGGCGTTTTTATACGCCCACATTTTCATGTGGACGTATATTGTCGTCGCCCCCGTCCGTCCGTCCGTCCACAATTGGTTTTACTTAGCATTAATTTAGTGTTTTATGCCGGCTGACTAACGGTATCTCATTAAGGAATCAAGCCTGTATAACTATGCTGATGACAACACCTTCTTCTTCCAATAATGTGCCGGGTTCTGAGTTGAACATATTCGCACGTTCGCACATGTAGTTTCTGGCATGACTCCTTTGATATAAAGAAAGATACATTAGAAAACGAGGGTAGTTGTTTAGTAGATTGGTTTACGAATAAAAATATGCAAGCCAATCCTGATAAATTCCAAGGCCTTGCCATTGGTAAGAAAACGCATAACATGAAGCCAGTATTCAATATCAATGGTATAAATATTGAGTTCACTGAGGATGTAAAACTCCTAGGAGTAGACATTGATTACCAAATGAATTTTAACACATACATTGGAAACATCTGTCGTAAGGCTTCAAAGCAAATAAATGTTCTACCAATCACATGTAGAAAACAAACTGATCCATCACTCATTTATTATGTCTACTTTTAATTTCTGTCCATTGGTATGGCATAATTGTGGTAAAAGAAACTCAGACAAATTAGAAAAGCTACACTTCAGAGCTCTTAAGATTTTTATAGTCCATATTATGATGAAGTAATATCAAAAGCAGGTGTCAGTACTTTAGAAATTAGACGCATGAGACTATTAGCCATTGAGGTTTTTAAAATTCTAGCTGGAGACAGACCTGCATATATGTCACATTTAATATCTGTTAAAAAAATTATATTATAGTTGTCGCTATTCAAACCTACTTCAGGTACCGAATGTTAATTCGGAAAAACATGGAAAATATTCATTTGAATTCCAAGCTGACAAGATTTGGAATAGCTTACCACAACATTTCAGAACAACCACTAAGTTTGGTTTATTTAAAAAGCTACTGTTAACTTGGAATGGAACAGAATGTAAATGTTCAATGTGTAAGTTTATTAAGTGGTTTACTAATGCTAAAGTATGTAAATATAGCAATTATTGACTGTGATATTTCCATTTAAATAGACTGTGATAAAAGGAAACTTTTAAATGTAATGTTATAACTGTAAATTTTAATAGTTTTAAAATATCTTATCATTATTTAAAAATGTGTTATATTTAAGTAGGAATGTGTTATGTTTTACTGTAATATATTTAAATGTAAATTGAAATATTTTATGTCGGTCTAAAAGCTCCATGGAGCTTGTGTTTTACTGTTATATGTATACATACCGACTATAAATAAAGATTATCTTATCTTATCTTACAGGATATTTCTTCGGTCCGGTGACGTCAATATGTTTTTGTTGGATTCACAATCCATTTATGATGATGTGACGATATCAACGGTAAACGTATCTTATTTTAGACCCAGAGCATTGGTTGCAGTTTCTTCGTCCTAACAGTTACATACGTTTGTTGTTATTTATGACGTCTGTATAATTTATGATGTGATGGTTGATTCACAGATGTGCATGTGATTGAAATCTAATCTAAGTATGTTCGTAATACCTATTCAGTAGTGACTAGTATTTAAGATAAACGTTATATAAGCTTCAAGTATGCACATTATTTGAGTATTTAAGACGAGCATGATATTTTGTAAACTTTGTATCCACTTTAAACAGTTAGTTTTAATAAATTTTGTCAGCAGTAACAAATCTCAGCTTATTATATTAAGTTATTTATCCTGATATGTAGATCCTAACCGCCCACGCCTACTTCCCTCCTCCATTCCGATTTTGTGCCAGAAAAGAGGTGTCGGCAGTTCTACAGAGGGTTAACGCTACTCGGAGATACCTACCGTAAGGGATGTTTTGTGGCTTGGAAGGGGCCGTTCCTTTTTCTTGGGAAGGCCAATGACACAACAACACCTGGTCCGGTGAATGCTTTATACTGCAAGGACTTGAGTCAGGCAGGTGGTGTCCAGCTGCCAGCCAGATTTTACCTCCATTACCAATCCAGCCTTAGTAAAATCATCTTCTCGATGGCAACGCTGGCCAGACTGCTGCACACGTTCGCCATCTTTCTTACGGTCTCGTATGCATTACCCTATTATTAGTACCAGGAAAACTCCTTTGGATAAAATAAAATTTACAGTGTACGCTACCCTGCAAAAGGCATTGTGCTTTTACCCAAGGCAACCGGTATCGATAGGCCTCCTAATCAATTGCATCTCCTACATATGCGCCTACTATTTAGCTCCTCTGGCAAGTTTCTTGGGAAACATTTGTCAGCGATATCACCCAAGGTAGAAGCGGACGATAAGCCTTAAGGGACTAATGAACAATACGACAAATACGCCAGACGATATAGCTTATTTTAGGTCTTGACCGAACACAAAACCTACTTCACTTGCATTCTTTCAGGAATGACCGGCTAAACATATTAATTGCCTGGATACTGACAACATAGGATAATCCACCTTGGCTGACTTGTTTTGAACAGCAAAAATTAGCATACTTGACATCCGTATCCTGACGAGATTTATTAAGATTTATGATATTATGTTTAGGAGATAATTCCTGAATGAATGAAGGTAAATATTTTAAGCCCCCATCACATCTGCCCCTCCCCCCTCTAACTTTCGGACAATCTGACTTTTTGGGAAGTCGGGTACAGTGAAAACAAAAAATATTATTTCATCTAGTTGGCCAAATCAATTGCCCGAAATCTAACACTAATTTTACTTTTCTTGTAATTGAATTCCACGAATTTGTACTGAATTGACAAGAGATTAAAACATTTTGTCTGGAACCACTCTTCTTTGTGCGCCATTTTTCGGGCATCGATTAATATTTGTGAATGCAGCTGCAACAGTCTGACCGGATGGCTGGAATTCCTGTCGGCAAAGAATGGGATTTTGGTTGCAACCCGATTGGAAACTTTAAAGTTGCTTATTTCACGGACTAGAATAGCAGAAAAACGAATTTGCGGCGCTAAATTTTCATAATTTTCTCGGGAAGCGCCAGTCCCCCATACCTCGCGACGATTGACTGGTTATTTGGGATTCTGGTAAGTCACCTAAGGTAGGCTATATTAGACCACATTGAATTGGTTGTATTTACGCGCTGGAATAACAGGAAAACGCGTTTGCGGCAGTTAAATTTTCATCGAGTTCGTACGTCTATGCATCACGGGACCATTGTATGTATAAATTTATCTGATATTTCTAAATTTATCTTCGTAAGAGGATACCGGTGAAACGTGAAACACCCTTCATATAAAGGGCTTCTGGTTATTAAAAAATTTAAAAGTCACGTCATAATCCATATACATGTAAATAATGAATTTATTTATTGTTAATGTGTAGATAGCACCATGCAGTGCTATGCAGTCGCTGGCTAGATGTAGAAAATACACGGGAAAACTCCCCAAATCCAATGTGTGACGCAAACTCTCTTCTGCTACATATTTCAGAACAGCCCTTGATCGTCTAGTATTTGTAATTGTTCATTGACTTTTCAAATGTCCCTTTCACATTGCGTATACAATTTAACACACGTATACAATTTAACACATCATCTTTATTATTATTGGCATACGTATTCCACAAGGAGGTAACTTAAATATCTATTTTATTTTTACATATGTGACGGCGTTAAGGAGCATAAAAGGTCTGACTATTCATTTTATTCGTGCTAACCAGTGAGGTGTTACAATAGTTACATAGAAATAGAAGATGTTAATACAGCCGTCTTAACGCTAGGTTCCCACTACATGTATCTCATGATTCGCGCTAGGGAAACGCGTTTGCAGTCGTAAAGCTTTTCAAATTTTCTTCTTTTTTTTTGAGGGGGGGGGGGGGGCATACGGTAAGCTCTGCTCCGTGGCCTCTCGCAGACATCCGGCACCATTTCAGGTTCAGAACCCCTAATATTCATCGAGCCCGTACGCCTATGAGTTCAACACATCCTCTTAGTGCGTTCGAACGCGCTCTTATTGCGTGTGCAATCCCGTCTGGCTTTGTGTGGTATAAAAACCAAATGCACGCTTTAGACCTCGGCCACCTAACCCCGTAAAATGTCTTACTCTCAGCACTATCCGGGATAATGAAGATGGACATACGCCATGCAGTCTGCTAAGAAAGAATTTGCGCTTAATAGTCATTTGGATGGGACGAACACAGTGTACACATTGGCACGCACGTAAAATATCCCTCGACAGTTAGAATTCGAAAACAAGTAGGCAGTAGCGCCGTTGTCCGGTCACAATTTCCCTCCTAGCACACTGTATGGCGTATGATCATCTCCAATATCCTGGTTGGTTAAACCTCAGTTCATGTCACCTCTACGCTGACGTGTACACGGGACCCTGTTTTTCGTACCATCCAAGCGAAAAACAAAATGAAATGAATATATAATTGTAATTAAGCCTCCCCAAAAGCAAACTAAATCGGCAAATTGATCAATTGTTCTTTTCTACATGGTCCATAGTGCATATATGTTACGATCGATTAATAGCTAGTCCTTCCTATGTCTGTTATTTTCACAACTATTTCTCCAGGCAGTCGGCTACTTTCTGTTTCACATTGATCAGTATTAATCCACTAACTAACAGGCCTACCCTAACAATCACTGTGATAACTAGTGGATAACTATAATATACTCACCGTGTTAATTGGCTGAAACAGTTGAATTCCTAATTAAAACCTCAAGCAAACAATCTTCTACCAAAGAATTACCTTCTGCATTTACGCTTAAGAGAAACACACCTATATGTGATTTTTCCCCAAAGCGATGTTCACAGTAAGTGCAGTGGGTGTTATGCAATATCTGAGCGACCTTTGGTTGCACGGATTTTCGTACTATAGTCGAACCATCTGCATGCGAATGACATTTAGTTCAATTTACTTGACCAGCCGTACCATGCGATAAAGCACGGTCGAGATATAAGATGGCTGACAAAACTGACACTTGAGAAGATTTTCTGAAAAATATAATAAAATTGCCGATTGGCGTTGCGTTATTTACACCTTGGTCGGTATTATAGGGCCCATGATAACACCTGAAAGTTAGTGAATGGGCATTGTAGTATAGATGTTAAATTTGATTTTTTTCGTCTTGTTTTGATGAATTTGAGAGATTAGGATCTTCTTATTTGAATATATATATGCACACGACAAAAAACTGTACGTGTGAAATGATCTTGGTTGGGTGACATATTAAATTCAATAAAAAAATATTGATAATTGACTAATCCTATTTGTAACCTATTTTAAGCTTGCTTTCACATCGCAGTGTAGAAAATTAACCAGTTTTTATAGATACATGAGTAAATAGAAAATATAGCAGGCGAAACAACTGACGTGGTTGCCACCATATTGAATAGTCAATGGCTAGGGCCATTTGCGTTTGGGTGCCGGTTCAGTCTGTAGTCGCGACCATAGTCTACATCCGAAGGTCGCCCCGGAAAACCCGTTTCTATAAAAATAAACGTCACATAATTAAAGCAGTGGTTCAGTTTATTGCAGTTGTCTCCGATCAAAGACGTCACACAATATTCCAAAAATTGCCACCGGTAATGAATAATCTCTCAATGTTCAACAAATCGCCACCAGTAACCTAGCCCAGTGGCTTAAGGGTGAGTTTTTCTAGATCAATTCTTGCATTGATTTTGGGCACCAAATGCTGGGAAAATTTGGGCACACAATTGTACTTTGTAAAAGTTGTATAAAAAAATATTGTGTTCTTGAATGTGGCCAATTTAACAGCAAATTTATTATTATGTAACATACTAAGAACCTAAGTTTTCCCACTATGCGGCAGACTGTTAATCCTTTAATTGATCTTAAAACTATACTCTGTTTAAAAGTAGTCACTCAAGAACTATTCACTATAGTGTTCAGCGTTAATGGGCTCTTAATCCCTCTTAATAAAATTTATTAACCAAATAATTAATGACATTTTGAACCCAGTTCATGCCGGCGTTATGCCTTCAAACATGAATTCAATTCATTATATTAATATAAATAGATGGTCGATCTGTGTCGAAATTATATTTATTTTAAAATGGCAAACGTTCGGGTTATTATACGCTTTATCTCCAATAATCGAGGTTGCCGAAATGTAATACACAATGCCGTCCATTGGAAATGTTCAACAAAACAATGTCCAGCTACTAGAAACACCAAGAATGACGTTCTTACCACTGTTGGATCCATACACAATCATCAACTAGATAATGTAAAGATTAAAGTTGAAACGTTTTTGTCATCCATGCTGGATTTGGTAAAAACTGACCCCAGACCAATGCCAAGTATTTATCAAGAACAAATAACTAGTAAGTAAATTGTGCCATTTAATCTTGAATCTTATGTCCTAACTGAAAATAAAATACTAGTAATTGTTTTGATATTATTTCTATTGTGTAAGTTCTATGCCATTTGTTTATATTGTTTCAGGTCTACGAACTGATGAAGGTACTGAAGTTATACAGTCTGTGCCAACTTTTTATTCCATCCATTCCGCCTTATACCGCTCATGATCAAAAATGTTACCAACATTACCCAAAGAACACCAGGACATAGAACTTACAGAATCATACCAAACTACAGCTAATGGTGACACGTTTCTGCTTTTTTCGAACAGAAATATGTACATGAACAGATGAAAATCTACGATTTCTCGCTAGCAGTGATTCATATTTTTGTGACGGAACATTTAGTATGTGCCCTCAGCTTTTTTTTACCAGATATATACAATTCATTCTATGATAGGTGGAAAAATTTATCCACTCGTGTGTGCTTTGCTAGCAAATAAGCGACAGGATACCTACGAACAAATGTTTCAGATATTATTACTGAACCCATAATATTGGTTTAAATTTGAACCCATCAACTATATTTACCGATTTCGAGACAGCAGCACAAAATGCCGGAAGGATTGTATTTAATTCTGATGTTAAAGGGTGCATGTTTCATTTTCGCCAGGCCATTTGGAAAAGCTGCTCAACATTGTGGACTTCAGACATTATTCCGGGACAACCCTCTGATAAGACAATTTGTACGCCAGGCATCAGCTTTGTCACTGATAAGAATGTGTGATATCGAGTGTTTTTGGTTCTTAGTTTTGGAAGTGGTAGATTTAAACATTCCACAAATAGGGCGGTTTGCTGATTATATGACGGGAGTAGTTGATAACAATGGCCGTAATGCGTTGAACCATTTTGATACAACAGGGTCCCGTACTACCAACCACGTAGTAGGTTGTCATTCTAAGTTGAATAAAATGACAGCATGCCATCCTAATATTTATAAGTTCATTAACTTAATAAAACAAGAACAATCTTATGTCGAAATCACGATTTCACAGATATTATTTGGTGGTACCAAAAGGCCTCGGGTTAAGAAATAGCGACAACTTGTTGATACAAGAATTGACCATTTGTTAAAATTAATACATGGACTATCGTATATAACACCATTGTTCTAGGAAAAACTCTAGATTAGCGGCAAAATTTGACATGAAAGTCTGCCGGCAAAGTGGGAACACCCCCTTAACACGAAGCTTCTAGACCTCTTTCTGATCATTTGTCTTTATTATTATATCACATCCCGTTATATTTATATTTAAATATTGTATTTCTCCACACTCTCAGTTTATTTGACAGTCTATTAACTCTTCATTTTATTTTTATATTACTGAAATATGAGTCTTTTTCTCAGGGTATAGAAAGGAGCTGGTGACTGTTTAAATCTACCTCCGTCTAAATCAGCATTGGCTTCTCCAACCTCTTTGTTGACCACTGTTAATAAACCCAATATATCAAAACTGAAACAAAAATATACCGATTAATTAGTTGAACGATATGTAAATTATGCACCGTGAATAATAATCTAGCACTAATATGTCCATAATTTAATGAAGCACAAGTAGAAACATATAGTTCATAAACAATTTTATTTTGTTGAAATGCACCAATGTCCCCTCAAATTAAAATTAGATCTTGCATTCATTTTTTTGTGTGTGGGTTGTTCACAAATCTTTGGGATACAAACCTATATTACAAGTTTCGTCAAAAGCAGATAAAAATTGTGACTGTAGAGGGTCCACAAAGAAATGTGAACGGGATGACGACATAATACGTCCACAGAAAAATGTGGGCGTATAAAAATAAAAATGGAAATGACAGATCTTAACTTTAACAATAACTGTTAAAGGTAATCATTATCAAGCATGTCTCTCTGTGCATCACTCAGATCAAGATTCATTGATGACTCCTTCTAAAAGGGGTTTTCAATCACCCAAATAATAAATAACTTACTGTTTAGCATATTTATTGAAAGTTTCACATAATTTAGTTATGTACCATGACCCCTCTTTCTTATTACGAAAAGACACAAAGCCTGGAATGGTGGACATGCCAAGTAGAAAATCCGCTTCATTAGGGATAACTTCTCCTCTCGTTGGTGTATTTTCATCAATATCATTTTCAGGCGTTACATCTCTTTCAATAGCCAACCCTAAAAAGTACATGATATGGTAGGTAAGAAAAAGAAACAGTTTCAATCGGTGACTCTGATCAAATCTTCTTTGTTAGCCAAGTGGTAATGAAACAAATAACACAAGGTATAATTTTATGGATACATAATTACTGAATTTATTACTGAATGGAGATACTCTCATCTTTATTTTATACAATCACAAAATTCTTCAGAAATTTAGACTTAAAGATATATTATGGGAAATTAGATAAAGAGTTGGCAGTTCTCACTATAACAGTTAAAACTAGATACTGTAAAGGAAATTTGCTGAAAATTTCAGTCAAATTTATCCACTATGAACCGAGGTTTTAGCGATTGAATTTTTGGCCTTGCCTCGATTATCATGACTAAATTTGGTAGGCTAAAAAAAACATAGTCTCGATTATCCATTTCATGATTTTATTATGAATTGAAGTCAAACAGCAAATGGGAACCTAATTAATCCAATAAACATTGCAGCCTAGCGATGCAATCGAGAGTTGATTATGGTCTGGATAAGTTAATTAATGCCTAATTAATAATTTAGATAACATTTCAGGCCTAAATAAAGACCTGCAATAGGCAGATTTAGCTCTTGCATAGTGTATGTTTAAACGAGATGATAACTCCAAAAGTTCTGATACAGTAATTCTGCATTTCAATAGGTGTCTTCCATCTGACACGTCAGACGGACAAATGGTTAACAGGCCAACAGACGAAGGTGACAACAACATACGTCCATATTAAATCTGGGTGTATTTAATGTCCTACTGTTCTGCTCCTAACTGGGCTAATGAAGACGGGCATAAGCAATACAGTGTACTATGAGGAAATTTTGCCCGGAAAACAGCACTACGGCCTACTCTTATATCGAAAATAGCACTACGGGCTACTCTTATATCGAATTCCAACTGTCAAGGCATCTTTTACGTGCACGCGAATGTGTACAGGGGACCTCAGGTTTTCGTCCCACCCGAATGACTAGACATCTGTACTTGTCAGGCCCTCCGCCCTGCTTCACATACAAGGGGGAATCATGTCGGAAAATCTGGATGAACTTTCTCCCCCAATGCAGGAATCGAACACCCTACCTCCAGGCTAGCGAGCCAGCGTCTTACCCACTTAGTCACCGTGACCCCATGGAGCATATAAAAATAATTGGTTTACCTTGTTGCCTCTCTTGTCCCTGGCATGCTTGGATAAAAAAAAGCTTTGGTTTATCACACAAACTAGGACAAGTGAGAGGTTTGAGTGGACCTGTCAGATCTCTAATAGCAACGGGTTTACCATCCGATCCATAGACATTATCTCTGGTGCCATGTGATAAAATAACAACAGCAAAACAATCATAGTTTGTATGATCTTCATTCAACGCAAACTGGTTAATTTTGCGTGCCATTTCTCCTGCTTTAAGGTTATCATAGGATTCCACTATAAATAAAAGTTTATCAAAGGTTTCTTTCAATCGGTCTGAAAAAGAAAGACATTTATAAACGAAAGCTCAAGTGGGTTTAACAGCCCATCTTTAAGTTGCATTGGACTATCAATAATTTATCTGTCTATGAGAAAATTCTAACACCTGAAACAAGACATTCCATCACAATGTTAGCCAGCGGTTGCCAGGCAAGCTACTCCCACATTTTGCAAGAGATTCATACAGAACAATCTAAAACAAAAGAGGGATTTTTCTCGTACAATCAGGGGCCATAATCCAGGACGTTATCGTCTGATAAGCGCGAATATCGACAGGAACCAAGATCTTTGGGTTGTAAACATACCTTTCAAGTTTCATAAAAATTGGACAAACATAGTGACCTCTAGCGTGTCCACAGGCTAAAAACGTGATTTTTCGTACAATCAGGGGCCATAATGCATGAAGTTACTGTCCGATACATGGCAATATCAAAAAGATCCGAGATCATTTGGTGATAAACCTATATCTCAAGTTTCGTCTAAAATGAATAAAAATTTCCACAAGCTAATTAAAACATGATTTTTCGTGCAATCAGGGACCATAATCCAGGAAGTTACGATCCGATACGCACAAATATTGACAGGAACAGAGATCCTTGGGATATAAACATACATTTTAAGTTTCATCAAAGTCGAATAAAAATTATTGTGACCTATAGGGGGTCCACAAGCTTGGTATTATACAGTGCTAGGACTATCTAGGAAAAAGTGCTAAATTTTGGATGTTTGGGTTTGGTCCGGTTCACTGATTTTAATTGCTTGGTATGCTGATCTAAACAACATGTCCGTCTTGAGTAGTATTGCCCTAATATAAATTACATAAGCGTTGACAACTATTAACCTGCCAGTGGGAGTATCAAATAACTTAACATTTTAATTTCTAAAATAAAAATCTCATTTCATATAAAGTCTTTGATATCAGTTGTTTAGTCTTCCAAAAACCAAGTTTTATCATGCTGAGCTATTTTTGTACGCCCATATTTTCAAGTGGACGTGTATTGAGTCGCCCCTGTCAGCCCACAATTTATTTGTGGACACGCGGTTCCTTTTGATATTGGCATTTTATCCAATATTAAAAGCTGTTCTAACATATCACCATTCCACCCTTATGATGGTTGAGTTCGAATTTCATGAAAATCGGATTGAAACTGCCCGCTCCTCGTTCGCAAATAGTATAAAAGTATATAATACCAAGGTTGTGGACACTGTAGAAGTCACAATTTTTTTATCCGATTTTGATCAAACTTAAAATATATGTCTATATTCCACGGATTTTTGTTTCTTTCCATATTCGCACATATCGGTCCGTAACCTCCTAGATTATGGACCCCGCGTGTACCAAAAATTACAGTTTATACCCGATTTTAAAAACCGTTTAAATATACACCGTTACACCCTGGGTTTGAATTTTGTGATAATCGGATCGAAGACTGTGGTCCTTCTAACGATTTGTATCCGGTTTTGAAAAAAACTTAATATTATATGTTTATGTATCAAAGAATAATTGTAAGAATAATACTACGAGTTCTTGATGTGGAAATTTACACGGAAATATTTATTTATGGCTAGGGATATGATATAAGCAGGATCTAATTTAGATAAGAAAGATATGATATCATATCCCTAGCCATAAATAAATATTTCCGTGTAAATTTCCACATCAAGAACTCTGTGGTGACAGAAATGAAATGAAATGAAATGGAGTTTTAACGTCCTACTGTTCTGCTCCTAACCTGGGCTAATGAAGACGGGCATACGCCATACAGTGTGCTATAAGGGAAATTTTGCCCGGACAGCGGCACTACGGCCTACTCTTATATCGAATTCCAACTGCCAAGGGATCTTTTACGTGCACGCCAATGTGTACACGAGACCTCGGTTTTTCGTCCCATCCGAACGACTAGACAGCTTTCCTCGTCAGCCCCTCCCGTCCTGCATCACTGACAAGGGAGAACCACGCCGGAAAATCTGGATGAACTTTCTCGGCCAAAGCAGGGATCGAACACCCGACCTCCAGGCTAGCGAGCTAGCGTCTTACCCACTTAGCCACGTGATCCCCCTGTGGTGACAGAGAATATAAGTAATATTGTTATAATACATTATTAAAGGTGTACTGTTTTGTTGACATTGACAATAAATTCGCGTTAACAAAATAGTTTATAAAGTCTAGTATTGATGGCGATATTAGCGACCTTTGATTTTGGCTTGCTGTCGTACTGTTGTCTTTTCGCCTCAGAAGTTGATGTAGTCTCTACTTTCAAGGTCACTTTTCGACTTTCGTGTTTTGAAGGGGCGAAAAGTAGAAATTATAAATGGTAGTTATAGGCTTCCATAAGATTGTAAGACAAAATAAACATTTTACCATCGGTTCACGAATGCCTTTAAGTGCCATTTATAAAGGGACTAGAAGGACGGGGCTAGATATATTCCACAAGTAACTCAAACGGTTACGTCATATTCCTATCTGGAGAGCATGCGCAATAAATACTAAATCAGTTTATGTACATTCATATTACATTATTATTTGTGTTGCGAACCATTTGTGTCAATTTCTAGGTCCTAAATATTAGCGAGTTAGCTCTTTTAAATAACAAATACATGTAGATTGTTTTGGGGTGACCTTTTCCCTGTATGTAAATAATCAGTAAATGTTCATATTTTTGCACCAAAATAGATAATTTTGGATCAAATTTTCTTTTACTGATAATTGATAAGTTCGTAAATAGTATTGTACGATGGATCAATAGGCCATTAATATTTCGATATTGGCCCCTTTCTATAGAAATCAATATATAATTGGCAAGAGTTATACAATCGTAATGTGCTCAACAACCCTTGTTTTACTTATGAATATTTATCTCCCCAAGAAAAAGTTCCAAAATCATTTAATTGGTTAACATCAAATTGGTCAATATCAAAGTATATGAGTAAAATAATGTAAGATATTTTATACCCTGGCTTAGACAAGCTGCTGTAGATATTACATCAAATTAATAAGCTTATTATTACATTATGTAATATTTGAATCAATTTTTTTTAATTTTATTAAATTGTTATTAAATTTGTTTATTTCTGTGTTTAATTTGATTAGTTTTTCTTATTCTCTTATTCAAATTTCATAGAATCTGATTCCAAACCCATCTAGCTTTAGTGTTACATTCTAAATATAGAGCAGTGTAATATGACACTTATACAATACACCATCTGAATAGATAATAATTGGGCTACAATTTATTGTCTTTGAGAGGTTGATGACAGGATTCTCTTCAACAAATCTTTGAGGTCACATTCCCAAACTTGAAGAAATCTGGCTGAGTTCTAGTTGGTCTTAAGACTGTATATACATTTACACTATTTGTGTTCGAGGGGCGGTACGACTTTCACGAAATTCAAACTCAACCAACATTATGGTGGAAATTGTGACCTGTAAAGTGTCTACAAGCTGAAAATGTGATTTTTCGTAGGGGCCATAATCCACGAAGTTACGGTCCGATACATGCCAATTTCGAAAGGAACCGTGATCTTTTGGAGATGTACCTATATTTCAAGTTTCGTCAAAATCGGATAAATATTGTGATCCGTAGAGTGTCCACAAACAAATTGTGGACGGAGGTCCGGACGGACAGTGGCGACAACAATATATGTCCACATGAAGATGTGGGCATATGAAAATTCCTACCCATTGAATGTGACAAATTTGTCTACAGGTTCTAGCAACCAAGATTTTAAAAAATATGAATAAACATTACCCAAGGAATATACTAAACAGTAAGACATTTGATCTAAATCCATTACGCAGTTTTGGTGAAGAATATTACTTACCTCTATCTATGCTAGATCCTTTACGATCTTTCATAATGGAATCATTATCCGTAGTATTACGTTTAAACTTTTCATTGTTAATTATAATACAATAACCTTAAAATATATAAAACAAATTATATTAAATGGATATAACTTTCATTATTAAACCTAAAAATAAAATATAATTATTTTTATACCATAGCATGTCCAAAATAACCTTATACATATACTCAACTGATCATTGAAAATCCAAACACTAGCCTACTTAGAGCAAAGCATCTTATATGTTTTCTGATTTTCTTGAAAACCATTATAGTCTATAATGTGTTCACATTGAAACTTGGATTATGAGATATGTGTCAAATTTTTCATTTTTCAATTGAATAACCAAAATTTAATGAAAGAGTCACATTGCAGCAAATAAAATCATTTTTTATGAATTAGCCCAAATTTCCAAAGCATAATCTGAACACAACCTACTGAATAAAGGTTAACAAAAGCAAAATATAATGAATCATATGGGAATAAATTATTACCAGTAATTTGAAACATTATAATGGAGTTAAAACTTACAAAACTCATTTTATTACTAGGAAGGGTGGTGTCTACATAGATGAAAGTAAAGTTTGCCTTGTCATTTGGATTGTACGAAAAGCGAAGGAAGAGTTTGGGTTGCACTAGCAACACAACTGTTAGTCTCAAAATGATGGAAGTATTGTGTTGATGAGACATTAAACCATATTCCATTCCATTCTGTTGCAAGAAAAATGCAGAACTTAGCGGAAACTAACAAAGTTAGACAGGACAACATTTTCCTTGAAACACAATAAAATGTGATTTTATTGATCTACTAGAGTTATCTTACCTCTAGGTTTTCGATCCATTTTGTAACAAGCTATCTGTGGAGGTTGCTGTATTGATAGGTTCTGTATTGCTTCAACATCCCGCATTACTGTTTACATAGAAAATATCTACATACAATCAACATAACATCTAATCTGATTTATGACGACAGATTATTCTGTGTCATAAAATTATTGTCACTTTAAAGATTCGCCAATGAATGACTAGTTTTCTTATTCGCCCTGTAAGTGTTGACCACGAAAAGTACCTGCAAACTTTTCCCGGCAGATGCAGGCTTTTGAATCCAAGTCATTCTAGTCAGGGTGCAATACACAGACACCCTTGCTTTACAATAATCGAAAACAGAAATAAATAGTCATTTGATGACGGCTACTCCGTTAGAATGCAATCTTCTCAAAGTTTCATTATATTTATATTTTCTCACTCCAGACATAAAGTTCAAAGTTCAAGAAGAAATGTACTCTACAGACCTGTATTTGGTTGATTATCTTCATTTGGTGCTGGCGGTTCAACAATACGAGCTTCACCTACAATTAATACTCAACCTTGATGTATATGGAAAATATATTGTATACTTTACATACCCAATCAAATTTTTTTCTGTTTCTCATCAACTATTTACAAATAAGATTGGGTGAGACGGGAGTTTGTAGTATAACCATCCAAGGCAAACAAATGCGATAAAAAGAAAACCTCTTGAAGACGTGAAGCAAATAACCAACCTTAAAATGCATTCGAAAATTCAACAAAGTGATTCTAAAGAAAAATACATGTATTAATACTATTAACTTTATTTTGAGAATTTAGCAAAAAATGACCCAGTATTCCACATACATCCTACCTGAAGTAACAGTTTTATTTTCATGTGTTTCTTGATTTTCAACACTAGCAATATCCTTCATTCCAACTAGAAACATAAATAAAACAAATTAAAAAAACAGATTTCAAGAGAATTCAATTGTGGATTTTGCATTCTATTTGCATCTGAAGTTGGCCAAAGAAAAAGATTCCAATAATTTAAATAGAGAGCCAATATATATGATATGTTTGTTGTCTTGTCCAAACCCTTTGTCAGTGGTGTAAAATTTGTATGACTATAATTCATACATAATCTGAGTTGTATGAGCTAAATTTGTAAATATATAGAATTCATTTGGAAGGAGAGTTATTGTTTTCCAAAGTCTCGACCAATCAAATAGCTTATCGCTCTGCTTACCCTGAGCAGAAAATGCTCATTATCGAACTTAGTCAAGTCCTTCTCACTTAATTAGAACTAAAGTTATTGTATCTCAAAGCATCAACAAATCAAATTGCTTATCTCTGCTTACCCTAAGCAGAAAATGCTCTTCGAACTCCATCAAGGCATTCACCTAACCTACACCAAGTTTGAAAATTCTAGCTCGAATAGAACAGAGTTATTGTGTTCCAAAAAGTGTTACGGACAGACAGACCCATTTTAATATTCCCCTGCTTTCTTCGAAAGGCTGGGGACAAAAAGGAGATTGGACTTAGAGTAAATGATATTAATCTGGCATGTATTATAAGTTCTTGCATTAAACAATATTTTACCCTCACAGGGGCAGATCCAGGAATTTTTGCAGGAGGGGGGTTTGTCAGATTCCTGATACAATGTATCTTTGGGGGATGGGGTGGTGGACCCCACACCTCCCCCCTCTCTGGATCCGCCCCTGCTACATGTGCTGAATGTTATTTTTCACCTTTACTGTACTCAGTTCCAGTACTTGAGTTCTGTTGTGGTTCCATCTCAAAGGATCTGTGCAGAACTTCAGAGAGTTTATTTGAAAGTTCAGTCATACCATATGCATAAAATATTCGTATAAATTCATCTTTTATTTCATTCTTAGATTTTCCATTACTGCTGGAACTAAGCCAATTGATAAATATGGTAAGAATAGCCATTTCTGGTCGTAACTGATGTTGTTGAAATATACGGTTAATGGTTTCAATTTCTAATCCAAACCCAACTCCAAGCTTCGTTATTTTCTCTTTATCATTTTGAAGTTGATATGAAAGTTGGACGAGTAAGGGATTAGGTATAATGTTATCTGAAAAATATAAATTATGCTTTTAGACTTTTCATCCAGATGATTTCTTTTTCATAAAATAAAGCATATCCCCTGAGATTGATATGTTACTCTGTGTATTACAATTTTATAAATAAAACTGTACAGTTTGGACAGTTGATTTTCCTTTGCCAATGTTATTTAGAGCTTGTATATTTAAGCTTTTGTTTGGTACGTCCACCGCCCCAAAATTTAACTCTGCTGATAAAGGAAGTCTTGACAACGGTCAATGTTACAGTCATGTAGTAATAGTAATTAAAAAGACATGATGACAAGTATTATTTATTTCATCATGCTAGTTATTGAGATGTAATGAAAATAGAAAACCTATTAGTCAACTAGGTGAGTGTGAAAAATAGATCAGTAAATTTTAATGTATAGATCAGGTGTTTTTTCTCCTAAATGTTCTAGAATGTTTCTGTCATGTTAAAATATTACTCCAGTTTATCATTCAAAATATCGCAACATTTCAACAACTGGTAAAATTTTGCAAGAAGTTATTTTTTCGTACACTCAAGGGCTATATCGGAATATCGAAAGGAACAGAAATCTTCGGAATAAAAACAAATATTTTAAGTTTCATCCAAATCGGATAAAGAAAGGAAAAGAGATCTTCGGAATAAAAACAAATATTTTAAGTTTCATCAAAATCGGATAAAAACTTGTGACCTCTAGAGGTTCCACAACCTTGGTATATACCCTTACACTATTTGCGTACAATGAGCGGCCATAAACCGAGATCTTGGAGATATAAACATATATTTTAAGCTTCATCAAAATCGGTTAAAAATTGTGACCTCTAGCGGGTCCGCGACCTTGGTATTCCCTACATTTTTACACTTTTTGCGTACATTGCGCAGCCATTTTGTTGGTAGTGTCGGTCCGGTGATATAATGTAACGATTTTTAAAATTGGATAAAAAATGCGATTTTTTTTTGTACAATCAAGGGCCATAATCCAGGAAGTTACCGTTCGATATGCGCGAACAAAGTTGAATCACGGTGAAAAATACACGGTAGGAAATAGTCTTAAAACATGGGTGGGTATTTTCATATTGCAGCTATATATGGACGACCAGAGACCGTTCCTAAGGGAACTACTGCTGAAGCTGCGGCTATGTGCCCGATTGTATAATGTTCATGTTTAAAGTTTTTGACGAACTCAGTCAAGAACGGAGATGGGTTTTTTTACTCACCTAAATGTCTCAGAGGTTTATTTAACAAGCTACCAGATGCTGTTGTATCCTCCTCGCCTCTCTTGAAACCTGTAAAAAAAATTCGAAGTAATTCATATTCTTACTTACAACTTAAAATTCTGGGAAAAAACTTGTTTGTTTTTGCATATATTATGTATTTTTATGCCTTTTTAACATTGGGATTGGGTGGCCGAATAGTTAACGTCACAAGCAAGGAGTAGGGTCGCCTGTCCAACCACTCTGGGCTTTCTCAGGGTACTCCGGTTTCCTTCCACTGCTACTATGATTTCTTTTATAGGGCTCATGGATATCATGCACAGAAAAGCCTGTTCATAGCCTTGAACCTATGAAATTTCTGATATGATTGGTTACTTTAGTCAAATGACGTAATTAGTAAATTTCCCAGCACGTGTAATCTCGTGGTATTTTATTGACACATACAACCAGCTATGTTTTGGCTCTATAACTCTTTTTATGTGTCAACTGTCACTTATTCACTAAGTTGATTTTAGTACAATTCTACATATATGTGAATTTAATAACTTGCCACCAAAGATATTAATTAATGAAATATACTGCCCTCATTAATTTCAAGAGCAAAAATTCTAGCAATATTAATACACTTCATTAGGCAGTTAGGTGAATTCAGATTTTCAATAACCTATTTCTAAAATAGACTAAACTGACAGAATAGTAAATAGTTTGCACATAATTCGATATTTTTCTCTCTTTTTTTTGAAGGCGTTATATACCTTATATTGATCCATTAACCTTATTGTTTAAATACCCTTTATTCATTATATTAACTGTATTCTTTCATTGGCCTTATTTTTAATTGTATTTTATAAAGATAAATCTAACTACAAAATTAAATCTTACCTGGTTCTAGTAGGAATAAAGCATTATTATATTTGCTGTCCTTGAGAGCTCTTATAAAGTTACCATACCCCATGCTGCCACAGTTTAACAAGATATCCAACAGTTTAGCTGCTGCGTCGCTTTTACCGCCATCGTCTCGTCGCTCTTCCTTCTTTATTTTCTCCAGATCATCAGCATCGAAGACCTGGTGTTTAAATAATGAACGAGCAAGACCCATAGGATCATATTTAATGTCTGCTAAAAGCTCAGGGTAATTAGATTGAATCTTGTTATATTGTTCGTCCGGAAGTTTGCCTTTTTCATACGGCATTTTGTTTGAGTTTATTTTGATTTCACTATTTAAATGTCACCTCATCAGTTATTGTAAAACAATTGTTTTGACCATCTCGTTCTTTTTTTATGTTTCATTTACGCCTAGAAAAACAAAACAAATAAAGATAAAGCAAAATACAGAACATCATTTGTTATTGCTAATAAATGCCATTGACTAAGTCTTTAAATAATACTACAAAGTATCTCTTTCTAAAACCCCTGGTCTGGTGACTGACAACGGTGATTTATACCGCATTCTCACCAAATAAAAGGCCTAGAAAAAGATACATGTACTGCAAGCTTACGAATAGCCCCTTGCAAAAGGCAACAGAGTAGTATTGACGTGGATCCCTTACACGCGAATCTAAGGAGGACTGAGGAGGCGACCGACTCGACCTGAAAGGGTAAAACTGTCATGTGTTGAACTTTCTTGTAGCATGAACGGATTTAAAATATAGACGGGCTCCACATCCTCTCTGGATGTCAAAACTCCCTTGTGGAACTCAACACTTACAGATTTAAATATGATGCTAAGTTAATTTAAACCATCTCCACAGAAATATCTACCGGTTAATAACAGAGCTGAAGGTGAAGGAGACGCTTTACAATTCTAAAATCAAGCCTACATGGTGTAGCACAGCGCATATCGCCTCTCAGACAAGGGGAAATCTCACACAAATAAATTGAGTTCCAGTAACAAACAGACACGATATCTATGAATTAATTTACGATTTCGTGTGTGAGATTGGTGTCAAAGGCCTTATGGTCTGTTCTACTCTGTGACGACTTGAGGTATGCCCTAAGACCGAATGGACGGGATCTAAGGTGATCATCCAGAGGGTTAACGCTACTCCGAAATACCTACAGTAAGGGATGTTGGGTGGCTTGGAAGAGGTCGTTTTTTTTTTCTTGGGAAGGCCAATGACACAGCAACACCTGGTCCGGTGAATGTTTGCTTTATACTGCAAGGACTTGAGTCAGGCAGGTGGTGTCAAGCTGCCAGCCAGATTTTCCCTCCATTACCAATCCAGCCTTAGTAAGATCATATCCTCGATGGCAACGTGGGCCAGACTGCGCACGTTCGCCATCTTTCTTACGGTCTCGTATGCGTTACCCTATTATTAGTTCCAGGAAAACTCCTTTGGATAAAATTTACATTGTACGCTACCCTGCAAAAGGCATTGTGCCTTTACCCAAGGCAAAGGTATCGATAGGTCTCCTAATCAATTGCATCTCCTACATATGCTAGACTAAGCCTACTATTTAGCTCCTCTGGCAAATTTCTTGGGAAACATTTGTCAGCGATATCACCCAAAGTAGAAGCGGACGATAAGCCTTAAGGGACTAACGGACATTACAACAAACACGCCAGACGATATAGCTTATTTTAGGGCTTGACCCAACACAAAACCCACTTGCATTCATTCAATAATGACCGCCTATTGGCATAACGCCATATATAGTATTCAGATGTCGGATGTGTCAGAGTCCACTGTACTTAATTTCCTGGATACTGACAACATACATGTAGGATAATCCACATTGGCTGACTTGTTTTGGCCACTCCTTAACAGCAAAAATTGGCATACTTGACACCCGTATCCTGACGAGATTCATCAAGATTTACAATATGGTGTTAAGGAGGCAATTCCTGAATGAATGAAGGTAGATATTTAAAGCCCCCATCACATCTAACAGGTTCAAACAAGTTCTCAAATACGCCCCCCCTCCGTTCTCGAAAGTCGTTAAACGGGTTGTTGTCGGGTAGAATATGTAAATTATGCCTATAATAGATCCCAGTTCGTTCATTAACAGCACATCCAACTCATCAGTACCCGTCCAGTCTGTTCATATCCAGCTCAGATAGGGTAAGTTTGCCATTGCCAAGCAGTAGAAGCCCGTCCGTAGCCAGTTTAAAGCCGTTCGTAACTAGTTCTACCTTACTATTAAAATCAGTAATTGTGTATCCATAAAATTGTAACTTGTGTTAGTTCTACCTTGTTCCCAATACGTCCGCTTCTGGTTCTAACCATAGGCGTACAAGCCAGAAGGGCGGGGGAGGGGGGGCAGGGCAGCTTCCCCATAACTTTCGGGCACTCTGACTTTTCGCTTTTCGGGCAGACGGGTAAAGTGAAAACAAAACTAATTATTTCATCTAGTTGTCAAAATAAAGTGCTCGAGCCCTAATTTGGAAAGATGGAATTCAGGTCGGCATAAAGCAGAATTTCGGTTGCAACCCGATTCGAAACTTTGAAGTTACTTAATTCACGGGCTAGAATAACAGAAAAACACATTTGTGGCGGTTAAATTTTCAAAATTTTCGCGAGTCCCCATACCCCGCGACGATTGATTGGTTGCTTCGGATTTGTGATTCGGGTAAGGAGACTATATTGGACCACATTGAAGTTGCTGTATTCACGCGCTGTAATAGCAGGAAAACGCGTTTGCGGCAGTTAAATTTTCAAACATTCATCGATTTCGTACGCCTATGCATCAGGATTACTGGGGTTTTTTTAATTTTGGATTCGGGTAAGTCACATAAGGTAGGCTATATTGGACCATGTCATTGAAGTTGCTGTATTCACGCAGTGGAATAGCAGGAAAGCGCGTTTGCGGCAGTTAAATTTTCAAACATTCATCGAGTTCGTACGTCTATGCATCACGGGACCATTCTATGTATAAATTTATCTGATATTTCTAAATTTATCTTGGTAAGAGGATACCGGTGAAACATGAAACACCCTTCATAAAGGGCTTCTGGTTATTAAAATATTTAAAAGTCACGTCATAATCCAAATGCATAAATAAATGCATTACCATGTTTTTATTAAGCATAGAACGAATAAAAACAAGGGAATGTAAGGATTATTTCTATTTTTCTCGTTTTCCCTTATCTAGTGACATTCAATTACTTTTTTGAATTATCAGATATCCTCTCACAGCCGCACATAACAACTTTTGATCTTCGAAGAAATTATTAGTGAGCAGAAATTCACCCGTGTATCTGTTATCACTTGTTACTTCAGTCATGCAGTTATATAGAAGGATAACTCGTGTTTTCCTTTCGCGTTCGCCACTTCCCTTTCTTGAAATCTTCCCAACGCATCTATCGTAGATCTCTGTGTTAAAATTATATTTGGAACGTGTTTACCAGTTCTACTGACACCAATAGTGTCCTTTAATACAGCCGTCTTAATGCTAGGTTCCCACTATCATGATTCGCGACAGGAAAACGCGTCTATGGCCGTCAAACTTTCCAAATTTTCTTCTTTTTTTGGGGGGGGGGGGGTATACGGTAAGCTCTGCTCCTCCGCCACTTGCAGAAGACCGGCACCGTCGTCTGTAACCCGAATATTTTCGGGCATTTCAAGTTCTGCCCCCTAACATTCATCGAGCCCTTACGCCTATGATTTCAACTTATCCTCATCTCATTGTAAGTGCGTTCGAATGCGCTCTTATTGCGTGTGCAATCCCGTGTGTTATAAAACCAAGTGCACGCTTTAGACCACTCGGAGGCCCAACCCCGTGAAATGGGATGTAACGTTCTACACTCTGCACTATCCGGGCTAATGAAGATGGACATACGTCACGCAGGGTGCTAAGAGAGAACCTGCGCTTAATAGTCAATTGGATGGAACGAAAACACGAGGTGGAGTGTAAACGTTGGCACGCACGTAAAATAGATCTCGACAGTTGGAATTCGAAATCAAGTTAAAGTAGGCCGTTGTCCGGTCACAATTTCCCTCATAGCACACTGTATGGCATATGATCATCTTCAATATCCTGGTTGGTACATTTCATCTCACCTCTACGCTGACGTGTACACGGGACCTTGTTTTTCGTGCCATCCAAGCGAAAAACAAAAACGGAATGAAAAAAATATAATTCTAATTAGGCTCCATAGTATAAGCAAATTTATAAATTGTTCTTTTCTAAATGGCCCTTTAGTGTATATATGTTACGATCGATTAATAGCTAGTCATTCCTATGTCTCATTCCTGTGTTAATTTCACAACTAGCCTATTTCTCCAGGCAGTCGGCTACTTTCTGTTTCACATTGATCAGTATTAATCAGTATTTATCCACTGTATAAATGGCCTACACTAACGATAACTAGTGGATAACTATAATATACTCTCTATATACTCACCCTGTAAATTAGCTGAAAAAGTTTAATTCCTAAAATAAACAATCTTCCTCCAAAGAATTACCTTCCGCATTTACGTTTAAGGGAAAGAATTCATTCGGTGTGCATAAAAGAAAATATAGGTGTCATTCAGTATTTGTTGAGTATGATGTACGTCAAATCCGATTTCGTTTTATTTCATTCCGGGTATAACTTAAATTCCAATTTAAATATTTTGATAACCGATATATATTGACAGTTCATAAATATATATGCTATTTTATTTTCAGATTAACGATAATATTTTCAATTTTCCCAAACCGATGTTCACAGTTAGTGCAATACATTTCCCCCCGGTGTACCGAGCGGCGCGTCGAATTACCCAATAACACTCAATAACTGCCCAATAACACCCAATAACTCCAAAATAACACCCAATAACACCCAATAACTCCAAATTAACAACCAATAACTACAAAATGTTGACTTTGGAAACACAAAATAATGATTTAGTTGAATTTAAGGCGCGTCGAATTACCCAATAACACCCAATAACTCCAAAATAATTCGACGCGCCCGTACCGAGTGTTATGCTATATTGGAAAACCCATTTCTATTAAAATAAACGTGACAATGAAATGGTTAAGTTTATTGCAGTTGTCTCCCAGTTGTCGCGATCAATGATGTCTCACGATATTTAACAAATTGCCACCGGTAATGACTAGTTTCGCAATGTTCATACAGGTCACAATTCTATGAAATACAATTACTGCTTATTACTGAGCGACGTTTCGCGTACAAAATTTCTACTATGCTAGATGATTGGACAGCGGTGTCCGATACTCTGAACTTTGATTCTTAAGTTGCGGGTCCCCTTCCCATTGCTTAAGAAGCCCCCCGACCCTTCCTTCCTCCCTCTTAAGAACACCCCCTTTACCACCACCCCACCCCTGAAAGATGGGTTAATTCGACTTCCGCGTACAACATTAACTTTTTCGTTAAAAGTTTCACTATTGATTCGCTAGAACATAACACTAACTTAAGAACGCGAAATCCCCTTCCATCCAGGATAAGAACGACAAAAAGGGGTGCCCATGGGTGAAATGAACAAAATGACGATTTAATGCGACTTTTGCGTACAATGATCAACTTTCGTGCATACGTCGACCAACCTGCTTAAGAAGATCCACGACCCTTCTTTCCTCCCTTTCCGAAATTTACATGATGTCACCAGAAGAAGACACTCTAGTCGTTCCTTTTCAACCCATTTTCTGGTTCAGAAAGATGGATAACACCTTCGTCATGTTACAAAAAGAAGATGATAAAATTACTCATAAATTTTCAGATGTAGTGGAAGGGTCGGGCGTAACAAGACGGTAGCGTAAAAACCCGGTGAGCCTAGTTTAAATCTAATTGAATCCAAGTCGGGGGATTATCTAGCGTTGGTATTTCGATTTTGTTTTCGTAAAGGGGAAGACCAACGATTTTCAACAAGGTTTCCATAAATCTTAAATATATATTGATAAATAATCCCCTCTGAATTTACGCGACGGCTTGGTATACTAAACGTTAAAAAAACATAAATTCGTGTTTATAATATCCTAATAAAAGGCCAATTTGATAAGATTTGTGTATGCCAAATATGTATGCTTACTATACACTCGGCAAACCTCGGCAGATTCCGTTACTCTACATCTAGCCTCGGCTGTATGACGGTAAGTGATATGTACCTACGCCTATACAATTGCGATGCGGCACCCGTTTACTTATTAGTAACACTTGCCGCTTTTAAAAAGAAGTTATCATAATTGCGTTGTTCGAAGCGTGTGTAGAATTTTCATTACAAAGTTGTCCTTGTTTGAAGAAAATCGGTTAAACTTGAAAGAAAAATATAATTCAGACTTTGAAATATTTGTGTGATAAAACATTCTTCGAAGGTGTCGCCATGGGCAATGCCTTTGGTAATCCGGGAACTTGAAAGTAGTTCCAATGGCGGACTTCGTCATACAGCCGAGGCTAGATGTAGGATACTGGAATCTGCTGAGGTTTGCCAAGTGGCTTACTATAGAGCCCGGTGAGCGTGTTGAACCAATTATGTCACTTCCAGTTTTAATAAAAATTTATTTCTCGCTTACAAAAACTTTTTTGTTTGTGTTACAGAGGGGATTATTTATCAATATATGTATTTAAGATTTATGGAAACCTTGTTGAAAATCGTTGGTCTCCCCCTTTAAAGATACATTATCGGAGATTAGATAAAGAGAGAGAGAGAGAGAGAGAAATGGGGTTTAACGTCCACTCGACACAAACTAGGTCATTTCGGGACTAACATATGGTTTAATTTTATTTACATAATTCGCTTGCGCGTAGGGGTCTTTAGCAGTGGGAGGAAACCGGAGGACCCGGAGAAAACCCACGAGGTTGGACAGGCGACCCTACTCCTTGTCACGTACAACCGGGGATTCGAAACCACGCCAGTCGACTCAATGACAGACTTTATGATACAGCGCGCGCACGCTAACCATTCAGCCATCCAACCCCCCGATTAGATAAAGAGCTGGCAGTTCTCACTATAATACTTAAAAACTAGATAGGCTAATGTAAAGGGAATTTGCTGAAAATTTCAAGTTAAATTGATCCACTCTGAACCGAGTATTTAGCTATTGAATTTTGGGCCTAGCCTCGATAAAATACATAGTCACGATTATCCATTTCTTGATTTAATCATGAATGAGCGTAGAGCAGCAGATCGGATCATAATCCAGAAAATATTGCAGGCTAGCGATGACATCGAGAGTTAATTATGGTCTGGATAAGTTAATTAATGTCTAATTAATAATTTAGATAACATTTTAGGCCTAAAGAAAGACCTGGAATAGGCAGATTTAGCTCCTGTATAATGTATGTTTAATTAACAGGTGAATAATCAATCTGAGTACATATTTGGCGGGTATTAAGCCTTGAGAAATTTGATACTTTAGCGAAAATATTAAAATCATTTTTTAAAGATATATCTTGTATCCGAATAAAATTGCAAGGCCGACTTAATTCGAAAATTTGCCCCAATTGTCTGTGAGCATTTACGAATAGTATCCAGAAACATAAGTTAACATATAACTGTTCCGAAATTGTTACTTGGTACAACAGAACATACATTCCATTTAGATTATCTTTAGTATTATTATTGAGTGCATAATTTCTTCATGACATAAAATTTTATACCTACATATCTATAATTGTGCGTTCAATGATGATTATGCATAGTGATAATAGGAGTATTTATTTATTAGCAACGAGATGTACGGGAGCACTTTTTGTCTATTTCATAGAGCCACAATTTTTCTCAATTCTTACCCCCCCCCCCACACACCTTTTTTATATCTAAATATAAACTAATTTCCTTTCACTAAATCACATGTAGACATTTGCAGTAGTAATTTTTCCGTTGGCATTTGCATCATTAAACTCCAGGTTTCGAGGGATAATATAGACCAATTATACTGAATATTAGATACACATCCCATTAACAGAGCGGTAAATAAATACAACGAAAACAAAGTAATAAAACAAACGTGTTAAATTAATTGTTAGGTTGTGAAAAACTGGTATCATACAAAACCGGGAACCAAATGGTTACGCCTCCGACGCCTGGCGTCCATTCTATGGTTGATGAAGTAGAGGCTAATCAATTGACGGCAATACACTAACATGGACCGTATATACTATGACGTCACAATGTAAAGATGTAGCCCAATCTGTCACTTGTGGTTATGCCACACAACAGTAAAAATGCATAGTTCTGTTTATTATGTTAACGGTTTTAAAATATCTTGTGATAAGTTTAGTTACTATAGCAACAGCTGCATGGTTACTGATTTATGGTGACTGGATTGAGGACAGGTCAGTCTATTTCTTTTTTCTTTGTGATAGGTTATTTCAGATCTAGTTTGATATTATATTATAATGAAGTTATAAATTAGCAAAGTGTCATTTATACGAGTACTTAAGACGAAAGGCCCAAGAACAGAACCCTGACCTACCTTACCACCCCATTTTTATAACCTTCCCACAAGATGTTATATGTTTAATAATCTTTCGCCGACATAAATTTGATCTAGTAATTTCTCAAGTAGGCTACATTTTGTTGAAAATAAAAGTTTTTATTTTAAGAATCTTTTGTTTTTAAACCGTCCATTTATTATAATCGTCACCCAAGAAATACAATGTAAAATTATTCTGCTATTCATAGTCATATTTCTTTTATTATGAACAATGATGAATTGTCAAAGTCTGGGCGAGGGTAAAAGGTCTAGGGGATGCTTTCTTATACATTGCGTTTACCACATTTATTACAAAATATTTTAAAACAGATTGAGTGAATTAAGAGGACAATTTGAACCAACACCTGTTAGAAATGCACCAGTATTGGTCGTAAGATTACGATTATTTTTAAACGGTGCTAGTTTATCTACAGGTAGGAACATTGTTGTTATTAAACGAAACTTACAGGTTTTAAAGGCCAATAAAATAGTAGATTTGCTTTTCTAATGACGATTTATTCTGGTTATAATGCATTTCTAAGCATTAAGATGACATATAAATCGATTCAATTGTTCCTCATCTTATTGTGCAACATCATTTAAAGACACATTGTCATTATTTAAGAGGTAAATGTGCCTACTGCAGGTCTTTGTTTAGGCTTTAAATGTTATATGAATTCTTAATTAGACATTTATTAACATGGCAAGACAATCAATAATCAACGCTCGATGCCATTGGATACTCGAGATTTTAACTAGATTAGAACGGTTCGGCCATTTAATGATTTAATTTAAAAATGGGGAAAGTGGGGCTAAGCTTCGAATATACTAGTACCGTGGTTACCAATACCATAATACACATCAATACACACATCTTGTCAAAACTACAAACAGTGATAACTTGGCTCAGAATAAAACAATTTGAATTAAATTTTCAATATATTGATTTGCAACATCTATTTTTGAACTATTATAGCAAGAATGACCAGTTCTTTTATCTAAATCTTACATCATAATGTATCTTTAATCCCACTGAAAAAAACATTCATGGAGTTGGAAGCGCATCGTATACATCATGAACTCAGATGGTTTGGTGACCCGTGCTTTTACATGCGGAACCAGTTCCCGTGGGGGCGGGGGACCAAAAACCGAACATCGTTGTGTGGTGCGTGGAGAAATGGTGGGCTCTGTGGAGCATTCTAAAATCGATTTGCAGCATGGTGAATTTGTTTGACACGAATTATGCATAGTATGATTATGATTGAAAGGGGTAGAAAAACTCAATGGTGCGCAAAAACTCACCATTGCTTTTAAATAATATTTCCAATTTTTTCCCTTATTTTCCCCAATATTTTTATTTTCTTATTATTTAATTTGTCCAATATTTTAGGATTTTGTGTTGGTGTATTTGAGATGATCTGTGTATTTTCTCTTTTCCTGTTAAATTTATGTAAGTTCCTGAATTTTATTTTTGAATCGTCACTCGTTAATTCAATAATATTTATGATCAGATTAGTTACAATTAATCTGAGTTTAAAACATAACGTTACCAGGCAACGAATATACACCAATCAGTAGCATTCTGAAGGGTGGCCAGAACTTCATAAATCTTGTGGAATGCCCCCCAAAATAGTCACTATAAGGCATTAAATTTCGATTAGTTTCCTTACGACATGTTAAAGAATATCAGCTACTTTGAAACAAAAAAATAAAAAATCTGAGATCGAGGTGACAGGGTTAGTAACTCTGCGAAAATCGGTGGCACAATAAATGCTTGAAAAATGCGTAAAAATTAATAACGGAACGAGTACGTGCATGTTATACGGGGACTATATATGTTTTTCGTTAAGATATTTTATTTTGTTTTCATTTCTTCAGTCACACCTCAATCTATTTTTAAACACAAAATTCTAATTTTTCAGTCATTATTCCGACTTGTCTTCTAATGGCTAAATTTATATCTGTTTCACCACCAATTTCCAACACAGAAACAAGTGATCCAACAGCTGTACCTGATAATTCGATTCTAGAATTACATTTTTAGATTTTATTTATTCATTATTATTTATACTTTACATATATCTATGTAGAATTATATTTTTGAATTTATTTAATCTAGATTTATACTTAGATATATCTATGCTAGAATTTCTTTTTAAGATTGATCTATTCTACATTTATACTTTTAGATATATCCATGCTAGAATTACATTTTTAGATTTTATTTATTCTAGATTTGTACTTTTAGAAATCTAAGCTAGATTTCCATACGTTAGATCTATTCTAGAGTTACATGTTTCTATCCCAACGTCGATATAATTTTGTTTTTAATAGTGATAATTTAAGGTAGTCTTCGTATTCTCTTCATATTCTACATTTATACTTATAGATATCTCTATGCTAAAATTACATTTTTAGATTTTAGATATATCTAAGCTAGATTTACATCTAGATTTTATTCTAGGATTAAATGTTTCTATCCCAACGTCGATATAATTTTGTTTTTAATAGTGATAATGTAAGGTTTTCTTCGTATTCTACATTTATACTTTTAGGTATATTAATGCTAGAATTACATTTTTAGATTTTAGATATATCTAAGCTAGATTTACATACATTAGATTTATTCTAGAGTTAAATGTTTCTATGCCAATGTCGATATAATTTTGTTTTCAATAGTGATAATTTAAGGTAGTCTTCGTAGAATTACGGTTTAGATTTAACTGTTCTAGGGAATTAGATTTTACACATTGTAGATGTAATTAAATTTGTTTTTCAATTCAACTGATCTATCCATTTTTGATTTTAAAGAATATTTTAAAATAGCATTATCTCTGTCATATAGATAAATTGTTCTGTGGCCTTTTTTATAATTGAGTTTTGGTGTGTTTATGGTGGCACGTCTAGATTGTTGTAGGTACTCTGTGTGTAGATCCGGCTCTAGTACTTTAAATGACAATACAACTTAATTAAAATCCATTAAATGTAAATAAAAACGTCAATATAAGCAGGGAGTTTTGAAAACATATTTCCAGCTACTAAAGAGCTATTTACATATATCAACGAATGGGGTTATTTTTCTGGTTTTATCAAACATAGAGTTTAAATAAATCAACAAATTTATCACTCATTCACAGAATTAATATTCCATTAGAAACGCCCATACATACGATACCTGATGTGTGTGTGAGAGAGAGAGAGAGAGAGAGAGAGATACAGGGGGAGTAGGACATTTTGGGACTAACATGTGGTCTTTGGCAGTGGGAGGAAACCGGAGGACCCAGTGAAAACCCATGAGGTTGGACAGGCAACCCTACTCCTTGTCACATGGATAATAAAGACGGGCATACGCCATGTAGTGTGTTATGAGGGAAATTTCTCCCAGCCAGACAGCAATTGAATTCCAAACGTCACTGGCTTTTTCACGTGCACGCCAAAGTGTAAAGGAGGACCTCATTTTTTCAGTTTTTTTCGTAGCATCCAGCCTGCAACAATGATATGAAGAAACTTTTATATAAGCCAATATCGAGGTCAAACATTGGACCTGCTGGTTTATCACTGAGCCATGGCGGCTCTCGCGCCGATTTAAGAAATTCTCCTTAACATTGTGTCTACTTGAAGCTGAATAGGTTTTGACTCTTAATATTTTAAAAGGATTACCGTTCACCTTAAGATGAAGGAAACGCCTTAGATTTGATGGGAATTGTACCTTAAGGTGGTGACTTAAGATTTGAGGAGAATTGTACGTTAAGGTGTTGACTTAAGATTTGATGGGAATTGTACCTTAAGGTGGTGACTTAAGATTTGATGGGAATTGTACCTTAAGGTGGTGACTTAAGATTTGATGGGAATTGTACCTTAAGGTTGTGACTTGAGGGGAATTTTATCTTAAGGTTGTGACTTAAGATTTGAGGGGAATTGTACTTTAAGGTGGTCACTTAAGATTTGAGGGGAATTGTACCTTAAGATTGTGACTTAAGATTTGAGGGGAACTGTACCTTAAGGTGATGACTTAACATTAATGTAGTTCAATTGACATACAGGGCATGGAAGAAACAATCTAATCCAAAATGTTAAAGCTTGATCAATGTTACAGTTGGTTCTTTTTACAATTCAAGTCAAATAAAATCAGAATAGTAAACTAAAGACAATAATTTATGAGATTAAAATATTATATTTCTGTATAAGAATACATTGGGGAGATGATATACATATACATAAAGTTGCTGTTCAGGTTTCTTTTGAATACACAATATAACTCCATTAGTTCTTAATGGATAATATTCCCCATTTAAAAATGTAGTGAAAAATACTTGCCTATATTTTACTTCCCTGTTCATAAGGGCTGTGCATTCCAAAATCATATGGTAATAATCCATTGTCAGACATCAGTGAGCACAATTTTAAATATGAATTTTAATGCATTAAATAAAGGAAAGCAGATTTTTTAAAAAGGAATCAGGTTTATGATACAATTTTAATGTTTAAAACCAATCCAAACATTCTATCTGAAAACGATGTGAATTTGAGTTAATATATCCATACACCAAATTATGTATTATACCTATTGCAGAAGACCCATTTTGCAATGTATCAATTTTTTTGACAGCCCCACTACCAATACACATGCAAGATCATAGTGTTTTGAAAGTGCTATAATACTTGGTTTTTGATTATCTTTTGTTACAGTTTATCAAGAACAGGTAGTAAAATGGCTAAGGAACCCCAGTAAAACTTATGGCATGGTTCAGGAAAAAGTTTTAGGCTTTCAGCTGTAACATTAATATTTAAAATGTTGGATTTATATATAACTATAATAAAATGAATAAAATAATTGAATATAAATATAAAATAATATTTTAAACAATATGAAAAACATAAATTATAGAATAAAACATGGAATATATAATAATGAATGTAAGCATTTGGTATACAAATATAATGGATTACAATTTCATTCACAACCAAATTTAATCTAAATAGGCCTTCTTACATTACCAAATCTTGTACCTACAAAAATTATAAAAATAAGAAGAGAAATGGGAGTTTGATATCTATTCAGTACAAACTACATTTATGTAATTTTAAAAAAAATAACCAGGAATATTTTTATTTTAACAATTTGCTTGTGCTCAAGAGTCTTTGGCAGTGAGAGTAGTCTTTAGAATCCAGATAAAAAAATACAAGGTAAGGTATGTGTTGGTAACTTTGTCCAGAGTAAACCTGGGATCAAACTCATGACTTGCATAGATGACATTTTAAAAAATAAATGCCATTAATTGTGTAAGTGATATCAAAGTACACAACTCCAATATTTAGGAGGGTTGAAAATATTCAAATATATAAGTTTGTTTTTCAATGAATAATTTGACTACTAATGGCTCCAAAAAGTTTCAAATTAGTAGTTACTGTGAAGCTCAAATGAATTATCGGTCATCAATGGCATCCAAACCAGAATTTAACTCCCCTTAACACCCTGATATTCTAATGTGAGGTAACATTTGTTACTATAGGAAGGTCTATATAGTATAGTATGAGAGGTACAAGTATATATAGATATATTTCTACTATATAATATGTTAATGGAACACTATATATTGATAAAAGAACATTTAATAAAATAATAAACAAAATGACTTTAAAATAGTAACAGGTCATCGGGAAATAAAGATTCACAATCAAAATGTTCATCTCTGAAAGATAAAATGTAGTTTAGTGCATAATACGTTTTTGTGGCCTTGCCATGAACTTTGACTTATATCTGTGTTCTGTTTTGTGGTTTTATTAGGCAGTTAATAATGATGCACTGTCTGTTAACCCATAAACCATTTTTGATAATTTTATACTTTAATAATTTCAAATTCAAACCCACAATAAAAAGTTTCTCTTATTTAGTTGGTTCGTCAGACTTAACATACACTTTCACCTAGGGTTCTCACAGGGCAAACCTTGAATCTTGTAGATGCAGTCAATGTGGAAGGAACACAATGGAGCTTCTCTATAAGGACAGGTGGCAACAGTGTTATAGTGAAGGCCTGGTTTTAAACTAGGGTCACATTATAACACTGGTGTACTGGTTAACAACCCGCTATTTATGTATATGTTATTTAAGTACTAAATATTTTAAAGCTAAATTGGTTATCAATTAATACATGCACATATAACATTTAAATTTAACAAATGAGATTACTTTTAAGTACAATAATAACCAGAGTTATTTGAGCATTGTGTAGAGAAATTTGGAGTATTTAGAATCATCAGACCCATATACACAAATTAAATAAAATATATTATAATGGGCTGATATATATGCCAATAACATAAATACAAAATACTTATATGGTCAATCTCAAAAGCCAGAGAGAATCAAATATTTGGATGAAAGGCTGACATTTTATATTCAAAATCAAATATTCTAGAATATGATGTTTTTGTTGCACAAACATTTAATTACACTCATTTTATTTAGACTTTATTTATGATTCTCTGGAAGACTTGTTGGTGCCAGTGGACTGCACAACAGATCTGCATGTATACAGTATATATTATATATATCATAGACATTTGCTAGCTTGGGTAGGATTAAAAGCTCATTTAACAAGATATACAAACTGAAAGACAAAAGAAATACCAATCAAGTGATTTTTTTTTTAATATACGTCCAACTGAAAATCATTTCTGCCCTGTGTGTTGTAACAACAAACTTATACCTGATTATTTCCCTTTTGAGAATGTAGCAATATTGGTCTAACTTACTGAAAGGCTTTTCTTTTGTCATTCAGTTTATATAAGTAAAACATGCAAAAATAAAATAACAGACAAACACTAATGATGCTATTTCAAAGAAACAAGATCCTCATTATTGATCATCCAGACACAAATTTACCCTATAAGCTAGAGAAAATGGGAAATAGATGATCGCAGGAGGACAAGTTCACAAGAAATGAACATAGGAATAATAGTAATAATAATAATAGACAAAATGGGACTATAATTAACAAGGTTTACAAGATTGAATAACTAAGTTCTCATATAAACAACAGTAAGGTTAAGAGACTTACGATATAAAGAATATAAAAAGTAGTCTTACCAATTTGTTGGTCCACAAATTATTAAAATTTGATCAACACTAATGTAAGTTATGGATATATGGACATTTAATTAAAGTTCACACTACTCTAGTTATTTCATTGCACCATCTTTAAATTCTCTTGTAATCATCAGTTGACATTTGAACGATAATTCATTTCTATCCACAAACATCAAAGCCAAGATTAATTCTAATTTTCAATAGACTAAAGTACTATCTAGACTACTACACATTGCAGCTCGATTTTAATTTATAAACAGATCTAAAAGAATATGAAATAGACAAAATTTGCAATGAAGACATCAATGATATGTAAAGTATTGAATGATTTTGATTAATAAACAACATTTTAATAGTACATGATGAAAACTAAAGCATGTCTTTGGTAATAAATTAAATAAAGACCTTTAATGGCAGTGTTAGTCAAAGTTATATACATATAAATATTTACACATTGGTTGCGTATAAGTTGTTAGGAAACAATTATAAGTAACAAAATAAAGCAGTTAACTTAATGTTTAAATTTGGGCATGGCAAGATAATTGTTTTTGTTATGGAGAAAATGCATAATTTTGGTAGTAAGAAAATTTAGAAATGGCTATATTCACATATACATACCCGTAACCAAACCAAATAAGTGACTCACGCAAGAGGGAAGATTTTTCAAATTCAAAAAAAACCTTTTGTTTCTGTAAATAAAACTTATTTGTATAAAAAATAAAATTCTATTATTCAGTTTTCTAGACTTATACACCAATTAATTTATCAGCAAAATTCTAATTTTTAAATTTTGTAAGCTAGTGTTTCCAATATAAATTGTTAAATTAACATAGTTTAAAGGGAAAAAATTTGTACACAACTCAGACAAGACTTCCCAAATAAATAATGTTGACAGGAATAACTGTCTTGACCTTTCATACTTCTACGATGATGGTTCAATCTTGTTTAATAATATCTTCCATCCAGGATCTGTAATATTCAATCCTCATAAATCTATTGGCTCGAAAATGACGTGCTATCTGTCCACAGTGATGGCTTCCACTACTCATGATGCCTAATAGACTCCAACGCCCTCTAGAGTTCATACACATTAAAGGTCCACCACTATCACCCTGAAATTCAAAACAATAAATTGATGGCATATATATCTACCATTGATTCTACTATTGGTGAACACTGTCTTCTGACTAGATGATCAAGTCTAGGGAAATAACTATTTAGAATGTGCAAAAGTTAAAAGATATGCTTTTACAAGCATAATTATAGTCTCGGTCACAAAGAACCTTCTAGTCTTCAGCGAACAGAGGGTCTGGGACTGTTTATAATATTTGACGAAAAGTTCCATTGCCCATGTGTAACCAGGAGTTATACAGTATTTTTCACCAAGTCAAGTAAGAGTTGCGCCCTTCTCACAATAAATCCCACAATTCTTGCATTGTTATAAACAAACATGAATCGTGATGACGAATTAGGATTAATTTAAAAAAAAAAAAATAGATGGTCCATGAAGAGAGAAATTTTAGAATAAAAAAATTAAGAGTGTTAGATATTGAACTGGCAATGCAATCAAATGGATATTCTGGAATGGCATTCTTAAATTAATTTTTTGCACGTCAACATCTTGTTTTAGGACCAGTTACCTCCCTTAGACTTCGATTATGATAATGTGAAAGACCAGATAATCTTGTCAATGACCTATTATTCTCAAATGAGGACAAGGCATCCAGACTAATATTCAGAGAATATTTTTCTGAATGATAAAGACTAGCATAATTAGGTCATCTGTTTGAACCTCTAAACTTTTTTTATCTGAAAGTGAACCTATAATAATTATAATCAGTAAAAATATTCAAAATTATGAAATATTTGTAGAAATGAAAAAAAAATTATTATACATTAAATACGTCGCAATTTATAACCTAGTAGAAATTGTATCACTACATACTGGAACAGTGAATCAAATCACAGTACATGTATATTAGGGTGTTTCATATTTGAATTTTTTTTCGTGATTGAACTCTACCATGTGCCATGCGTTTCCAATTGGGTCCAAACTCATCACCAGCGAATATTATAATTTTCCTACCAAAAATGTCGGGCCGCTGCCATTTTGAATTTTTCACCAAAAATGACTCAATGTGAAATTTTTGAAATAGTCGGAAAAAATACTTCCCATTACAGTAGAAAGATAAAACGTGGCACAATGCATCGAAAAGGCACAGAGATGTTCTGCGATTTATTTCAGAATTTTAGCATCAAAATTCAGGAGGTTTGCAATTTGGCATTTTTTTTTAGAAAAAAGTCTTTTTCTGTAGAATTTGTTAAGACCACTATGATTAAAGATGGGTTCCCGCGTACAAACTGGGTGATTTAATGGTATATATGGGCCAAAAACATATTCAAACTAATTAATTTGTCATAATTATGCTTCAAATCCTTCTCAAACATTGTAATTGCGAAGGAATGCCCTACTATTAAAATTCGATCAAACCAGGTCATGTTTACGTCTCGTCTTGGGAGTCAGAGGAGAATTCATTGCATACATAAGACGAATCGTTGTCTTTAATCGCTTACTATTTATTACAAATGTCGAATCCTAATTAAATTCTCGGATTATCCACTACCCGCGTCTTTTTCCGTCATTTTTATCTCAGAAAGTATTGTACGTCTAACTCTTCATAAAGTTGATCAACTTGTACATCAAGCGCTCAATGTTCGCTCGTGACCTTTGACATCACGTGTGCAGAAGTTCCTAATCGTCGGGCTGTTGATTAGGGGAACCCTTACATTTTTGTCCTGTATACGCTCCATGAGTGTTTTTCGGGGAATCCAGTATTTTTCTAGTAAGATTGGATATCTCTACTATCCATATATACCAAAATTGCCATACTTTTATTGGAAATAACCACCCGATAAATACGTTTCTGGGAACCCATCTTTAAACTCCACCAAAATGTCATAAACAAACCTATCTACACATATGGAGATTAATAAAGAACTAAATTAGTTATGCGGGTTGTCCTCGATGAATATTTGATCATACAAGAGAGACAGAAACCATTCAAATAATCACATAAGTCATTTAATAATCCAGACGAGCCAAAGTGTGTTTCATATAGTCAGGAAATTTGGTGTGATGCATTTCGACTGACTGTAGCAAGGCCTGTAACTGTTCTTCATCGCCAGTATTGTCAATGAAGTCTTGAATTGTCACCCTAATGTATATTGTCACAGTCCGTATAAGAACAGTCCACATACTCAAATGAGAGCCACGGTGGGTCAGTGGGTAGGATGTTGGTTTGCTAACCTGAAGGTCCAGTGTTCGATCCCTGCTTGAAAACGATAAGAGAATATTTGTTGAAACGTCGTGATATGTCTATAAACCAGGGATTGTTTTATCTATAAACCAGAAATTTTTAGCTATGTTTGTGCATTGAAGCAGATTTTAAATTTCTAGCATATATACCTGACAACCAGTTGGTAATCCAGGCCGCATATAACCAGTACAGATTGTTGCATTTGTATTAACCAATGTTTCACCACTGACTGTATTTCTTGAACATCTAGCATCATCCCATATCAACATCTTAGTGTCACGTAAATCTTCTATGGTCATATCTACATTATAAAAGTACATTGTTAATGATACTCCACATATAATAAACACATCAGATTCCTCTTAAAATATTTGTTTTAAATATAAGTTGATATTGAAATCATATTTGTAAAGAAACGCAACTCATCAAATTACATTAGTTTCAATTGCTATCGAATAACGAATAGTAAAATAGTCTTGAATAATTAATCAATTTTGAATATTTGTTTGAGCTGTAAAAGTAACGAATAGTAAAATGGCGTTTCGAATAGTCCTGAATAATTATTCAATTTTGAATATTTGTTTGAGCTGTAAAAATGTATGCTTACATTGTCGCCATGAAATAAGACCCCAGCCAGCTAAATAACAGTTTGAATCAGACAGATTCTGTTCTCCAGTTAAACATATAGGCTGTATAGTTTCTGTATAGGAGACTGGATGTGCTAGTTTGATCAAGGCTATATCATTCAACACATTGCCACCTGAAGTAACTTCTATGCCTGGATGTCTGTGTATTTTGCTAGCACGTATTTTAGTTCCTGTCTTCCTGTTTGGTGAACCTAGTAATATTGTTGAGTCAGATGGAGTCTCTGTGTAGTCAAAATTATCAGGACTGAAAGGTACAGAAAAATAGGGTTTCTGAGTGTTATGAAAGTATAATATTAATTTTTGTTATTTCCAAGCATGATCTATAGAAATGGGGTTTAATATCCACTTGACACAAACTAGCTCATTTGATGTAAATTTATTTCAATAATTCGCTTGCATAGGAGTGTTAGGAAACCAGATGACCCGCAGAGAATCAACAAAGTCGGGCAGGTTTCAAATACAGGCTTGGCATCAAATCCATGCCACTGGACTCAATGACAGACCTTATGATCTAAAGTGCGTGTGTAAGACTACATAACATCTCTGGTGCATTCATCAGCAGTAGTTTGTGTTCATGCGATGTTCTCTCTATATATTATATATATTTATCTACCAAATCATATTGCCCTAAAAAATCTACTCTTAATGAGTCTGAATATAAGAAATATTAGGATTATTTTTTTCAATTTAATGTTTTTCAACTATACAGCTTAGAGTGGCATTGTTTTGTTTAGTAAAGACTGCATCATCTGCAAGAAATTAATATTATCAAAATATTTCACTTATTTTGATATGATCATATATTCTAGCCGTCGATAATGTTCGATATAAAATAGCCGGCTGACAGTTAGTAGACCGGTCTAGTGTGACTAATATCAAACCAAGAGCAATTAAACTGTACCTGTATACACAATGTGCAGCTGTTATGATCCATTCTGGTGATATCAATGCTCCAGCACATGATGCCCCACCTTTGTAAGAAAGGGAGACAACCCACGGCCATTTACCAACAGGTACCAGTTCACCACCAGCTATAAATGGCTGTAAAAAACTCACTTTTCTTTCTCCGCACTCTACAAAATAAATCCAAAACAAACTGTACATGTTCTGTAAAACAAAAGTTTCCAAGTAACTTAGGGCATTAATTCCTAACCACCAGCCTATATTTATTCTGTTGTAGGCAATAGGATCATTTACAAGACAATTTCATACAGATCGATTGATAACTTTTGTCATTCAAAGCTTCGACAAAGCGAAACAAGGGCTAAAACTCTAGAAGTTATTAACAGAAATTGCTGATAATCAAAAGGCTTCTTCGGTTTACTAAGCAGATAACTCTTTGATGACATGTCATCCCAAAATTCTGAATTTCGATAGGGTTCTGTCTTCCTTATGACCCATTTCCCTGAATTTAAGAAATATCATTAAAAACTTTGATCTGTAGAATAGTAACAGGAAATTGTGGACGGACAACATAGTTCACAATGAATGTAGGTGGATAAAAATACCCACTAGTGGCTAAGTCATACAAACTCAGTGTGAAAAATTCTGATATGGAGTGTTTAAATGTCAAAATCAGCAACCTGAAGAACAGTTGTTACAAGTGGACTGGTGAAGTGTTAGGTAGGGGTGACAATAGAATACAACCACACCACATTAAAACAACAAACAAATATTCCATAAAATAAAAAGTTTTACTTTTAACCAATAGGGACACATCTTCAAAATATCAAGATCAATCGACCATGTCTCATACCTTGACTGCATTACCTGACTTTGTCAAAACATCTCCATCACATAAAATCAATGAATTGGGGTACTGATCTTAAACCTTTTTGAGGATTTTCTAATTCTAGTAATCTTAAATCTTTTGAAATGCCCGGTAAGTTCAATCCAATGTAAAGCAGTCTTATTTCATTTTTCATTTGTTATGTTGCAAAATTTCCGTCAAACAGATCAAGTTTAAGGACAGGACAACTATTCAATTTGCATGAAGTGGTGTGTCTCCATTAGATTTCTGATATGAGACTTTAGAGGACAGGTGACAAAGATTGACCAACTAGTTGTCTTTATCAATAATTGCAATGCCTGAGTCGTTGAAAATGGCAGTATTTTCAACAAGGTTATTTATAATTTTTTTCAGTATTCAACCCACTTGAAATCCAGATAAAATTAACAAGTGCAGTTATGCGATTTGATTCATGTCGCTACACCTTGACATTATGAAGATGATATAAACCAACCTGTCATGTGACATGCTAGACGAACGTACTTCTTTGTTGAACATGCAGCACTACATGCAAAATAAACAAATAAAGAGACGTGCAACATAGAAACATGAAATTAGAAAACAAATTAAACAAAAGATTAGAAAAAAGGAATTAAATCATACAATCAAAGTAAAACAAAATGCTACAAAATCAAATATTAACTAAAATAATGTCTAACAAACACTCTAAAACAATTAGAAAGAATTTGCATACCTTGAAACAGGTGAAATGGAGGGAAAATACAAATTTCATTAGTAAGAAGTAGGGTTTTCACATAAAAATTCTTATATTTGACATATTCTGATTAGCACTATATTTTAATATCCCAATTTTATTTATTTCAGATTAGCAAGATCTTATTTTCAAAGAATATGAAATTTTTTAACATTTATCCCAATTTTGTTTACCGGTACATCAAGACATTTTTCCGCAAAGAATATGAAAATTTTGACTATTAACCCAAATATTCTCCAGATCAACAATTTCAAAATGACTGAAATAAGAGCCATGGTAGGACGACCTTGTAGCCGTTCAGTAAATTGAAGCAAAATAAATTGGTTGAACTTCTGGCTTCTGTTGATTGGGAATGAGTTAGAGTAAAGATAAGATACCAAGGCCATTAAACAGATTTCACAGCATACTATAAATACTGTATATTAAAGTATGTAAATCTACACATTAAAAAGAGTCTTTCACCCTGAATAAAGCTGTTTTGTTTACACGAACATATCTGGGACATTAACATATCTTACCACAAATTCAACCTATTTCTAGTCTTTGGTTCATGTGATATTATTCTAGAAATTTTTCCTGTTGGCAGTAATTTAATCATTAAATTTATCCCTTTTTCCTGTTTGATCCCTTTCTAGTAAGATAGGTTGCCAGACAACAAAACATACGCCCACAGCAGCTAAATTGTCCGAGCTGTCGACAAGGGTTGTCGCATATTTATTCCTTTGTAGGTAATTGGGGGCCTTTACAAGACAGTTCTATACAGATCAGATTATAAATTTTGTCGTTTGAGGGTTTACAAGGTTCTACAAACTGAAACAAGGGTCTCAACTCTGGAAGTAATCTACAGAAATTGTTGAAATTTGACAGGCTTTTTCGTTTTACTAATTTAAATAATGCATATACATTTCACAGAGATTGGGTGATAACTTTTGGCGTTGGAGCATTCACAAGGTTCAATAAAGTGAAACAAGGGCCATAACTCTAAGCGTAATACACAGAAATTGCTGAAATTCAATAGGCTTTTTCGTCTCACTAATTTAAATCATGCATATAAATTTCTCAAAGATCGGGTGATAACTTTTGGCGTTAGAGCGTTCACAAGGATCAATAAAGTGAAACAAGGGCCATAACTCTAGACGTTTTAAACGGAAATTGCTGAAATTCAATAGGCTTCTTCGTTTCACTAATCTAAATAATGCATATACATTTCACAAAGATTGGGTGATAACTTTTGTGGTTGGAGCATTCACAAGGTTCAATAAAGTGAAACAAGGGCCATAACTCTAGACGTAAATAACGTAAATTGCTGAAATTCAATAGGCTTTTTCGTCTCACTAATTTAAATAATGCATATAATTTTCAGAAAGATCGAATGATAACTTTTGACGTTAGAGCGTTCACAAGGATCAATAAAGTGAAACAAGGGCTATAACTCTAGACGTAATTAACGGAAATTGCTGAAATTCAATAGGCTTCTTCGTTTCAGTAATCTAAATAATGCATATAAAATTCAGAAAGATCGAAAGATAACTTTTGGCATTAGAGCGTTCACAAGGTTCAATAAAGTGAAACAAGGGCCATAACTCTAGACATAATAAACAGAAATTATTGAAATTAAATAGGCTTCTTCATCTCACTAATGTGAACAACATATATCAATTTTAAAACAATTGGATGATAACTTTTGGCGTTAGAGCGTTCACAAGAAATTGTGGACGATGGACGGACGGACGGACAGACCGACAGACGGACGGGGGCGACGGCAATATACGTCCACATTTCAATGTGGGCGTATAAAAATGGTTTTGATTTTGCTATTGTCTATTGAGAGAAAGATCTAACTGCTCCTAGAAAAACAATTTTATGTCAAAGTTGCAAAGAAACTAAAACCACAGCTATTTTCTCAAATGATGCAGAAATACTCAACTACATCTAAGGAAGAAAGATTTCTGTTCTAATTAAAGCCATCTATAGTACAATACCTGACATTAAAAATATTAATGATAGGAGTTTTTTCATTGGTTGATACATTTTCTACATTAGCTATGGTCATCCATTTTACATTTTTGTCTTCAGTTGTGTTGAAATCTACCTTGGATACATTACTGTAAAAGATATTCATGTACAAATAAATTTTCTAGGCATATTATATGCATGAAGTAAGTTAGCCCCTGAGTAGCATTTTTGACTTGGCAAAAAAAAAAATAGCTTGATGATATGTTTAGTTTTTAGTTCATTATTTAGAATCCAACAGTGTGTAAGTATTTGGTGATGTAATTATTAGTATTTGATGATGTAATTATCAGTATTTGATGATGTAATGATCAGTATTTGATGATGTATAATTATCAGTATTTGATGATGTATAATTATCAGTATTTGGTGATGTAATTATCAATATTTGGTGATGTAATTATCAGTATTTGATGATGTAATTAACAGTATTTGATGATGTAACTATCAGTGTTTGATGATGTAATTATAAGTATTTGATGATGCAATTATAAACAATTGATGATGCAATTATAAACAATTGAAGATGTAATTATAAGTATTTGATGTAAAGTTTCTAAATGATGCCCTCAAAATAAAACATATCATCAAGCTAAAGCTAAAATGGCCTAAGTCATCTAGAAAATGTCCACATTGGTTGTATTTAAAGCTCCAATGACTGTCTGATGAGAAATGTTACAAGCTGACATGTTAATTTGTTCAATTTATCAAGTATAATGCAAATGAGACTTAAATTTTTTTTAAAAAAAATCTGTCCTTAAAGGTTTTGTGTCCTTTTGAACGTTCAGTCTCTAAATTAAACAGTAACCCATTGTCAGTGATGGCATAAACATATACTGAATAATGACATACCAAAATCCCTGATATTTAGAATTCTGATAATACAAATAATGTAAATCAGATATTCTGATTCAAAACTAAACAGTACCCAGACATTCTGATCCAAAACTAAACAGTAAATGATTCTCAGTGAAAGTAGACACATATACTAAATAATGATATAAACTTACTCAAATCCCTGGTATTTACAAATCTGTTGACTTAAAGATGGCTTCCAATTCTCACTGCAGACGTAGAAACTTTCATCTTGAACTTTGACCTTTAGATCTTTTAAAAGGAACCCCGACCCAACACTAACTGTCAAATAAAACAAATTGACTGTATTTTATGGATTCTCAACATCCATGCCAGTGTTCTTGATCACTTGCTGATTAACAGTTCATTACTCCAGTCTTCAGCACAAGATACAACCTGTCCACTTTACTTAATAGTTGGTGTATACTGGTCAAGCCGAATATAAAACAAATGACTTGGGTACTGCTTCAAACACAGGGTGATGAATTTATATAAGCTCCTCAGTAGGATGTTAAACCTCATTTCATTTATATAAGTTCCAGCTTGTTTCAGATCCCATAATTGTATCTTTATATTACTTAAATATTTATTGAATAAAAATAGTGTTAGAAAAAACAAAACAAACACTACTTTGCTTGCCTCAACTGTCAAGGTTGTACAGAAGTGGCAATCTGACTTTCAAGATGACTGATAATGACAAATTTTTCGCCAGCTTCGAATATGTTTTTACATTTGAAATTGGAACAAATTTGGTTATTGTGATCATCTGTTGTGGTTTCAATCCAACACTTGCAAGTGGATCACCTACCTAACATTGTGGGTTTTCTTTGGTTCCTCCATCTGTTAAAGACCCTTGTGTGCACGCCAATTAATGAAATAAAAGAAAACATATGTTTGCCCCTCCCTTGTGTATTTGGGTGGTAGTTGTACTCTGTTCTTAGTGTGTCATATCATAAAAATTAAAATTGAATAGCTTACCACAGTTCTTCTCATCTTCAGCATCTGGACAGTCTTTGACACCATTACACACTAACGACCAGTCTCTACAAGTATAGTCATTACAACTATACCATTGAGTCCCACATTTATCTGTAAGAAATAAACAAATATATATATAGACTAACAGCATGCTACATTAATAGTTTATTAAAAGCATGTGCTTGCACCCCAAGTCATTGCCCACTGTGAACAATCTGAGTTGTGACTTTAACTCTTTTAATACCAGGTTACTTTCCATGTTGAGTTAAACTTAATTGTAGACTGGTAAAAAGACAATTCTTAATATATTGCCATTTGATTTTAATACTTAATAAACCTCGGGGTTGGGGGAGGGGGGGGGGGGGACATTTGAAAACTGGGACTTCTCCTTTAAATGAGCTAAATCAGTTCAGAAGTTTTTGAGAATAAAACAGTTTTATTTAAAGCTACATTAACACATCTGAATGCATGGTTGATCAATTCAATCAACAACATTCATAGACTTTGATTGGGTTACTATGTACCAGTGATTCTATTTTGCACATATATTCCAGACATGTCCTATGCTATTTTCCAAATGTCTGACAAGGAATATGCCCAATCAGACATCAAAGTATGGTGAATGATATTCAAAATTCCAAATTTAATTGACTGTATAACTACTACTCATCCCGATTATCTTTGATAATAGGCTGGATTGATTGGGTGATTAATCAACATATCTATCGTGTTATACCATTTATAAACCTCCATTCATTAACTACCTATAATCTGTCGGACAATTCATCAATCCATTGCTTCTCCTTTGTCAGACTATTTATCCATCCAATAAGAGTGATTATAAACTTAATCTACGTGACTAACTCACGGTTCCTCCATTGTCAGACATTTTAATCTCCTTGATGTCAAGTCAGTAATAAAGTAATAAAGATTATAAATGAAATGAAATGGGGTTTAACGTCCTACTGTTTTGCTCCTAAACTGGGCTAATGAAGATGGGCATATGCCCATACAGTGTATTATGAGGGAAATTTTGCCCGGGCAGCAACGCTACGGCCTACTCTTATATAGGATTCCAACTGCCAAGGGATCTTTTACGTGCACGCCCATTTGTACACGGGACCTTGGTTTTTCATCCCATCCGAACGACTAGACAGCTGTCCTTGTCAGGCCCTCTATCCTGAATAAACATTATAAATATAACTACTATAAAAACCTACTGCAATTCTGTTCATCTGTTCCATTTACACAGTCTTGATAACCATCACACATCCATTCTCTTAATATACATTTACCGTCTGGACAGCGATATCTACCACCAAAACATTCTATGAAAAGTAAGACATATGTTAATAATCTTTTGTATATTTATGATATCAGTGCTATATACCTGGCCTTTCATTTTAAAATTTTGCCAGTCGGTCCAATTTTGACATATTATATTTATAAAATTATTTCAAATTAACTAGATATTTCTTTCAAAGAATATAGAATTTTGTTAGCATTATCCCAATTTTTAAAATATATTTCAAAGTGTTTTTAAATTCTTTGAAATATTAATCTTATAACACACCAGATCAACCCATTTTACACATAATTTTGACCTAAATCATAGCAGAGATGATGACTGTCATTTAAAATTCCATCATGGTCAACAGTTTCCTAACAACAAATCTTTATAGTATATACATGTAGGAATCTAGGATATACATGTAAATGTAAATTTACGTTGAGCTGGTCAATATCCCATATCTTAATTCAAATTAAAGTTTTTAATACTACATGTAATACTGTTTAAACTTACTGCAATTCTGTTCATCTGAGTTATCTCCACAATCATCAAAACCATTACACACAAGACTTGGTTCAACTTGAACAGTATTATTACATTGTTTATGTCCATAAATAGTAGCTATAATAATAATTATATTACATTGTTTATGTCCATAAATAATAGCTATAATAAAAATATTACATTGTTTATGTCCATAAATGGTAGCTATTAGTATAATATTAATATTACATTGTTTATATCCAAAATAATAGCGGTAACAACAAATTGACATTGTTAATGTCCAAAATAATAGCTATGTTAAAAATATTAAAAACATTGCTTATGTTCAACAACAGTAGTTATATGTACACTGTTTATATCAAACAACAGTAGCTATAATAATAATAGTACATTCTTATGTCCAACAACAGTAGCTATAATAATAATAGTACATTGTTTATGTCCAACAACAGTAGCTATATTACACTGGTTTTTTTTACTTCCAAAATAGTAGCTATGTGACAATATTACATTGTATTTATACAAAAATAATAACGATGATGAAATGGGGTTTAACACCCTACATTTCTGCACAAACTGGGCTAATGAAGACGTGGGGTGTCAACAATATTTTATCACATTTTGATGTCGACATACCAAAACAAGGTTTTGAGGTTAGAAAATTAAACAAAACTTACGACAATTCTTTTCGTCTGACAGATCTACACAATCAAATACATCATTACATCGGGAATCAGATCGTGGTAGACACAAACCATCAGCACATCTAAAACCTTTACATACTGTCAAAAATATCATAGATAATTCATAAAGAATAACACATGGCCATATAAAACATGCACTCCCTCTCTGATACCAGGAATTGTGGAGAAGTAGATATCCCTTGTATAACATACAGGTAACATTTAGAGTTGTCAATAAGTACAGCACACCAAGATGCATTTTACAGATGTATAGGAACGACAATATATCTCATGTATTTATCCCATGCAATGTTGCTTGTTTACAAAAATAATATCTTTATATGTACTGTCCATCTGTACTAGTTTTTGCATATTTGATATAAAAATAAATTTGGTAGATTTGGTAAATTAACTTCTGCTTCATATTGTATAGCGGTACATTCTGTGTGACTTTTAAAGGCCCAATGTTTTAGAACAAATGGCAATTTTGTGACAAGCTCTGGCTAAATATGACACATGGTTAAAAAAAGTAAAAAAATTATATAAGTATATATATATATATACTATTCAAAAAAAGTAGGGGATATTTGATTTTTATGTGTTATTAAAGTCACCTAATGAAACTGACGAAGAAACAAATGACAAAATGAAATGAAGTTCACATTCATCGATTTATTCCAAATGATCGTTAGACTAAGTAAGGCACAGACTGACCATTATAAGGGTAAAATGATACCCGGGGTCAAACAGCAAAGTTACCACAGCATCACAACCAAGTCAGTAACAGGTAAATCCTCCTCTGTTTGCCAAACAAGCATTGATCCGACGTGGCATACTCCTAATGAGACGTCTAAGGTCATTTTGGTCCAGATTGTCCCATTCCTGTTGCAACGCAGCAGCAAGTTCTTGGACATTGGCAGGACGTTGTTGACGTTGACGTAACCTCTGTCCAAGCATGTCCCAGACATGCTCGATGGGGGAGAGGTCGGGACTCAGTGCTGGCCAAGGTAATGTGGTGGTGTTCTGTTGTTGGAGGTAACCTGTAACGATCCTGGCCCTGTGACATCTTGCGTTGTCATCCTGGAAGATGAAACGGCGGCCATGACGTCGTGCGAACGGCACAACATGGACTGCCAAGATGTTGTCCCGTTAGTACTGGCCTGTAACACGCCCTGCAACAACATGTAAAGCCGTTCTTCCAGCAACAGTGATGCCTCCCCACACCATAACAGAACCACCCCCAAATCGATCATGTCTGATGACGTTAAAGTCTTGGAAGCGCTCGTTTCGACGATGCCACACCCTCCTACGTCTGTCCAAAAAATCAACAGTGAACCTTGACTCATCTGAAAACATCACATTGCTCCAGCGTCGATTATCCCAGTGTTGACGATCCCTACACCAACGACGTCTTGCCTGAATGTGATGATCTCTCAAACAAGGGATCACGCGAGGACGTCGGGCGCGAAGGTGACCCCTATGCAGTCGATTCCGAATCGTCTGGCCACTCACTCTCACACCAGTGTCTGTTTGAAGACGAGCGCTGATCTGATTTGCTGTGATGACACGATTTCTCAAGGCCAAGGTACGGATAAATCGATCCTGGGCTTGAGTTGTCGCCCTTGGTCGACCTGAGGCGGTCTGTCCTGTACAGATTGTTAATCACGGTATCTGGACCATAGCCTGCTTATGACAGACTGAGAAACATTCATCGTCCGCGCCACAACCGCCTGTGTTGTGCCGATCTGTAGCATGCCAAGGGCACGTAACCTTTCATTTTGGGTAAGCCGACGCATATCAAAATTTGTTTTCTGGTCACTAAAACAATTAAACTGATGTTTGCACCCTGGAATTCAATGCCACAATGACTGTAACATTCAAAGTCAGAGTCGTGCAAATCTTGGGTTGGACCCCCATGATGATCCCAAGCATCACCTGCATTCCATGCGGTAGCTATTGGTGCGTTTGGGCGTCACATGTAACTGGAAATGTTTCTTCTGTTAGGTTCTATAGTGACTTTTTTCGTAGTCATTTGCATATTTTAGTATTATGCCCCCAAAATCAAATATCCCCTACTTTTTTTGAATAGTATATATATATATATATATACACACAAGTTCTTTAAATTGCTGTGCGAGAGTCACACAGTGTGACAAACATACACATTCGTCTCAAAAAGCGGTTGCGATGTTTACATTAGTATACACCATAAGATTAATTTTTAGAAAAAAAGAGATTGAAAACTAATGAAGCAAACAAAGCTAAACCCTGTAAGAACAAAAACCAGTAACTTTCCAGCATTTTGATATAGAGCATAAGTGCAAAGAACATCTGACAATGTTTGTCATCTTAATGCTAGATTCTCACTATCACGATTCGCGCCATGTTTGAAATCATGGTTTTAATCGTGCAGTAACAGTGGTGATCCTATCAGGTCTTGTCATATATTTTGGTCAGTTGTAGCAATCAGAACGTATCTTCACATACCAGATTGTGGACTCAATAGGAACAATCATATCTTAACACATCACACGACAGTGGGAATATAGCATAAGCTAAGATCACTGCAAAAAAATCCATTTTTGATGCTAGGGTATCTAATGCAAGTAAGAACTTTGCTGGCAATGCTTTATACACACATAGCCATTTGAATTGTATATAAGAAAGACTCACCAGTACAGTAATATTCATCAGTATGATCATGACAATTCAATTTACCATCACAAACTTGACTGCTCTTTACACATTCACCACTACCACATGTAAACTCTATAGATTTACATGCTGTAATAATTCATGAAATACAAAGTTTACTGTCAAAATACAAATTGTAATGTAATTCCAATATATACACGCGACCTCGGTTTTTTGTATCATCCAAAGGACTAGACAGCTGTCCTTGTCAGGCCCTCCATCCTGCATCACTGTACATATGCACATAGAGGTTAAGAAGATAATGCTCATCCAAATATTGAGAAAGGCAAGTTGTCTAAAACAAAACAATATTAATTTAAGAATGTATTCTTTAATTTACATCTCTGGCACTACTAAATATTTGAGGCCACACAAAAATATTCTTGTTCTCAGACAATTAGATCAATATAAAAGCACTGATGCAAGAAGAATGTTTTATTTATTAGCTAGTTTGTCAAAGGTCGCTAAATTACTTTATAACAAACATTTTCTTTTATTGATACTATGTACAGAAAATTGATTTACATAATTAAATTAATAATAATGGGTTTAAATTTATTCCTGATTAGTAAGCAGAATACAAGTTCATTGACAAAAGGAAATCAGGAAAGAAAATCACAAAGAACTGTCTCAACCTACACCGTGATAGAACCTTGTACCAAGTCTCTCTCCATCTTCATGGACCATAATTTGTCATTTCTTCCCATTACTAAATGTAATAGACTGGCTTACCCACCTTAACCACAGAATATATGAAAGTGTGGTACTAAACAGGATGTTTTTATTTTTTTTAGATAACAATGGGTCTTGCAGGCTCCCTTTTAAGTGACGCAACAAGAGTCTTGAGAACCAGAACACATCTTTTTATCTGTCTTAATACATAAATAATGCAAATATACCTGGTTTTTGAGTACTGGTTGTTGATTCAGATGCTGTTATTTTTGGTGTTGTGGGCGTAGATGTTGTGGCCGTAGAGGATGGAACAGTTGTCACCATTTCTGTTGTGGAGCTTGGAGTGTTCTCCCCTTCTATAGTAAAGATACTGGGAGTTGTTTCACTTGTAGTAGTTTCTGGGCTTGCTGTTGATGTAGGGGATATCATAATGGTGGGAGTAGATGTAAAGGGAGGTAAGTGTGTGGTGGAAGTTTTATCAGGTTTGTTTGTGACATTAGTTACTGGTGGTGCTTCCTGACTATTCTGCTGTCCTTTAAGAAAACATATCACTGATATTTTACTTTCCTTATTCTTAAAGATCCATTATCTAAGATTAAGATAAAGAGCTAATCGTTCTTGTCATAATACATGTACTGGTAGTTTAAAAATAGATAATGAAAAATTAATTTACTGAAAATTTCATTCAAATTACTTTATTCTGAGTGAAGTTATGGGTGTTGGAAGATCTAGTGTACATGTAGATTGTTTCTTATCATAGTAACAGTACAGGACAAATGACACAAGGTCTCCATTATCCATTTTATTGTTAAATTTTAAATCCATTAGAATCTTCTAGAGAGTTGATCATAGGCTTGTCATGTTAATGCATGTCTAAATAATAGTTTAATGGTATATAACATTTGAAGTCAAAATAAAGACCTGCAATAGGAAGATTTAGCTCTTACATAAATGCATCAATTACAAATAAAAATAATTCAAAATCCAATCCAGACAACTTTTGGGTCTTATCTGAAGAACAGATTATCCAGTCTATTCTACCTAACAAAAATGATTGAAGTAATTTAAAAATCTGCCCACTAACTTTTTCTGCTTTCAAATAACTCTAACCCTTCTTGACTGAAATTTTAGTGGTGGTCACTGAAGATGTTTCATGTCTGAGTCTTGGTATTTGCCATCTTGGCATGTAAACTTATACATTATATTCTATTCATGTGGTGCAGCATCGGGGGGGGGGGGGGATTTCAAATAAGACTACAATTATAATAAGCGTAAGGCTCCAACCACGATATTTGATTCAAGAATAGACGCTCGTTTAGTAGGGAATAACACTGATTGGATGTTATCATTATAATATATTTTCTATCACAGATAAACAAAGCAATGATAAGATATATTAAAGATAAGATAAGATTTTTATTGTATCTAAACACCCCATTAGAGGCAGCATACAAATATGAACAAAACATTAAATACATAATGAATATAATGACAATGGCTAATACAAGAAACACTAGAAAAAAAACAGTGACAATACTAATAACTTGGCTCAGAATAAAGTAATAAAGCATATTCATTTTGCACTATCTATTTCCGAACTATCAAAGCTCTTTATCTAAATCTTACATAGTGTGTCTTTAAAATGGAGTAAACATACATATGGTTATAGATATTGGATTATCCGATTCTTTCCTTAAAGGCGAGATAAACAGCTTTTGCATCTGATAGTGGAGGGTGAAATATCGTTGAAAAGGTCAGTGGAATTGCTGGGGTATTCTTGAAGGCTGGGTATAGGTGGGAGATACATAGATTGTCATATTTACCACATTTCATTAGAAATTTGCTTCTACTAGTATGCTAATCTCACTTTAAACATGTTCTTCTTTCTTTCACCTTCCCCCCAATTCACTCCTTAATATTTGATCCCTAACTAATAGATATAAAATATAAGGAAATCACTCACCTAATAAATATAAACCCACCCCAAGAGAAACTCCACCCAATACAAGACCAGATAGTATGAGTATTAAACAGCAGGTAAGTACTCTCTGACGGGAGAAAATACTAGTCTGTGATTTCCCCAAATCTTCATCAATTTGTAGCGCACTAAACTTAACCTTCATACGAGGCACATCCTTTATATTGTTATTATTGTTAATACTGGATGAAGACATGGTGTTACTTGGATTTTCACTCCATTTGTTCAAATTGAATTTCTGTTATCTGAAAATAATAAATCAAAACTTTATTATATAATTAGTCTATTTAACTTTTCTCAAAAGCTGTACTAAAAACTGTTTGTCCTGAAAAATATGATAAAGCACAAAGTAAGACAACAGGGCCCTGTTTCTCAAAATCTTAACTAAAGATAAAATTCAATTTTAGTAGATACTTCAATATTGATTGGCTAAGCACTATAATCAATCTAATATTATCCAATTAAATTACTAAATTTAGGATTTTATTTTAGTTAAAATTTCGTGAAACAGGCCCCTGATGATCTATGGAAATACACAATATAATGATTACAAAACAGTGCTTGAAAAAATACAAAAAATGTTGGAATTAATGTAATCTAATGCATTTACAATGGTTCAGGCATAAGCCCTTCTTCCAGGAAAACATTTAATGCTACAAAAGTTGCCACCAGATCGAATGTATTTATATTCATTATTGAACTGTTACGTATGATACAGTGGCTATCATCTGATGTTTTAGCCCAGTTATTAATACTTTTCAACTTTATTTATTACAAAAATTTCACTGATTAGGCCTATAAGACAATCTTTGTAAACAGCATGGAAATGAGTGTTTGTCAAATTATACATGTAGGATCTATCTACCACTAACATCTGACCTAAATCTCATTGTCTTAGAAAATTGTGGCAATATTCTGAAATTGCATCCATAACTTTTAGTAGCCCTTTTTTTTAAGGATATTTCATGGGTAGTGAACTCTTATTGTGTATAGTGGTCTCATTCCACACAATTTGTATTTACTACTTACCTCCCTTCAAAAAAAACAACAAAAAACTTTCTGACATTATTATCTTGTCATATTAAACAAAGTTATAACAATTTTATGTTGCAAATTGAACGATACATTAAAATATTACCTTATTAACATTGTAAAATGCATAAAATAGTCGATATTTAAAATAAAACAAACAGAAAAACAACTTTTTGTAAAGCGTCTAAAAAGCTACATGGGCGCCGCCATATTTGTAAACTAGCCTTGATTAACCTGGTATCAAATTTGCAATGACGAGATTATCCAGATCATTAAATCCGCGAAAAAAATCTTTTTGATGGTTGTTACACAGTACGTACTACCCTTCTAGGTAGATCAACAAAAAAATAGAAATAAACTTTCGAAAACTGTTGAAAAATTTACAAAGTCTATATATAGCGTCATTTTGGAGTATATCTGGGGTCACTGGAGGCCAATTTCGCTAAAACACAGAAACTGTGATTTAATACATGACAGACCAGGCTACTCAGTTTTAGTTTTACTGATACAATAATCAGAAGTACACGATTTTGACTGGAAATTTTAAGCTAGCAAACCAAACGAATAACAAAATCAGCACCAATACACATTATTGGAAGGTCCTTGTTTTATATTACTCTGTTCATCACGTAAAACACAGAAGTGTTTTTCAAGTCTGTGTTAAAAACTAATTTTTAATTTATTTATATTCTCGGGCGTTTCGACAAAAATCAGTAGGCCTAATAGTGAAATATACAATTAGTTGTATAATGACAAAACAGAAATCCCAAGTTATATTTTTACAAAGAAGTTTATCATGAAACTTCAAAGTGAGAGAGAGAGAGAGAGAGAGAGAGAGAGAGAGAGAGAGAGAGAGATGGGGTTTAACGTCCACTCGACACAAACTAGGTCATTTCGGGACTAACATATGGTTTAGTTTTATTTCAATAATTCGCTTGGGCGTAGGGTCTTTAGCAGTGGGAGGAAACCGGAGGACCCGGAGAAAACCCACGAGGGTGGACAGGCAACCCTACTCCTTGTCACGTACAACCAGGGATTCGAAACCCCGCATGTTGACTCAATGACAGGCCTTATGATACAGCACGCCCGTGCTAACCATTCGGCCATCCAACCCCCCTATGAAACTTCAAATAAAATATGTAAGTCGGTTGGCTGTTAAAGACTATATAGGTACATCCTGTCTAGTACACAACATCCGTTATTACATAGCTATAAACAGGGTGAAATTTTGCCACTTTTACTATATTCCCATTTCAAGATTGCAGTCATAAAAAATAAACCGGTAATTGAATTCCGGTCCTTTGTGCTTTTATTGTGTAATAACTGCGCCTTTAACATCTTTAAATGTGTTGTGATGGTTAACCGGCATGGTATGTATTGTAATATATTGTATATACATAACTAATTAACATAAGTTAAGGCGACACACCTCATTCAAAGGTCCCCATAAACAATAGCTAATATAATTCTTTCATGAGTGTAAATGATGACTTTAATCGGTTTATCAAAAAAAGGTTACAAGCGTGCGCTACGAAAATAGCCTGCTCTCCCGTTGGCTATCAAAACTTGCTAAATACGTTGGTCTAAAAGATGACTTAATTTTCAGCTACGATTAAAGAGAAATTCTTATTTTTCTCTTTCACCCGCTCAAAAAACTATATGTATAACACTTCAGCAGTGTGTTAGTATTATTATATCCACACGATGCATTATTCAAGGGCTAAATATGCCCTTTGCTGATCTTTTGTTTTGCCTCAAATATTATATAGATCATTAATTAGCCATTTATTCACATGCCAAGCCCAAAATCATCTCTAAAGAACTTCGGTGGTTTTGATTTGACTTAATACGATTGGCAGTTAATTATTTAATTTTAAAACGTGGATAATCGAGACTTTGTTTATTATCGTAACAATAGTATACCTGACAATCGAGACAACACTTTTCTTCCAACAGCGATACAACCGATCAGAATGAAGTAATTTGACAGAAATTTTCAAAATATTCTCTTTTCATTACCCTTTCTTTGACTGTTATAGCGGGAACTGCCAGCTACTTATCTAATTCTTACGCATCTTTAAGTATTTGGCATCATTTACATTGGTTTCAGGTCGTTTTTCATTAGAAATTATTGGAACTCAGAACATTTAACAAAATAACGAGTATCGTCGATTTACCGACGGGTATAGTATATTTCCCCAAATATATAACCATCGATTAATTGAATTCAAAAATATATTTGATGCCAAATAAATGAACGTGGTTACAATGGAACGCGCCACGGTGTTGCTCAGCAAATAGTCAAGAAATGGTTGGCAGAGTGTATATCGGAACTTTTCTGGTTATCAAATATATGATGCTTTCAGATAAAAATACGTTTTGGTTAACTTACTATGCTCGAAGGAAAATATCTTTAATATACACATTTCCATTGCTGACAATAATAGATGTGGGAATGTGGCCAATTTACTAAAAAGGTTCAAGAACCACATTAACTTTCAACGTGGCTTTAAAATATGCTGCGAGAGAAATGTCATTTTAATGATCTTTGAAACTGAAAGTTTCTTGGTCAGAAAATGTATTAATCATTTTAGGGATCTTCGCTAATTAGCTGTTGTTCGATATGGGATATAAATAAGCTTGAAAAATGGGATTTGATATACAGGTATCATGATGTCGGATAATATACATATCGACAGAATGGGATTTAAATACAAATCATAATTTTTTAAAATTACATAAACTACAGTAAATAAGTCCCTGTAATGGATTTTTATAAGTTGTCTTCCCCTATATACTGAGTCGGAGGAAAATAATCAGAGCATATCGAAGGTAAAAACTACATATGTATATAATATAAACCTTTTTTTGGAAAACCCATACTGCCAACCTACTTACGCCTTTCGACGCCACTTAAATATGTCCGCTATATGTGAAAATCAACTTGGCTTGAATGAAATAGACAACCCATACCAATTTCCTTTGGTTTTCATTAAAAACAAGGTTTGTAACTTCTTTAACAGTGCTATTCCCATTTTCATGTAAAACGAACGAAAATGTTGTTAAATTAACGAAATTAACCTTAAATGTTAATAAACGAAATTACCCCTAAATGTTAATTAAACTGTCTAATCTTTCTTTTGATTTTCATTAAAACGAACTTCATAACTTTTCTTTAACATTAAATGTTAATTAAAAAATTCTAATCTTCAGAAAATTATTCACGGACAATCAAATTCAATACAGAACGGACCTTAAGGTTTCTGTGACCCCTTTGAAATTCTATACAATAACCCGAATATTAGCCGATCAGGACTACAATTTCTGAAAAGTATTAAAGATTTTTAGATTGGTTTAAGATTATAATACAATGTATTTCAGATTCGAGATTTTGTTTATAAATAGACTCGCAAGATTAGAAATATCCACTATGGAAAGTGATATCCGATGTTCCTGCTTCTTGGCAGGAACAGCAGGTGTCAGTTAACGTTTCGTTATATTCTTGTTGTTGTACATCATTAACAGGTTAGTATAAAATTCCGAATCGAAACGAATTTGTAATTATACTACTGTGTTAAAAGAGAAATCTCGAGAGACAATACAGCTTACCTTTTATGTCTGAAGTTTTAATCCTAAGAATGAACTATCAAAAATTGAGTCACATAGTTTAGCTTATTCGGTATTCTTGCCACAACCCACACACATATCGTAATACAGGGTAAAATATGATTAAAATTGTATCAAAGGCAATTACATGTAGTGTTTTTGTTATCGCGATTCAACTGCACCTAGTACACCGTTAAAGAGACATTCTATCCGAATTTTCGGGTTTCCTCCCACGGCTGAAGAGTTCAGCGCAGTTGAGAAGCCATTGGGGACTTGCCTCACAGACTTTGTCTTTCCTTTCGCAAATGCCACAACCTTCTTTGGGGCTGAACGTGGAGTTCGCACCCCTTCCCTTTATTGCACCCACCGACCCAGCTATCCTGCGCTAAAGTGAAAAGGGTTGCTGTATCTTTAATCTCAATATGGCCCAGTTGTGTTGAGAGTGGAAATAGTTTTGTAAAAAAAAAAGGCTTTATCTTTTGAGTTATAGGGGACAATTGTTTGTCTGCGATATCGCCCAATTCTGAAAGCGGACATTAAAATTAAATATAGTATAGTTCTTTCTCATACGATACAACAGAAATGAACGACCCTTCACATTGCTTAATAATGTGAAGGGGAATTTTCAATTTCGTAGATAAATCACACCGAGGTATTGGATGATATGTAATATATATAATATGTTTCTATAGTGCATTGTAAGACAATATTTAACGTTGAAAGGATATATATTCTTTTACCTATACAGGTTATATAGATTTCAGAGGCCTAATACAAGCAATATCATTCTGTATGACAACATTCGAGATGGGTAACTCCTTTACATAGTTCACAAGTCGTATTACACGAATCTGAATTTAATGAAATATTTCTTTTTATTACAAAAGATTTATATCTATTTTCATATTGAATTCACAAGATAAATAATCTATTTGCATATTGAATTCACAAGATAAATAATCTATTTGCATATTGAATTGCTTTGGGTTATACTAAAACTCGTCATATCAAACTAGAGGTTAGATATAATGAGTTCTAGACAGCCCATAACCAAAAATTTGTTTTTTATTTTTTGATAAAAAAACAACAACATTTTGGCCCAAAAAATAATTCAAAGCGACCAATTCTAATTTTAGGTATGACCATTCAAAGTTTTAATTGGTTTATTTTGATTTCAAACTGTAATAATATTCCTCTTATCGTTTTCGTATACAAACCGGTCCATTTTATTGTTGTTCGTAGTTTCACGTCCTCTTCCACGGAGGGTGATATTGCAGACAAGTGGTCTTATTTTATCAAACTTCGAGCATGAACAAGGGTCTTCCCTGTGAGAAGAAACCGGAGTAGCCAAAGTAAACCCACGAGATTAAGAAGGTGCCCCTATAATATCCACGAAGTTTGATTTTATAATAATAAGTATTTACAATAAAATAGTACATAGTGTTCACTTTTGAGCAATGTGAAAGATCTGGCTTATTGTGAAGTTCACAACTCTGTACAAAGAAAACTTTATTTACTTTCAGGGTGCCGCCATGGTTGAGTGAGCAAGACGTTGGTTCTCTAACATAGCTTGACTGAGAAAGCCCATCGGGATAGTCAATAGTACAGGACGGAAGGTCTGACAAGGGACAATATTCAGATGGCGTGCACGCAAAAGAATACTACTGTACTACACAAGACACTCATGACAGGTCTGCTTAATATAATGCTAATACAATGTATTTCTATCCAAATAATAAACTGCATCTTATACATATCCAGGCATGAATACATGTATGAATCTTTAGTCTCTATGAGACATGATACTAACACAAAAATGCAGGAAATGCAATTATGCTATCAGCACCACCTTAAGTTGACAGACATTTGCACGTCAGCATAATATATTTTACTAATCGTTGTGTATGTATGATTTTTCGCGTGCGCACTCTCCTAAACTCCCTGCCAGCACACCCCTGCACACAACACACTGTATGCCCGTATACATTATCCCAGGCAGTGCAGAACAGTAAGACGTTAAACCCTATTTCATTTCATTTCATATTTACTTTCAATTATTCATTATATGTTGAATGAAATGTCGTATTAGATACGCTATAACGAAAAGTCGTATTAGATAACTAAATGAAATGTCTCTTTAGTGCACAAAGACCACAGTAACTTGAATACATTAGACGGTAAAATATATCTTATACTAACATATATTCTAAGGTGTTTACATACACATTCAAAAGCGAATATAATCTTCCTTTATTAAAACTTGTTCCCACAGCTAGTATAAAGGGACATAGTGGAAATACATAAAAAGTTTTAATTTAGATTTTAAGACACGATTCAACTTTTTATATCAGAACATTTATCATTATGCATGTAAGTAAAATAATGACGTACTGCACCCTTAAATGGAAAATACAAGACAGAAAATAAAATACCGAAATATGAGGAGAGAATTGGATATATTCTGAATTTGATTAAAATGAGATCTATTTCAATTCAACATTTCATATTGTAGCGGAAATATGCGTTTCAACTTTCAATTTACGCATCTTTAGGGGCAGTCGCAAAATTTAAACACTTGTGTCCAAACGAATAACACCAACGGGGGTAAGACAATTTTAACATACTTACGTTCATGATTCAATATTAAAATAGCCGACATTTTCTTTCTGCGGAGTTGTTCTACTCACCCACCAAGTTCCGCGGGTGGACGCAAGAGTTGAAATTTTGCGACGGCCCTTACAATTTGTTTTGGTTAACGAACGAGAATTAAACATGTCTTATTCAAAGTAAGTCAGTTACCGAATCTTAGATAATTAACATACATTATGCAATAGCTAAATTTGCCTATTGCAGGTCTTTCTTTAGGCCTGAAATGTTATCTAAATTATTAAGTAGAACAGTGGTTCTCAACCCTTTTTTGCCAACAGCACACCTTGGAACACATGAAAAAATAGCGGCACACCTGGCTTAATATATGTGAAAAATATTTGAAATTTGCAAATTGAAAACATGACGACATACAACACGGGCTAGTCATAGACACATAAAATGGCTCAAACTAATTAACGAAAAATAGAGCCACGAACTTACTTTATTGCAGTGTTTCGAATTTCATCAGTCAAATAGCTGGATTATTTCGTGAGAAATTTTCTTAGTGTGCCGTTCAAAATTTCGCGGCACCCCTAGGAAGATCTCACGGCACACCTGTGTGCCGTGGCACACTGGTTGCGAATCACTGAATTAGACATTAATGAACTTATCCAGACCATAATCAACTCGCGTTGGCATCGCGAGCCTGTGATATTTACTGGATCAGAAACCGGTCTGCTGCTTCTGATGAAATCAAAAATGGATAATCGAGACTATGTTTATTTTATCGTACCGGCTTTAGTAATGATGATCGAGGCTAGGTCCAAAATTCAATCGCTAAATACTCGGTTCAGGGTGGATCAATTTGACTGAAATATTCAGCAAATTCCCTTTACATTATCTGGTTTTAACTATTATAGTGAGAACTACCAGCTCTTCATCTAATCTCCCATAATGTATCTTTAAGTAAATTTAAGGCTATTTTGAAAATGATATTATTCACAAATATTGACATTTATCATCTTGGTGAAAGTGATCATGGCCCTTTAATCGATATGAAATACCAAACTGCAATGATAAGATATTAACGATATTTGATCACATATTCTCCGTTAAAGACGTGTGTGTGAATCTTCTTCAACTTGAAACATACCTGAATACATTTGAAGTACAAACCGTTTAAAAAACGTCACACAATATAATATTATGGCATATTTACATACATTATATAGTGAAGACAAGGTGTGACGTGTGTTCATCCGATCAGAATTCACGCATTCATTCATACTAGAAGCATGTAAACTATGTCGGCTATGTCAGGCTTTACTTTAGAAACAGACAATACCGTGTCGATAAACATTCGGATAACAGTGGTCAGACACAAAGACAAGTAATTCTCGCTTAGTAATATAATAGCGACACAACGTAACAGTCCTCATCTGTTACATGAATTGTAGATGGTTTCGCTGGGTATTTTAATTTTTTGTTTACAAAATACAAAAAATAACGAGTAAGGTAGTAAACCTAAATAATGTTTACAATTATGTATACTCAGTACTCCTAATAATGAGAATAGAGACTTTTGGCAAGCGGATTTTTCCCATCCGTATCCCGTATCCGTATCGTATACGTGATACGTTGCGTCAATGTAGTTTTAGAGTTTTGGCAGATTTTAGCAATTTTTGGTTTCACTAGTGTATTATTTCAGAAAGTTTAGCCCATAGATCAACCAGTATGCAGACAGGCGGGAAAAATATGAAAATTTCGAGAAAACCCCATCAAAAATGATGATTAAATTCCAGTCGTTATCACTGTTAAAATCACATCAAATATACACCTTCGTGTTCTAGGATACACGCAGATTCATAAAAACGCTATGATGCAACATTTCAGCGTCTAAAAGTAGCAAAAAAGACGGGAAAAAGACGACAGTGTTATACGGACCATTTCCGTATGAAAGCCGTTCCATACGTGCTGCCGTATCCGTGTGCCGTATCACGTATGAGAAATACACAGACATTGATGACGTCACACGCAAAATCCATACGGATACGCGATACGGACCAGGAAATTACGCTTGCCAAAAGTCTCTAATAAAAGGAAACTACGTACGTAAGTGATACAGGCCGACTATAATAATGAAATGAAATGTGTTTTAACGTCCTACTGTTCTGCTCCGAACTGGGCTAATGAAGACGGGCATACGCCATACAGTGTGCTATGAGGGAAATTTTGCCCGGACAGCGGCACTACGGCCTACTCTTATATCGAACTCCAACTGTCAAGGGATCTTTTACGTGCACGCCAATGTATACACGGGACCTCGGTTTTTCGTCCCATCCGAACGACAAGACATCTGTCCTTGTCAGGCCCTCCGTCCTGCATCACTGACAAGGGGTGACCACGCCGGAAAATCTGGATGAACTTTACTATAATAATAGTTGTAAAGCACTCTAGCAATGAAAAGATATGAAGCACCAGGATACTATAAACTGTTGTATGTTATGATATAGGTACCAAAGGAATCGAATAGATTCGTACTTAAGGTTTCACACGAGTCGCTTGTGTAAAGAACCTATTACTGATCCCAACCCTAGACGAACAATTAAGCAAGATAAGCACGGGTTTCGGGACCCAGTGGAAGAGGGGCCATCCGAAATATTTGTTTAGTGCCAGATTTACAATGGAGTATAGCGCAAATCTTTCAGGTGTATCATGGGCCACAAATAGGGGGTTCTAATTAGTGAATAACCCACAGATAGATCTCGACTCATACAACAATCTGCACATGCTCCCACAGAGTAAGAACATGTCAAAACAGGTGGATTTTGATGCGAGTATAAGACAAAACATGCGCGATTTCGTCCATTCCACCAACAGTGTCGTGTGTTATTCATTTAGACGCAAGTGTTGAGATTTTGCAATGGTCTCTAAGGGACCCTAACCCACCCACTATATGCATTCGAGAGATTTTCGTCTATATATATAAAGAAAGGTCTACTGCTATCGCGTATTCTGTATAACACTAAATACAGATAGGCACTATTATACTACATGTTGTCACGGACTCCAAATCCAATATTTGGCAATATTCAGTGTTACCACAGCAAATCCCCAACTCACGTTGTTTTCTTTTAATACTAAATCTCAGAAAGCCGCGTTGTTCTAAATACGTCTTAATATAACAGCTGTAATACAACACTAATAAAAACTTCGCAACACCTTTGATATTACATATACGCATTGATCTAATCAGCAATGACGCTAAAGAATGACCCCCCACCACTTATGACTAGATCGAATCGGCAGAGAACCATCTTGAAGATCTCTCCATCGTAACAGAATGATGCTTTATATTGATCGTAGGTAAGAACAAACTATCCAAATCGTTACCACTGTCATCTGCGAGAAAAATATAGAAACATAATTTAGTCTTTGTACAGACTGTTTGATTTTGGCCGCCATATTTGATCAACCTTGGGATGAATCGGAAACTGTCCAAAATGAGCCCAGCGACCAACCAAAAAGTTATAAAAGAACATGTTACACGGGCTATTTCCTCAACGATGTTTGTCAAGCTCGTCAATCTCATAGTATTCCCTTAGCAAAATGCAAAATATAATTTCTTTTATTTTTTTTTATTTTTTTACCTTTTTTCTTTTTTTTTTTTTGGGGGGGGGGGGTGGGATTTCTTCTAAATTTACAAGATTATTTTTCTCTGCGTGGACATGTTTGATGATTCATCAGTAAGAACCATGACACGTTTTCTTCTTGATATAACTGAAATATAGGGAAAAGAATTGTTAAATGAAGTTATTTAAATAACAAAACCACATGAATCTGATCTAATTTGATATTGTTGTTGAGAAGGTAATAAAATATACTTATACATGTTAGTTCCATAGAAAACTATACCACCAATTCTACAGGGGGGTTGGATGGCTGAATGGTTAGCGTGCGCGCGCTGTATCTAAAGTCTGTCATTGAGTCGACTGGCGTGATTTCGAATCCCCGGTTGTACGTGACAAGGAGTAGGGTCGCCTGTCCAACCTCGTGGGTTTTCTCCGGGTCCTCCGGTTTCCTCCCACTGCTAAAGACACCTATGCGCAAGCGAATTATTGAAATAAAATTTAAAAACCATATGTTAGTCCCGAAATGACCTAGTTTGTGTCGAGTGGACGTTAAAACTCATTTCTCTCTCTCTCTCCCTCCCTCTCTCTCTCCAATTCTACAGCAGCACTAATAATTAATCTATAGGTTATTGTTTTGAGTTCCTTACAGTATTCTATAGAATTCTATAGGAAATTACACTTGGAAAAACCCATCTACCGATCCTATACAAAACTATAGTAAATTATTCCGAATCTATATGTATAGTCATGTGGAAAAATCTACAGAATGAATTAGTGATCCTGTAGTACTCTATAAAATTCTTTGGAATCCCACGAAATTCTACACCTTTTGTATAGGACTTTCTCGTAATAGTTTTGGTTGCCACCTTGGAATATTTGCTCTCTCGAAATTAGGACTTATATATAGTGTCAGAAACCGTCACCAAGTCTTGTTCCACTCAACAAACTTGTCAACCTTAGAAATTTCTGTATTTTCATGAACAGCTGTCCTTCGAAACTTTCGCATAAAGACTGTCACAATTTACGGTCTCCGTTGAACTGACCCAGTATTAGTTGAATAATTTTGCTCTGGCTAAGTTGGTAAGACGCTGGCTCGCTAGCCTGGAGGTCGGGTGTTCAATCCCTGCATTGGCCGAAAAAGTTCACCCAGATTTTCCGGCGTGGTTCCACCTTGTCAGTGATGCAGGACGGAGGGCCTGACAAGTGACAAGGACAGCTGTCTAGTCATTCGCATGATACGAAAAACTGAGGTCCCGTGTACACATTGACGTGCACGTAAAAGATCCCCTGACAGTTAATTGGAATTCAATATAAGAGTATAGCGTATGCCCGTCTTCATTAGCCCAGTTCGGAGCAAAACAGTAGGACGTTAAACCCCATTTCATTTCATTTCATTTCTCTGTGTACCTAGTATTATTCCGGTCATCGTATTACTTTGATTTGTGAGACATTAGAATCTCGCGACGAAGGGGAGACAACTCCAGTTTAACGCGCATTTCCGAGACAACAACGGGTGATACAGTGGCGATTTCCCACAACCAAATTTATATCTACTATCTATATTGCTTGCGATCAACTATTGAAACTCACCTGCTTCACATATTTCATTGACTATTTATCCTCGAACCCAAACCACCAAGCACAACATCATCTGAACTTGCCAAGGCTCGGTAATCCCCTAAACGATGTATTTCTGTGGAATCTCCACGGCGTACCCATGAAATAATTTCTTTCACATTTTCGTAAGTAAGTTCTATATACGTCTACAATTCTGAAGATCTGTGCATCCCAATTCTTGTTCATCTCTGTCCTTGGACGTTATTTTGGATGGGATATTTCTTACGCTTAATGAAACCAAAAACTTAATTTCTCCCACATATCTGTCTCGTCGGACCATTCTTGTTTGAAACCCTGCACCTCGGCTGCACCTGGAGAGTGTGTGTGTGACCAATTGACGTCATATAACACTCTGGAGTCTTCGATTCTATTAAATCATTCAGTCTACACTTGAAAAAAACCCAAAACAACGTGGGTAGAAAACCAAAGTTGAGAGTTTGACAACACACGGAAAGTGGAGTTATCTCCCTTTAAATAAAGGACTGTCTTATTAAAAGATTATTTTCTTAACACCCCCCAGGTTACCCAAATGTTTTAGAGTTTTAGAGAAACAATAATAATGTCATGTGTATTTTTTTTATTATTGTAAGTGAAGGGTATTTTACAACTTCAAAGCCAAATTTGTCCGCTTTGTCAAAAATACCGACATTAAATTTAAATTTACTGTTGTTATATTGATATCCATGTAAAGATAGGGACAACTATCGTGACGCATAGAATAGTAAGAGGGGATAACGCAGTAACAAAAGGTTGGGCAGTGCTGATAGGGATCGTCTTCTTATGACCCCAGTACTTCACACCAAATAAAAACTGTAGCTTCTATCCCGTTCACAAAGTTTTCGGAAAATGAAAGATAAATCCGGAACGAAAGGTCGCGGAAGTGCCGCCCTTTCGTGATCCCAATGCGTTAAACCAAATTTGAAACGTGTGTCCCTGACGAAAAGAATGGGCCGCAGTCCGCTAACTGTATTATACCGGTATGAGTGACTTGTATATTTCACGGAGAGACGATTTCTGCAGTGAGCTTATTTATAACAGTGAACAAAGTATTTGAATAGTCTATATTATCTGTCAATGTACATGGCCCCTGCTCTATTTATATTCGCCGACGCTAAGCAACATGTCCAAATCTCCATAATAATACGCAGCTATAGGACTATATAACTATAATTTACTGTTTACATGCTAATAAACAAGTTTTGCCCATCCTAATCGCCTTATCTTGCATGGCAACCGCTGGTTAGTTTGTATTGTATAATATGAAAAAAAACCCCAACGAATAATTTTGCCTCGCTTTGAGCTGACATCGCAGACGCCATTTTAGTGCGGTCTTTGTTTATCATAAGCGGGAACCTGTCATGTGATTGCATTACGTCGCTTTTCACATTTCCGATGAATTCTTGAATATATCAGATGTTAATGTATTCATATTTCAAAACGTTTTAAGGTCCATTTTTTTTAAAAAATAAAACAAATAAAATAGTCACTTACCGGAGTCCGTGTAAGACCATTTCAAAGCTAAAGGATTGAAGTTTTTTTATATTTAAGCCGGGGCGGAAGGGTAGCTGGATATAGAGGTGTTGGGGACCTATTGAGGGTAAAATTTTACGGACGCTATGGCCTATGTATGCTAACCATTGTAAAAAGACTCAATAAACTTTGAAGCTTAGAACTGTATATGCGCACCAGGCAGAGTATGCGTAGCCATTCTTGAACGCCGGTTACTACTTATCTCACGTAAGTTCAATTGCTTTCGTTACTCTATTTAGCCTATTTGGCCTTTTGGGATGCGACATGAGCTTGATCTCTTTTTATTGTATTGTTATATAAATGTCCCCCCTCACCCCCCTCACCCCCCCCCCCCCCCGCGGTCATATTTATACTGTTATCTTTAAAGGGTTTGGGGCTGTTTATTTGGAACCTTAAAATAGACGAAAATGAGTATAAAAGCACATATTAATGTAATAGGAGTGCTTATACGGAGATTTACATACAGTGTTTAGATTATTTATTGTAATGTCGGGGAAATACGTGAACAGTCCAATTTGAACGACAGTCCATTCTATGCCTTTTTGTCGTTTGTAAATCAGCAATTATTAATTACTTCCGCATTGTCTTGTTTTGAAATTCGAATATTATGGAAAATATTGAGCCAGGGGTTTGGCTCCTTTAAAGTTACAATTTCATATTTTTAAAATGTATTAAAATAAAGCCCTAAAATAGATGGTATCTATAAACAGTCCTACCTTGTTAAAGAATAATCCTATTAATCCTATAATTCACTATTGCCAGTTGAGAAATTGGCAAAAATATCATTTTCAACTTCAAATTCAAACGTTTGAAGATAGCTATTCCATGGTGGGGAATAGGAAAACAAGGGAGGTAATTGTGTTATTTCCGGTGTGAAGATTTTTAAGTGTGAGAAAGATAACCTACGATCCCTTACTAGTGAGTTGACAACCTATTGAGCAAAAGACATAGAAATAATTATGTTTTGACTTTCTTAGAAAATATGAAATTGTAACTTTAAGTGACATTTAGTAACTGAGCAATGCATTAGCAGAACACAATCTGTTTGGGAAACAATCACTGTTTTTATTACACAAGCACGACGATTCGACGCCTATCATCATGACGTTATACTGAATATTTTCGTTAAACAAAGATATGAAATAGAAATACATTTTCTTCTTTGATATCATCAACATGTTGCATACATAGTTTGTTCAATATATGTTAGATATTGAGTTTTCGACCATACACAATCAGACATACTTTTATTAATAAAACACATTTAAATCAGAAGGTATTTAAATCACAGTAAAAATACCGCAGACAAAAACAGGAGAAGTCAAAGAAAAAAAAAAATTGCGGTATATTAGAGCATGATTCAGCAATTCGATTGGATTGGTGGGAATTGTTTCCCTTTGCACTTCTGACCAACCGCAGTGTCTTCAAATATGGTTAGTACTAAATGATAAGGCCAGCTCAATTTTCGTCATAGCTTCCTACCTTAAAGACACGAACGATTTTGTTCACAAAATCAAACAGTTAAGAGTCCCTGAGCACACCATTTTAATACCCATAGACGTACAGAGCATGTACACGAACATTGATAATAACGCATGTATTGAAGCAATTAGGAAAGTATTTCTTAGGAACCCACAAGCATTCAGGCCAGACGAAGAAATCCAAAGAAACCGATACACATCAATTACTGTTCAAAAGCTCCTTTCACCCAAAACATACGTTCTCTGGCATCATAAAATCTCAGATTCTCCGTTTCCATAGAATATGTACTCAGAAGGCCGACTTTGAGTCGACATCTGCCCTGGTATTTTTAAACAAACCAAGAGAAAGGGGATACTCCAAACGCTACCTCCGACGTATAAAAAACAATACTCTAGCTGAACTTGCCGCCAAAGAAACAAATAATATACAATCAGCACATAAAACCAAAATTTGTGGCCATCCAAGATGTCAAACATGCAAAATCTTAAACATATCCGACCATTTCCATAACAAAACATCTGGCACAAAATTCCCAATATTAGACCAACTTTCATGCAGTAGTTCAAACATAATTTATCTAATCTCATGCAGAAAATGTGACAAGCAATACGTAGGGGAGACTCAAAATGCACTTAGGGAAAGAATTAACGGTCACCGGTCTGACATAGTCACCAAAAAAGACAAACCTGTCTCAATTCATTTCAACCAACCAAATCATGACATTTCAGATCTCATTGTCACGCCAATAGAAAAGACCAAGAGCGACTTTGAAACTTCAGAAGAAATTAAAACGTTTAGGCTAACAAGAGAAAAATTCTGGATTGACAAATTGAAAACAACAGCCCCCCTAGGTTTGAATATTCATACGGCTAGCGCAATAGCTCCTTTTGTAGTTCCATTTAGCGCAACAGCAGCAAGTGCGTCCAAAATCATCAGAAAACACTATACTGATCTCCAAGAAAATCACCCGAAAATATTCACACAGAAACTTATAATTGCATATTCTAAAAATAAAAATCTGAACGACATCCTAGTGCACAGTAAATTAGATTAAATAAGACCAGTCTCCACCCTGACCCAAAACAAACCATATATCAAATCCTATGCCTAACCGTTAGTAATTAAAATCAATTAGATATAAGAATCCCTAGCCGTAACCCGGTGATGTGGAACAAACACGATTTTTTTAGAAAATCCAATCCGTTGTAGGAAACACACTAATGTGGCTCTCTCCCGAGAGCCTCAAATTTATTTTCTTTTCTCTTCAGAAACAATAATACCAGAATACCAGAAGCACCACCCAAGGAAGACCATCAGCGCCACCAACACCAATAAACAGTGAAATCGCCTTTGTATATAAATCTAATGTATTGTATGTATTTTAATAAAACTAGGAAATATCACGAACTAATTTTTCATCATCCTAGGTCAGTGCTTATGTGGAGACTTAACCTCTCCCCCCAAATTCTTAAACCTAACCCGGTGACATTGGAACAAACACATTTTTAGAAAATCCAATTCTTAGTAGGAAACACCCCCGAGAGCCTCAAATTTATTATTTTTTCTTCAGAAACAAAAATACCAGAATACCAGAAGCATCATCCAAGGAAGACCATCAGCACCACCAACACCAAAAAAACCCAGCGAAATCACTTTTGTATATAAATCTAATGTATAATATGTATTTTTAATAAAACTAGGAAATATCACGAACTAATTTTTCATCATCCTAGGTCAGTGCTTATGTGGAGACTTAACCTCTCCCCCAAATTCTTAAACCTAACCCTGAACCTAACCTAGAATCTCGCCAACAATCACGTACCCTTACCTTATTTACATCTCATCGACCTTGACAAAAACTGAGATGGCCTTCACAAATAGATTTAGCCCTTCAAATAAGCCCTCGTAACAGTCGAACACTTTACCATAATCAGGTCTCCTTTTGGTTAAATCCATTATTCATAAATGGTATACACCACTCAAATATTAAGGCATTGATTGTCATAAGAACAAATAAATGAAAAATTACAGTTTGGAAGATAGGCGTACGAGCCTCCTTTTTGGGCAATCTGACTTTTCGGGCTAACGGGTAAAGAGATTTTTTTTTATTTCATCCACTTGGCAAAATAAGGTGGCCGAAATCTAATAAAACACTAATTTTACTTTTCGTTTAATTGTCTGGAGCCACTCTACTTTGTGCGACATTAGTCAGGCATCGATTATTATTTGTGAATTATTTGTGATAGGATGTTTGGAATTCAGTGGGATAGAGTGGGATTTTGGTTACAAAACCATTGGGCAACTTTGGAGTTGTTTAACTCACGGGCTAGAATGCAGAAAAACGCATTTGCGGCGGTTAAATTTTCAAAATGTATTCCGCGACGATTAATTGGTTGTTTGGGATTCAGGACAGCCAGGTAGGCTATATTGGACCACATTGATGTTGCTGTATTCACGGGCTAAAATAACAAGAAAACGCGTTTGCGGCAGTTAAATTTTCTCCAACGGTCCCGTCTTCGTGGACTGTAAACGATTGATTGGTTGATTGGGATTCGCGTCAGTCACCTCAATTAGGCAATATTGGACCACTTTGAAGTTGCTTTGTTCACGGGCTGGAATAGCAGAAAAGCGCGTTGGCGCCTGGGTGGACGTCCAATATTCCAAAATGTTCTTGAGGGGTCCTTACACGATAAGCCCCACCTCTCACAGAAGACGGGCGCCGCTGCCTGTAAACCTGTCATAGAGCTGTACGCCTATGGTTTGAAATAATTATCGAAGGCACTGATTTAAGCGGAGTTTGGGAATAACAACTACGGAAAATGTGTCTAGATGTTCAGATAATACTTCTGGTATTGTTGCTCTACAGCTTCAAACCAAAATGTATGATTTTTTGTTGAAAATTCCGATACTAAAGGCTCGGTGCGCCATTTAGCACAACAAGAATTACTTGTAAACTACATTATTCGTTAAAGTTGAATCTCTAATAGGAAAACCAGTCCAAAAATGGTTCAATTCCATTCAATATTTACAAGGTTATGATTATTATTGAGAATTATTATCCCCCTTTACTTAAATAGCTGAATTTGAATATATAGCATGCAATTACAATTTATATATAATTTATTTAAATTATACTTTTTTAGGTCAACTTTATCATAAATCACATTGTGTCCACCTATTAAATAATGTTGAATTTGTATTGTTGACAATTTATACTTTGTTTACATAGGCGCGTATAGTTTTTAATTTTGCATGCCCTGGGAATGAATTCACAACACCAATGCCAAGACGTCTTGAACTGGGAGAGTTCGCCTCCTTAAAAATAGTATAAAAGAATTTTCCCAGTCCTTTATAACTTCATGTGTAGTGCATAATAAAACTTGATACGTTTATGCGTTTTGTTCCGTTTGTTCGAAGAGAGGTTTGTGATCGGCCGATAGGTCACTGGTGGCAGAGACATTACCGGGTGTTGGTCCTGAGCAACACTTACAGCAGAATTCCCCACACTACCAAACCGCTACACCATTTCATCACCAAAATAAAAAAAGCACCACAAAAGACGCCGCCATCGTTTGTTGGTAACGGAGAAACATGACGGACCTAGTTTAAATCTGATTGAATCCAAGTCGGGAGATTGTCTAGCGTCGATATTTGGATTTTGTTGTCTTAATCAAATGCTAATTAATCAATTGAGCCGTGAACAATTCAATATCTTAAAAATATATAAATGGAGCATCGGACCTTCAAGTTTATCATTGGTTTTACGGTTGCCTAAGTCAATGTCAGACGCTGTTTGATGCCCTTTAAAAATAATGAAATGAAATGGGGTTTAACGTCCCATTGTTCTGCCCCGACTGGGTTAATGAAAACGCTTAAAAATAATGGAAATATAAAGAACATAATGAAACATTCTAAACAAAATTAATGTCCAGCGCAAAACAGTATTGGTTTTATTTTAAAGGTTAAAATGGGATGCGGAGACATTGTCCAAAACGTTTTCGACACCTTCGCTCGGCGTCAACCAAAACACCGTCAAAATTGCCATCCCCACCCTAACACCACAGTTCAAAATATTGTGGATACGCGCTTACGGATGTAGTTATATTTAAGTCATAGTGACAAGTAAGAAATAAATGAACCTTGACAGTGTGTCAAGTTAATAAATTGTAAATGCAAATAGATAAAGTAATGCATGTAAAGCTATACACGTATACATTGTATATAATATATTTTCTTTCTGGTTGAATACAATTAATGGAAATGGCTAAATATGTCTCGCATAGTCTATATCTTATCATGTTATAAGGGGTTGGGTGTAATTCGTCCCGCATTCGATCGTACTGTCTGTAATCGGCTCAGTTCCAGAAGTCAACCATACATAATACACAAACATTGTAAGTAATATAAGTACTAAAGGCAATGACAACATTTCAACCATAGAAAATAAATGCATGGCGTATGGCCGTCCCCATTAGCTCAGTCGGTAGACACAAAACGCTTGCATTATTAATACAACAGTGTTGAGTGTAATAAAGAAATGTTGAAAGTTAATTTAAATTTAAACACCAGTGTAGGATGAGGTCGTTTTTCTTATAATTTGTTTAAAAATTCCAAACATTATTGAACTATGCAGATTTTCAAGATGAAGTATTACATAACTTTATTTCTACTACATACGTATATGAATTTTTTGATTTCCTATGTGTATTTTGAAAAAAAGAAAAAAAGATTCTAGTTTTCATATTCAATTTGTATTTTTTATATCTTTAATTTTTATTCTATTTTTATTTTAAATTTTATATTAAAAGATAAAAAAAAGGAAATAAAATATTTAAAATGGAAATTAGAATAAAATATTTAATTAAAAATAAAAAAAAAAATAGAAATAAAAATAAGTAATAAAATATTACAAAGTTAAAAATAATTCTACAAAACCGAAACCCAAACATAGAAATGAGCAAATATTTTTTTAAAACTTTAGAAATAGGAATGAAAATACGAAATAAAAAAATAAAAAATAGCTTGTATTTGTTTGTATTTGAACTTCCGTACCCAACACTTACAATTTCTGATGGCCAGAAATAAAATATTACAAAGTTAAAATCCATTCTACAAAATCCATATTCAAAAAATCCCCCCTCCCCCCACCCCCCCCAAAAATGATGAAAAGTGAATATCATAATAGTTTCAGTCAAATTACTTGATTTTGGGCGACGTTATGGCTCATTTGGGGAGTAGCGGAGTCTCGGTTGTCATTGCTCGATTATTCATTTTTCAATTAAATCATTAACCGCCAATCGTGTTAAATACGTTGAAAATATTGAGCATCCCATGCCATCGAGTTAATTATATAACATTTAAGGCCGACAGAAAGATCTGCATTGGCAGACGATAGTCATTAGATGGTGCCATGGCAGAATACTAAGTCACACAAGCGCGCTCGATGACTCTACCCCCGTTTTGCGAGCTAGTCCATACAAGCTCAAAAAGGCCCTGCCTCGTGCGGTGTAACAGGATAGCAAATTCATCACTAAATCCGTGACTACTGACATTGAAACATATAGGTAACGATGTAAATTTTGCCCCAAGTATTCATTTTGGATAACCTACTGTAGAGACAAGGCTGCTGTGTGATCTTAAATTCTACATTTGTCTGACTATCTCCACATTCATATATTAAGTCAGATGTAACATGCCTTGAACCATGGACCGAATATAGATGGACAGGGAACGAGTGCGTCCATTTGGTCCGGTTCTCTGCCGCTCACGCCAGACACGACCAGATCTCAAATGCACACGGTGAACAAAGCGAATTTGCGGTATTCTCATTGTTACACGGTAATGTTTTACCTCGATAAGTATATATATATCCGTTAGTAACGAATTTTTCCAGTTAAGAACTTTGACAATTTAAAATGTAACAGTTGAAGATTGTGAAATGATAGCTTTTTTTATTTTAGGAGTTTTTGTAAGTATTTTGATTTTGCTTAATAATCCAAATTCTCGTAGGTATGAAAGATTTTAAAATTTATGAAAACGAGGTTCAGGTATATTAATATCCGGAATTATGACTAATTGTGCAGAAGTAAAAATTAAAAGTGTGTTTTATTACCTTTGTATTTAACGAAAACCCGGCGTATTTTTTCTCAGATCCATATGGGCGTGTCCGAAGTCCGAAGTATACAAAGACGTTGTACCATAGACAATCATCAGTGGTCTATCTATGCATTGGTTTGAAAAAAAATAGCAAGAACTTATCTCAATAACAATATTATGAATTGATTTATGTTTCTTTGCGTATGAACTTCCTACCGGTATTTGCACCATGGGCTTTGTAATGCTTAATAAGAAATCTAAACACATTAAAATTGCAGTATACAGAGCAGCCCTACCCTTTAACTAATAAATATGAGAGGTCTAGATTTAAATTTATTTTTTGAAAGAAAATATGATGTTTACCTATTATTGTTGAACTAATCATATTAACGTAGGCGTTACAGGGTTTAGTGTTAGATTATGTGGTAATTGCGCAGCTCTATTCTAAAATACATTCTGACAGAATTATCCAGTTATATTAACAAAAATACGAGAGTAGGATCTCGAACTGACCAAATGTCCCTTTAAAGCACGTACGTCCATGTTTACGGAAGACACATATATATACAGAGTCATACAGCTACATAATACTTTAATAAAACGTTAAATTGTGTCATGGCATTTAGTAATTAAAGTGGGGATACACAGGTCAAAATTCTATGGAATAGAGTTCTTGGTTATTACTGAGGGACGTTTTGACTAGAATTCTTATATTAGAGGGCCGTGTCTTGTTGGTCAGTATTAACCAAGTATTGCTTTACATGAATACATTGGATCGTAAAATAATTTTATATTTCACCAAAGACTAGAGAAGTCTGGTCAAAACGTCGATCAGTGAAAAGGAGTAATTGTATCCAATAGAATTGTGACCTATGCATAATAAAATGGTGTCATCATTTGAACAATAGTTGAATAGTTTCGCGAACCACCATTATATATCTTTTTACATACTAAAATATACACACTTTCAACATTTAAGAAGATCGCTTGGCTAATATATTTCCTTGTACTTTTAGCATCCGCTAAGGCTGAAAACAGTCATGGGAATCGGTCCGAAAGACATGATAACAACCTAATCTCCAGTGATCAAGACGAGAGGTTAAATTGCCAATAATCCAAAGTCAGAACATAACGACAGTCTTATAAAAAACAATGACTACTGACTCGCGGTTCAGTATCGGTTGATTGTCGTAAGTCTTTATAAAATATAACCGAGCTTATGTAGGTCCCGTCGTTCAATTGTCCTCCCATGGGTAGATGACCACATCTTACATATCCACCATGTTTTTCTATTGATAGGATCCCTTCTTTGTTATTGCTAAAACAGTCCAGGTAGATTGCAACGAATCCTAGGTCTGTTGCGAACGTCTCTACAGTCTGCAGACAAAAACGCCCGATCCCCTTTCTCCGTTCCGATTTATCCACGATGCATAACGAGTCGGCTACTTTTGTTCCACGGAAAAAACTGCTACGAATAATTATGAATCCAGCCATCAATTTATCTGAAGCTTTTTGAGTTACAGCAAATGGGAATCCTGCTTTGATTTCCCGCCTGAATACATTCTCACTGGAATATTCATTAATCCCGAATCCCATTCCGTTCTCGGCAGCTTCGTGGATCATCGCATATGTTTCTGATATCTGACCATCCGTCATGACGTCAATGACTACTTCCTCGCCATCGGGAAGTGTCGTAACGAGTGGAAATCGAACAGCTTGTTTTAATATCCCGTTGTTCGATGATTGGTAATCAACTAAAAAGATACCAAAAAAAAAAAAATAATAGCCTAATATAACATTAACAATATGCCAATGGTTATACCAGAAACTGCTATTAAACACTTTTAAATTTGATATTATAGTTACAGTTGGGAAAACGTATTTCAGAAGAAATTGTTTATGGTGTGGTGACCTGTGTCGCATTCACAACATTGTATAAGAACGAACATAATTACTGAAACAATTTTAGAAAAATTTGTATGGAATGAAATGCAGTTTTGTTGTAACTGTAATGAGACAGCTGGAAGTTTTGAAGACAGCCAGATCAACACAAGAAAATTGAAATAAATATCGACAATCTAAATGTTGGCAATTGTTCTGGAAAAATTGCCAGAAACCATGATTTGTTTCATATTTTTACAAATCGAAGTCACATCCTACAGAGATCTTCATTGACTTGATTTCCACATCTAACTAGACACTACAAATTGTCGACGAAGCAGTTGTAGACTAGGTTGCTATATAGCGTGTGTATTGGCTAGAACCCAATCGAATACTCTGTTTTGACCTACAGCAAAGAAATTCGGTTTCTTAAAAATGTTTAGAAATCTACTTACCATTTTGTATACCAAGACGTTTGGTTGAAATTGATCTAGGAATATTTTTACTAAACTTCTGTAGAATTGGCATTTGCGGTATCCTTGGAAACGATAATACGCCTGGTTTTAGTGTCTTGGGCCACATTTTGCAAAGAACTTGACCTAAAAATTTCATCCTGATACGTCTTAATAATGCCAAAGCTAGATTATATTTTAAATTCTGAAAAATAAAGCGTACACCAATATTTTCTATGGTATAGAATATTTAGTTTATTTATAAATTCTAATAAAATAGTTTATTCCGTCATAACAAAAATCCAATAATCTATGGAATTAACTCTTAACGAGCGTTAAATATATACGAGTAGGTGTTGCCTTGTCTAAAAACCATGAACCATATAATGGCCCACGTTATAATGCGTTACACTAGAGTGTTTTGACGGTATATTCAATAAATTCTAATAAAATAGTTTATTCCGTCATAACAAAAATCCAATAATCTATGGAATTAACTCTTAACGAGCGTTAAATATATACGAGTAGGTGTTGCCTTGTCGAAAAACCACGAACCATATAATGACTCACGGTTGTGGTTATAATGCGTTACACTAGAGTGTTTTGACGGTATATATTCAGTGGATGAAGGAATGTATAATATTGGCAGTACCAAATGTAGTTACATGACCATATACGGTGTGTAGGTTGTCGTTCTTTGAACAAGTGCCCATAACGATTGTCGTATTGTGATTTGAAGACCCGTTTGCCTTGCATGCGTTTTCGCGTTTCCGACGGCGAAAACGTCGGTCTAATCCAAATGTAATGCGACCATTTCCACGTAATCGATGAAAACAGGCCCGTGAACGTGATTAAGGGCAATAAACCATAATGTCATTATCAGCAAACCAAGTGGTCACTGGGTCTCAGAGGATTCACATCGAAATTAGCGGAGGCTGTTAGATTTGTTTGTTAGCTCTTACTGGTAATAAGTAATTGCAGCTTTATAGGTATTGTAAATTCGATTTCTCAAGAGTTGTATATTAAGAATTACTGATTCTATCACTGGGAGACATACACGATGTCCTTGTTGCGATAATATGGTTAAATTTGTTTGTAATATAAAATCATGCCTACTTGTTCATCCCATGTCAAATTTCTTCTACAAACTTTTCTCAGTTCACAGATTTAAACCGAATATCTTGTATTCTCAGTTCTCTACCACATACATAGGCCTATAACGTTAAGAAGTGAAGAATTTTTTTATCGCCAATGAACAAAAATGGTCTCAAATGGAGGCTTCCATTCAATGAAAGGGGTGATAGGATGTATCAGCATAATTCACGGAAGACATTGCACTGTTTTAATATAAAATCTACCTTCGTAGGTAATAAAGTAGATCTAAGCGCTTACATTCGTAATTTTACATCCAAGCAGTGGATTTAAAAGGGATTTTGATGGTTCGGACAACAACACCCAACTCACCACCACCATGCTTTTAAATTATCTATAACATTAACATTCTTCTAAGAAGTGTTTGTACCGTTCCGCTGGACTGATCTGACATTGCCGGTTCGAGCATATATTAATAAGCATTGAAGTTCATCGATGGACAACGAAAGTCCTTCAGGCGTACTGTTATTGGGCAAATACTGACTACATGGTGTATGTTGATTTTTATACACTCTGTCAACCAGAGAGAGAGAGAGAGAGAGAGAGAGAGAGAGAGAGAGATAGATAGAGAAGGAAATGGGGTTTAACGTCCTCCCGGCACAAACTAGGTCATGTCTGGACTAACATAATATGGTTAAATTTTATTTCTATAATTCGCTTGCGCGTAGGGGTCTTTATCAGTGGGAGGAAACCCGAGGACCCGGAGAAAACCCTAGAGGTTAGAGGCGATCCTACTCCTTGTCACGTACAACCGGGGAATCGAACCCATCGCCAGTTGACTCTATAACAGACCTTATGATATAGCGCGCACACTCTAACCATATGGCCATCCACCCCGGACTCATTAAAACGGGTATACAGATTCCATACTCGATATCATATGGATTGCCTTATAATTCCCTTTTCAGTAACGACGAATGCCACCGCAAACTTACGAAAGTTGCTGCGTTGACACTGCAATGAAAATATTAAAGATGGTCGTCATGAGGCATTTTCTGGTTATTTACTTTAATTTAGTGGGGTAAAATTCGGACCTCGATATGGAGGTGGTTTCCATCAGAATTTGACCAGCTGAATCCAACGAACTTGGGTATTCCTCCTAAAAAAGATGGCTAATTCCACTAGCGGGCCAAATTCAAAATGGAGGCTCATTTTGGGGGGAAACTCATAAAATCCCCCAAAAAGCTGTGCAATATATTAAACTATAGGTTTTCGGTGTCATTTATTTCCGATATAAACATAAAAAAATGTTCCGACCACAAAGTATTCCAGGTTAAGTTCATATTCAAAATGGTGGCCATATTTGGCAAGACATAACGATATTAGTAATGTTTTAAACTATAGATTTTCGGGTTCGCCGAATTCATATCTGAATGGCGAAATGTGCCATGACCGAGCGAAACGCCAATATGGTTCCCTAATTCAACAAAATAACTAAGTTTATTAGACCATGGAAAAAAATAGAATCGGTGATGTAAAAACTTGTGCACCACAGGACTAAGAGCACAAATTAAAGGGTCATACGAACAGAAGCAACGGAGAGCGAATTGTAAAGCATAAATTTTGATCCACTATGACCCCCGGCCGTGTCACCTTCTCTACTAGAAAACAGAGAGGAATAAGGGATGGAAAATGTTTGTTAGGGTGATACAAAACCCCAGTTTTACCGGCGCGTATGAATGACCAAATAACTGGCAAGAACAGTGTCATCCCCGTTGCATGAGATGGAATAGGAAGAATCAGACTGTTCTACCGATTGCGAGTATTCAAGTGATTCAGTACAGGTTGAGTGAGAAAAATACCTGAGGTTGCACAAGACAAATATGTGAGCCCCAGTTAGCTATTAGAAACATTTGCTTTCAACTCACAATGGTCCGATAGTTGATTGTGTTTGACCGTGTTGGGCCATTATTTGTGTCATTTTCATGTGGACGTATATTGTCGTCAACCCTTTCCGTCCGGACGTCCGTCCGTCCACAATTTGTTTGTGGACACTCTACGGGTCACAATTCTTATTCGATTTTGACGAAACTTGAAATATAGGTTTATCTCCAAAAGATCTCGGTTCCTTTCGATATTGGCATGTATCGGACCGAAACGTCAGGGAGTATGTCCCTTGATTGTACGTAAAACCGCGTGTTTAGCTTGTGAACACTCTGGAGGTCACAAGTTTAATCTGATTTTGATGAAACTTGAAATGCATGTTTATAACCCCAAGATCTTGGTTCCTTTCAATATTCGCGCATATTGGATAGTAACTTCCTGAATTATGGCCCTTGATTGCACGAAAAATCGCGTTTTTAGCGTGTGGTCCCTCTAGAGCTAACAATTTTTATCCGGTTTAAAAGAAAAACGTTTGAATATATCACCGTTAAACTGTAATGATGGCCGAGTCCGAATTTAGTGAAAATCGGACCAAAACTGCCAGACAAAATGGCCGCCATTCGTACGCAAATAGTGTAAATATATGTTATATCAAGGTTGTGGCCCCCCAAGAGGTCACACTTTTGATCCGATTTTGATGAAATTTGCTGTATGGTCGTAAATTCTACACTTTGTTTCGCTATCTTCACATATGTAATGTATAATTTTGTAAATCAGACGTTACTTATACAGAACCGCACTGATCAGCAGTGAATATTCGCTAGGCCGCTACAGTCACTGATGAGGATGACATCGATGCGACTTAATGAGCCCAAAATATTAACCTTTTTCCTCCAACAAATTAAATTCTAAAACATTGTTTTTATGTATTAGAAAAATAAAAAAAGAAGTTTGAAGTATTCGTAGGTAAAATCTATTTCCTATTTAATGGGTATTAAAATGAGTAAAAGGCAGCATTCTGCCCAATTTAGCAACGTCTTATGTAAACAATCCACGCGCCATTGAGCCAATTATTGACGTCGCTTGATGTGACGTCACGTGTTGAAGGCAGAGATATTAGAAGACTTTCGTAATCATCTGTGAAACAGATTGGTACAGAACTACGCATATTAACGAAAGCGTTACACGGTTATCATTAGAGTTACATCGTAATTCCGCTTTATTCTCTGACAGAATTGACCAGTATTTTTTTTTACTAATATTATATATCTCGAACTGTCCTTGTAAATCAGTTTGAATCACGTACGTTCATGTTTACGGAAGACAAATACATAAAAAGAGTCATCGCAGCTACAAAATACTCTAATAAAAAGAGTTAATACAGCTACACAATACTTTAATAAAAAGAGTGAATACAGCTACACAATACTTTAATCTATACTAATATTTGTGACTGTCGTTTGTCTGTCTGTTTGTCTGTTCGGGGTTGGAGGCTACACTAGGTCTGCTCCGAGTCTGAAATTTACTGTTTATTACTGTGGGATATTTTAACTAGGATTCTCTGGTCGGTCAGCAGTAAACCAAGTATTGCTTTACATGTATTATAAAGTTTATATTTTATAATAGCTTGAGAAGCCTACTGGAAACGTCGGTCAGTAATAACCAGTAACTGTATTCCATAGAATTGTGACCTGTGTATAATAAAATTTGTCATCAGTTGAACAATAGTTCGCTCGCCAACTTTATATTTCTTTTTATATACTAAAATATATACACTTTCGCCCTTTAAGAAGTTCGTCTAGCTAATATATTTTCTTGTTTTAAGCATGCTCCCAAACTGAAAACATTCATGGCGATTTGTCCGATAGCCATAATAGTCTAAACTGTTCAGATACCATAATCAGGAGCTAAAAAAAATATGACCCAATCGTCCCTGATAAAGAGTTTTAAAAAAGATCACGAATCGTTCAGTGTCAGGGTTTAAAAAAATATAAAAAAGCACCCCAGTGATCAAAACAGGAGTTTCAATTGCATAAAATCCAAAGTAGGAACAAACGATCATTAACGGAACATTGGTATTTTTAATTTTGTAGGCAGTCTTCTAGCATACAATGACAACTGACTCGTGGTTCAGTATTGATTGAATGTCGTAAATCTTTATAAAATATAATTGAGCTTATGTAGATCCCGTCGGTCATTTGCCCTCCTATGGGTAGATAACCACATCTTATATACCCGCCAATTCTGCCTAGTGATCGGAGCATTACTTTATTATTGCTATAACAGTCTGCAAATATTGCCACGAATCCTAGGTCTGCTGTTAATGTCTCCATAATCTGCAAACAAAAATTTCCGACCCCCTTTTCCCGTTCCGATTTATCCACGATGCATAACGCGTCGGCTACCTTTGTTCCACGACAAAAACTGCTACGAAAAATTATAATTCCAGCTATCAACTTATCTGAAGCCCTTTTCGTGACGGCAAATGGGAATGCTCTTTGGAATTCCTGTCTGAATATAATCTCACTGGAAAATTCATTTTCTACGAATCCCATTCCGTTCTTGCCAGCTTCCTGGATCTTGCCAGCTCAGGAACTCTGAGTGGAAATCGAACAACTTGTTGCAATATTTCTTTGTCTGAAGTCTGAAGATCAGCTAAAAAGATACCAGAAAACGTAATAAATTGCTTAATGAAAAACGGACATGCCAATGCTGGTTGATAACCCTAATGAGACAACTTGAAGACAGGGAGAACAACACAAGAATATTTAAATAAATATCGACAATCCAACTGATGCCAATAGATGATTGGAAAATCTGTCGGATCATGATGATTTTCCCATATTTTTACAAATCAAAGTCACATCCTGCAGACATGATGATTTTTTATGCGGCATTCTCAGGGATACAAATGAACTTAATTTCAACATCTCACTAGACACAACAAATGGTCGATGAAGCAGTTTGAGAAAAGGTCGCTAACTCTGTATTGACCTAAAGCAAATATATTCGGTTTCTTAAAAATGTTTAGAAAGCTACTTACCATTCTGTATACCAAGACTTTTGGTTGAAATAGATCTAAAGATACTTCTACTACATTTCTGTATAAGTGGAATTTGTGTCATCTGTTGAACTGACAAGTCTGGTTTTAGTGACCGGAACCATATTTTGCAAAAGACACGACCTAAAAATCTCATTCTGGTAGGTCTTAATAATGTCAAAACTAGATTCTACCTCAGATTCTGGAATAATCAAAAATGTGAACCAATATTTTCTCCTCATTAAAACCGACAACAAAGTATCGGACAGAAACGTTTGTGTGTTAGGGATTATGCCCGATTATATAACATAAATATTATATTAGTGCAGCAGCTAACTGCATAAAAACAAGTAAATCGTTCAAATATGGATACACGTATCAAAATGAACATGAATACTCCTTGAGGACTAATTCTTTGGTAAAAAAAACAAACTTTTAGCCATCGAAAATCTGAGATGGTGGTCATACTTCAAGTAAAGAAATATTATTGTTTGCCATAAAGTCACACAAAATTGATTTATTACATGAATACCCTAACTAAGTTCGATATTGAGCATTTTCAGCTCAGGCTAAGCAGAGCGATAAGCAATTTGATTAGTCGAGACTTTGGACTTTGACAACTCTAATTGAGTGAGAGTGTTGAGACTTCATTACCTTGACTTCGATGACAGCATTTTCTGCTTAGGCTAAGTCGAGACTTTGGAACACAATGACTCTCCAAATTAAGTTAGAAACTTCAAACTTGGTGTAGGTGTTTATTAGGTGAATACCTTGACAGTTTTTTTTCGTCATAACCAATATCCAAGGATCACTGGGATAAACTCTTAACGAGCGTTAAATAGAAGTAGGTGTTGTTAGTCACACATATTGTGGTTATAATGCGTTAGACATAAATGAAGGGATCTATAATATTGGTAGTATCAGATTCTAGTCATCCCACATCATTGTGGGAGCCACGGTGGCTAGGTGGTTAAGACACTGGCTCGCTAGCCTGGAGGTCGGGTGTTCGATCCCTGCATTGGCCGAGAAAGTTCATCATGACTTTCCGACGTGGTTTCCCCTTGTCATTGGCGCAGAACGGAGGGCCCGACAAGAACAGCTGTCTAGTCCTTCGGATGGGACGAAAAACCGAGGTCCCGTGTATATATTGGAATGCACGTAAAAGATAACCTGGCAGTTGGAATTCGATATAAAAGTAGGCGATAGTGCCGCTGCCCGGGCAAAATTTCCCTCATAGCACACTGCATGGCGTAGGCCCGTCTTCATTAGCCTAGTATAGGAGCAGAACAGTAGGATGTTAAACCCCATTTCATTTCCCACATCATTGTATAATATTTGGATTCGTCTACTAAATGCATTCAATTGGAAGGAAGCGTGGGGTGGGATGGACTGATCTGTGAACAAGAGCCCATGCAGATTGTCCCATCGTGACTTCTCACGGGTAAAGGTGGCCTAGGTAAATAATCCATAAAGTAAATATCAGAAACGCAAGTGGTCGCAGAGTTTGAGAAGATTCCTATCGAAATTAGAATTGTGTGTTGGAGCTTGCTGGTAAACCCATCCATTTTGAGATAACTTTCAATTTCTTAGATTTTGTTTAAGTATGAATATTACTTATTCTGACACTGTGTGACATATTACGATGACCTTGCTGCGATATGCTTAAATTTACGGTTACCTGTGAACTGTCTTTTACAAAATTTTCGCCGCTTCAAAGATTTAAATCAGTCAGTGCATTCGTAATACCTTCTATACTAAGTTCTCTCCCACACAAAAGGTTTGAAAATGAAGTACAAACAAATATGACTAATAATGTTTGCTTGCTCTCAAATGGAAGCGTCCATTCAATGAAAGGGATAATAGGGTGTATCTACATAACAAAATGTTAGATCTACCTTTCGTAGGTAATGAAGTAGATCAAAAGCGCTCACATTCGTAAATTGATAACTCAACAGTGGATTTAAAATGGGTTTTGGTTGGTCGGACTGCAACACCCACTTCACTCACCACAACCCCCTCCACTCCTCGCTTTAAATTATGAAAACACTAACATTCTTTTAAAAAGTGTTTGTACCGTTCCGGTGAACTGGTCTGACATAGCTCATTCAAGCGGACTTTAATACGTATTCTAGATCATCGATGTACAACGAACAGCATTCAGTTGTACTGTTGATGGACTGATACTACCTACATTATGTATGTTGATTTTTATACGCTCTATCAACCAGAGGGGTCTTTAGCAGTGGGATGAAACTGGACAACCCATGAGGTTAAACAGGAGACCATACTCCTTATCACACACCAGCGGGGAATCAAGACAGACCTTATAATCTAAATTTCACCCCTTAGACAACTAAGACTGGCATGTAACTGTGTTAATTTCACCTATTAAAGTTTCCCTCAATTTCTTTTTAAAAGATAAAATTTGTTTTTCGGAATTAAAGACCCGTGTAGTCTAGCTCTTACCCCACGTTTTATTATATTTCTAATCTTAAAATGGTTTATTAACAAAACAATTATTATATATAAATCTATACATAATCTTAAAATAGTTCTTTCACAAAACAATTATTATTATTTATATAATATACAATACCGTTAAAATTCAATATTACACCTTAATTGCTCTACTTGTTAGTTTCAATACACAGCCGTGATACCTACTGTATGCTGTTTGCTGGACCATACATTCCAAAGTTTATTGGTAATGACCAAGAAGGAACGACGAGAGCATCAACGTCGAAGCGCTCCTTGTAGATTAATCAGTAAGTGTACGTAGTCCATATACATGTGTAGTGTTATACCTATCAATTGCTAAAATGCCACTTAAAGTAACGGTGAGAGATATATTTTGTCGGAAAATATAATTTTCGAACATCCTAATCCACGATAATATGTTTTCAGATTGATTGTTTAACATTTAGTGAAACTGATATATCAACGCTAGATAACCGCCCGACTTGGAATCAGTGCCCATCAATTACATTTCTAGTCTCTATCATGCAGATAAATATTCTACAAATATTAATCTGATGGGTTGACAACCTTTGAGAATAACTAGGTCATTGGCTAGATTATCCGGTCTTACATTACCATCAACAAAATTAATTTAATCGGGGTAACTAGCCCTAAAAAAGGATGTCTGTATGTGTATTTCTCAAGTAGACACTGACCTTGTGGAGGGAGAGAGAGAGAGAGAGAGAGAGAGAGTTTTAACGTCCACTCGGGGCTAACACATGGTTCAATTTTTATTTTAATAATTCGCTTGCGCGTAGGGGTCTTTAGCAGTGGGGGGAAACCGGAGGAACCGGAGAAAACCCACGAGGTTGGACAGGCAACCCTACTCCTTCTCACGTACAACTGAGGAATCGAATCCAAGCCAGTTAACTCTTTTTTTTTTAAACCATATTTTTATTCAGGTTGACTGAATGGGATTTGTATATACATATATATTATTAATACAAAAGGGTGTATATACATAGTTAAAATGGCAAACACATACATATAATATGGATATAATAAAATGGGTGAAAATGTACAGTATACATAGTAGTTAATAATTATACATATGCAAGCACAGTAAGAATCTTTTAATAATAATCAGCATTAGAGAGACTATACATACATGAAAGAGAAGATAAATTATTATTTGATCGAGATGAGATTAGAATCTGTTTGATATATCTATAAATTTATGGACCTGATTAAAAATATTAGAATTAACATCAAGACTGTAGGCTGTGGAGCCGAATAAAAGACAGTTTATATTTTTAAAATCATGTTGTAATTTGTCTATGGTTTCTATTCGTGCAATTGAATGTAAGGAACATCGCAGGAGGTAATGATCGGGATCTTCAAATATATGACCGCAGAGGCATGCGGGGCTGTCGGCAATATGTCGTAGGAATTTGTGACCCTGCAGGTCAGAGCATCGAAGTCGTAATTTACAATGGATTATTTGGGGGTTCCGCTGACCGTTATAATAAAACGAAGGAACTTTGATATCAAATTTCGATAGATGATCGGAGAAAAATTTTCAGGGATCTAGAATTCCTCGCTGGGGTACTGAGTTTATTCAACTCCCTTATACTGGATGGGATAAATGATTTAGCAAAAATTTCAGTACGACAGCGAGTTTCTTTTAATTTGTCTTCGTTACGAAGGGAATATTTGTTTGCAGGTTCTAGATTTATGAGATTCTTAAGATAAGGAGGGGTTAGGTTATTGATGATTTTGTAAAGTAGTTTTAATTTATGTCGATTTCGGCTTTCTTTGAGTGGAATAAACCCAGTTTCTGCGTAGAGGGAAGCATAGCTAGTACCCTTAACTGCCCCACAAATAGTGCGCAGTGCGTCAAGCTGAAGGTATTCAAGATTATTACATAAGTAGTCAGTGCACCCGTCTCAGATAACATCGGCATAATCAAGGTGTGGCAGAATGAAGGAAGAATATAGGGTGTGTAGCGATTTTCTATTTGGACGATATTTCAAGGAGCGAAGACTGTTTACTAATTTTGATACTTTGCTAATTATGCTATCAATGTGGCTGTTCCATTTACAATTGCTTTGAAAGATAAGTCCGAGGTGTTTATGTTCAGTTACTTCCTTTATTCCTATTGAGTTCATTAGAAGGGGTGGTTTTACAACACTGCGTTTAGTTGTGAAGGTCAAAGTTTCTGTCTTGAGGGGGTTAAATATCACTAGCCATGTTTCCGCCCATGAATTAATTGTTTCAAGATCTTTATTTAATGTAAGTGCGCATGCCTCTGGGTCGTCGATTTTCAGATACAGAGAGGTATCATCAGCAAAAAGTCGGATGTTCGATTGTATATTATTCACAATGCCGTTTATATATAATAAAATTAATAATGGTCTAATACGCTTCCATGTGGGACACCAGCGGGAATACCCCTGTGGTCCGAGGATATTCCGTTTATCACAACACATTGTTGTCGATTTTCAAGATAGTTCTTGAACCATAACAGCAGTCCTCCTCTGACCCCAGCAGCTTCCAGCTTATGACAGAGTCCGGCGTGCCAGACTCTGTCAAAAGCCTTGCTGATGGCACAAAACACGATCCTGGTATATTTGTTATGATCAATGGCTTGACAAAAGAAGTGATTTCGGGACTAACACATGGTTTAATTTTATTTCAATAATTCGCTTGCGCATAGGGGTTTTTAGCAGTGGGAGGAAACCGGAGGACCCGGAGAAAACCCACGAGGTTGGACAATCGACCCTACTCCTTGTCACGTACAACCGGGGATTCGAAACCACGCCAGTCGACTCAATGAAAGACTTTATGATACAGCCATCCAACCCCCCCCCCCACCCGGAAGAAAGCCACTTTGAAGTGCTGTTAGTATTGAATTGTCCTTGAAGAAGTTAAAGACGTGTTTATATATTATTTTCTCAAAATTTTTTATAATAATGCTCAAGAGTGAAATGGGTCTGTAATTGCAGCAGTCGGCTGGGTGTCCTTTAAAAAAATATCCATGACATTTGCAAATTTCCATAAGTTTGGGACAGCGTGTGTTTCTAGTGAAAAACGAAAAAGTTGGCACAAGGGATTACTAATTTCATTAACGATATATTTTAAGATTTTTGGACTTATTTCATCTGGACCTGAAGCTTTTGATGTATCTAGGCTATTTATTATGTCCTTAACTTCTCCAGGGGTTGGTACAATCGAGTCTAAGCTATTATAATTAGTATTCATTTGGAGGAGTGGAAGAGTTTTGTTAGTACTTAACAGTTCAGTTTGTTGAATGAAATAATTATTAAGGGCATTGGCTTTATCGGTGGGCGTAAACATTGTATCATTTCCAACTGTTAGTGGTGGTAACAGACTTTATGTTACAGCGCGCACGCGCTAACCATTCGGCCATCCAACCCCGTCCTGGATGGAACATACGATGAACAGTCTCCTGCAAATAGGTTGAAGTCATATTTGACTCAGTTTGATATGTTACAGAGGGCACTTTAAATTCGCCAATAGCTTAGAGCTGGGGGTTTATGGGAAATAACTGAAGTCCTGGTGACGATTCTAATGCAGCGGTTCTATATGCCTGACATTGGTGTCGAATAAATGAAAAGCAAAAGCTGAAACAGCGTGGTTAGCTTAGCTCAGATTAGTTCAGCTCTGAACGTAGGTTTCATTACACTCGCCCTGTACGTTCAGGGACCGTGTTATTGAATCCTTGGCGAAAAAGTTTGGCTTCCCAGTCAATTTTACTGGGCAACTTTTTACTGCTAAACGGTCGCATGTCAGTGAACGCCTGACAAATGTAACTGAACATCTTAGTGAGAAAATAAGACCTTGCTTACCTCGCTAGAACCAATATGAGCGACAATGAAGATTTGGCCGTCTTCATTGAAAGGGTAAAGCACAAATTTACGATCTCGGGCATATAAGATGAAACGAAATTTAGGTAAGCCTGGGGGGGGGAAAAATTGGAATTTTTGAAAAAATTGGGATTTTTGAAAAAATTGGGATTTTTGAAAAAATTGGAATTTTTGAAAAAATTTGATTGTAAATTATTGTAATTGGGCTAGGCAAAGCAATAAATGATTGAAGATTCACAACCTTTCAAAGATTTCTATAACTCAGATCTACGTAGAAGTAACAAGCGAAGTATTACTGGTAATAACGTCCTGGTTAGACGGAGTAATACACACGCCATCAGCACAATCAGTATCATCTGTCGTACATCTCTTCTTTTTTCTATCTGCAATAGATATATAATACAGAGATAGATAGATAGATAAATAGATACATCGAAGAGATAAATAAAAACATAAAAAACTTTTAAACAATAACAAAATCATTCGTTGTGTCTGATCACCCTTGACGCTATTAACCAAAGATTGGTTGGGTGGCTGAATGGTTTGAGAATGTTTGTCATTGAGTCAAATGGCGTGGTTTCAATTTCCCAGCTTGTACGTGGGTTTTCTTCGGGTCCTCCGGTTTTCTCGAACTGCTAAAGAGCCTACCCGCTAACGAATTATTGAAATAATAGTTAGATATTCGAGCATTTATAATAGACAGGAAAGATTTACTTAGACAGCTTTCAAGTGCTGTACCCCTATAGTTTCCCCTTTCCAGTACAGGACCCTTTTTGTAGATGGGTGTTATGTAAAGAGTCTTGCGATACTGTTGGAAATATTCCTATGGATAAAACTAAGGATACAATTAGCATTTCATTTAGGATAAGATCGGGACCATTAGATTTATTTTTCTTGAGTTTTTTTTAAGGCTTCACGTACTTCTTGGGTCGTGCTTACCCCATTTAGTTTATTATGGTTTATTGTTGAATTACGCTGAAGATGTTTGATGCGGTTGTCGATATCTTGCATCAGAGTCATTTCTATTTTTACTTTCAATTTTCTTATCGTCGTAAAGTAGAGAATTAATTAGGTTCCGGTATTCTTTGGGGTTATTTGATTTCAAATCATTCAGTTTTGCTAAAATCGTACTTTTTAGCTTGGAGACTTTTGAATTTAATGAGTTGTTTTTTTTTAGCGTAATATACATGACGAAAATGAGCGTCGAATGTTATTTTTTATTGAAAGCGTCTTGTATATCTCAGTGATCAGAGAGATGTTTCAGGGGTGAAGTACTATAACAATTATGAAACACGTATAACTATTATATCTCCATAAGTGATCAGCATTGATATTAGCAATGATGATTATAGGGGATATATTCACATGGTTTTTTTTAAATCGGATAAAAATTGTGACCTGTACATGGACGGCAAGCTAAACACGTGATGTTTTGTATATTCAAGGGCCATAATTCTGGAAGTTACGATCCGATACGAGCGAATATCGAACGGAGCCAAGATTTTTGGGTTATAAACATGTATTTCAACTCTCATCAAAATCGGATCAAAATTATGACCTCTAGAGGGTCCACAAGCTTGATATACCAGATGCTATACACTATTTGCGTACGAGGGGCGGCCATTTTGTCTGGATTTTCACAAATTCGAACTCAATAAACATTACGGTGTAACAGTGATATATTCGGACGTATTTTTTTTAATCGGATAATAATTGTGACCTCTGGAGGGACCACAAGCTAAAAACATGATTTTCATACAATCAGGGGCCATAATTCAGGAAGTTACTATCCGATATGCCTGGATATCGACAGAAACCAAGATCTTTGGGTTATAAACATGCATTTCAAGTTTCATCAAAATCAGAAGAAAATTGTGATCTCTAGACGGTCCACAACATTGATACGCCATATTTTTACGCTGTTTGAGTACGAGGGGCGGCCATTTTGTCTGTCAGTTTTAGTCCAATTTTCACGAAATTTGAACTCAACCATCCTTAGGATGTAACAATGATATATTCAACGGGTTTTTATAAATCGGATAAAAATTATGACCGCTATAGGGTCCATAAGCTAAAAATGTGATTTTTCGTACAATTAGGGGCCATAATTCAGGAAGTTACATCGTGATATGCGTGAATATCGAAATGAACCGAGATCTTTGGGTTATAAACTTATATTGCAAGTTTCAGCAAAATCAGAAGAAAATTGTGACCTCTAGAGGGCCCACAACCTTGATATACCACGTTTTTACGCTATTTGAGAACGAGGGGCGGCCATTTTGTCTATCAGTTTTGGGCTGATTTTCACGAAATTCGAACTCAATCAGCCTTAGGATGTAAACCTGATATACTAAAACGGTTTTTTAAATCGGATAAAAATTATAGGGTCCACAAGCTAAAATCGCGATTTTTCGTACAATCAGGGACCATAATTCAGGAAGTTACGGTCCGATATGCGCGAATATCAAAAGGAACCGAGATCGTTGGGTTATAAACTTAAATTTAAAGTTTCAACAAAATCGGATAAAAATTGTGACCTCTAGTTATAGGGTCCACAAGCTAAAAATGCGATTTTTCGTGCAATCAGGGACCATAATCCACAAAGTTACGGTCCGATACATGCCAATATCGAAAGGATCCGTGATCTTATGGAGATAAACCTATATTTCAAGTTTAGTTGAAATCGGATGAAAATTGTGACCTGTAGAGTGTCCACAAACAATTGTCGACGGACGGACAGAGGTCCGGACAGACAGGGGCGACGACAATATACGTCCACATGAAAATGTGGGCGTATAAAAAAACAATAAATACAAACACGATATCACTTTTCATTTTAGTGTAAGTTGTTTTTAAAAAATGGTACTATTATGGACTAATTACCCTTGCACATGCCGATTTGTTGATCAGAAACATGTAATACTTACTTCTCATTTTGTAGATTAGGTAAGCCAGTACCAGTACTAAAATTATGACCACTGTTGTTATTACTACAAATGGAATTATCAAACCCAACGATGGTGTATGTTCCTTGGATGTTTGATTCCTAGTCTCATCACCTTTTACATCATCTGGCTCTGAATCTATATTCAAATATTAAAATATAGAAATATCATTTACTTTGAACACTTAACACAACACCGGATCTAGATTCTGTAAACGTCGATTCAGCTTGCTGGGCGATCAAATGGCGTGAGCAGGCTGGGGCTCCTTATTAATGCTTAATTATTTTCAAAACTTACAGACACGGTAACGCCAATTTCATTGTCAACGTTCCCTGGTGACACGTCGGTTTTAGATTAAGAGTTTTAACCAAGCTGATAGGTCATGTAAGATTTTGATAAAGAGCTGACCTTTTTCTACACTGTTTAAATAAAGATAATGCAAAATGAATATATTGAAAATTTTATTCAAATTACTTTTTTATGATCGAAGTTATCACTATTTTAAGTCTTAACAAGATGTGGCATAGATTGTTTATTATTCTAAAAGAGGCACTTGTTATTCGAGATTTAGTCTCAATTCGCCATTTTAAAATTAAATAATTAAATGACGACCTTCTTTTATCCCGTTTAAAATTAAATCATTCAATGGCGACGTTGTTTTTAACCGGTTTAAATCTCTGCCATCCGATCGTCTAGAGGGTTGATTATAGGCTTGTCATTTGAATAAATGTCTAAAAAATAGTTTATATAACAATTGAAGCGGAAATAAAGAGCTACAATAAGTCGATTTAGCTCTTACATAATGTATCTTTAGGTCATGAAAGGGATTCGAATGCTTACTGAACCTATCGGTCTAATGATGACGGGCATACTCAGTAATGTTTTTTGGGGCTTCCATGGGACGAAGATTAATAAAGAGGAAATAAAATGCTAGAGAGTGATTACTCACGAACACTGCTTCGTTAAAATGAATCATTCATGCTTTCTTAACTAATGAATGAATATAAGGCCTTAAAGAAGCTAAATCGCTATTCTTTGGCTCCTAGAAATGGAAACAAATGGGTCGCAACGCATATAATAATGTAGCCTAATATGTATGTATATATAAACTGATTTACATTCAATCTTTGCTGTTTTTACTGTTATTTCCAATCAGTTATGTTCGACGAAATACACAAAGAGTGCAAATTGAATGGTAGTCTTGGCAGTTATTCCAGTCTATCCTGATAATCTCCCCTGGTGGATATTTTTAGCCTCGTTCACCGGGTCGCTCATTACAAATGGCGCCCGAAAGCATTCTGCTAAGTTTAAAATTTTCATTGTGTCTTGTATGGCGCTAGTTTTTATTTAATCATAAATGAGTCTAAAGGCCCATATTAATGTAATATGAGTATATTATATAAAGTGATTTATATTCAATTTTAAAAAAAGGTAATTTCTAATCAATTACGCGAACTGTCTAAACCGAACGACAATCGTTTACGCCTAATTAGCCCATTTTATTCTCATTTTATCATTTGTCAATCAGCCATTACTATTTACTGCCGCATTGTAATTTAGGATATGTTTCTCCTTGTTCGTTGGTTTTGCGCCCGAAAATATATACCATATTTTAAAACGTTCACTGTGTCTTATATATTGGATACTAGGATCCAACATTTTCACGGCAACATAACACCATCAATATGGATTGACATGGACCAATATTGAATTCTAATTTGTGTTTTTAATTTCTAATATTATGGAAAACACTGAGTTAGAGACTTAGCTCCTTTAAATATTGAATACCAGAAACCCATCTTTTCACTGTAAGATAACAACATCAATGTTGATTTAAATTGACCAATAAGTCGTGTTTGCAATGTCGAAGACTGTGGGTGATACTGAGTTAAAGACTTGGCTACTTTAAGAGGCGAGTATCCTGTCATATCATATTCTCTTAAAATAAATATTCTCACCAAACTTTTGTGTTAAGATAACTTTACATTGACTCAGCTGGCCATCGCCATGAACGACTTTGCAGAAGTATGTTGCGTTGAAATCTTGCCTGGTAACACGACGTAGTGTAAGAGTTATCCACTCTTTCCCATCGATATCAGGTACACTTTTGCTGAATGAAAACTTTCCTTTAAAGTGAGAATATAGTTCAAACGTATCCATATACCAGAAACCAATATCATCAACCTATGATACGATATAATTATTACTAACTTTAAGTAAAGTCGATCCACTGACTACACTATTTGAAAGAGTGTGGCGTTTGAGCTCGTGGATGGAGCGTCGTGTCCTTTGAAATTCTTTAGAAGAGCCTGCCTTTGTTAAATTCCCTATTTATAGTGTTTTGTTAGCTATAAAACTATTTCCTCCCGATACCTACGGTATTTGTCTATCGATATTAATAGTGCCACATCTACAACAAAAGAAAACGCAATTGGGTTGTTGCATTTTCTCCATTTCAAGGAATTAACTATTCTGCGCCAACCGGGATAATGGAAACTGACATGTGCCATGGAGTGTGCTGTAAGGGCGATATTCGCACACTCTCAATCGAATTCCAAATGTCAAGGCGTTCACCAATTTTAGATTGCATTAATAAATTAATGTATAATGCACGTATTATATATGTATTGTTTTGTTTAATGAATGAAATGGGGTTTAACGTCCTACTGTTCTGCTCCGAATCGGGCTCGGACAGCGACACTACGGCCTACTCTTATATCGAATTCCAACTGTTAAGGGATCTTTTACGTGCACACCAGTGTGTACACGGGACCTCGGTTTTCGTCCCATCCGAACGACTAGACAGCTGTCGTGGTCAGACACTCTGTCCTGCATCCCTGACAAGGGAGAACCACCCGACCTACAGGCTAGCGAGCCAGCGTCTTACCCACTTAGCCACAGCGATCCCCTGTTTTGTTTAAAAGCCCCCCCCCCCCATCAAAAAAAATAAAAATAAAAAAAAATAAAATAAACAATCAAACAACCCAAACCATCGAAGAGAGTGAGAGTTTAGCAACAAATCAGTTATCAGTTTATATCAATATTCAAAATTGATCTCATAAATACTGAACACTCTAATAGATTTGAACATGATCCTATGATAATTATGACCTCTAGTGTTTTAACTATGTTTCAAAAAAATCAACTGTCGGAAATCGTTTGATATCAATAGCTACTTCCTCTGTTTTCTGACTGAACAGTGAACAATCCATATGAACATGACCTTATGACAACTGAGATCTCTAGAGTGTTAGCATGGTTTCAGTTGGAATAACGCCAGGAGTAGTTGTCGAATATTCTTCAAAATCAACGGACGTCTTCCTTTTAATGGACTAAATAACACAATCAAATATCAGAAAGATACCTACATATTTGCGTTGAATATTCGCATAACTCACCACTACGTTTGTTGTTTCCAACCAGAACATTACGGCTACTGCTCCATAAGGATATTCAAAACTCCACTTGAACACAGCAGCTTCCTTCTCTCTGGCTTCAATATGTTTAGACTCAGCTCTGCATTTTGGTCCTGTACGATATTTTAAATACAAAAGATGTTAGCCATGTGGATGTAGGAAAATGTATTGCTATTTGGAACATGCACCAATGTGTTCTTCACACTATCACAAAACATATGTCATATTCAAATTAAGGTTAGACTCACTTTAAATGTCTTATGTATTAAACTTGCAAGAGTTAGTTAGTACGCGTATATTTCAGCGTGTGCATTTGACAGATTTATCTTCAAATGATGCATTTAATCTAACTTACATGCACCTGTAACTTGAATTCTGGATACAGATCTAGCAACTTTTAAATCAGCTATTCGACATTGTAGCTTCGAAAAATGGTTTTGGCCGTTTTGGTTAAATGCATGTAATTATTTTATCACGAAGTCTTATCCTCCAAACAGTGATGATGGTATGCAATGTGTGCTTCGTCCCATTTCTATCTTAAGGGCCAAGTCCAAAGAAATTCTAGACGAGGTATTTGTCTCTGTAGTTGATTATCTTGATCCCTTACATGAATATGCGATTGTTAGAAATTACAATACCCCCAAGATAATGCAAAGATTGCAGATGTCATGTAATATGTGCTCCGTGCCATTACTATCGAATACACCCGTCAAACCGGCGTGGCCGTACGGCGACCAGAAAATGCACAAGGTTGCCGGCAAACGTGAACACAACGCGGGAAAATGTATCAAAAAATTACAAACTTAAAAAAAAAAACCCGTTCTCACAGCTTTCCAGGTCAGATCGTAGAACCTTGGCGTAAACGGCGTGACTCGGCGACGATTGAGACTACAGCACGATATCTGGCGTTTCAGCCACGCTTTTACCAGGCTTATGGCGATCTTGACCGTTTTCCGTCGCGGTAGCAGCGCAGTAAGGACGCCATCCGGGTCTAACGGGGGTATTACAGACCAAGTCCAAAGAAATTTCAGACGTGTCTCTGTAGTAGTTTATCTTCCTTAAGACGTCCCTCTAATAATATGTATACTTACTGTGAGACGTTAGTTCAATTCCTTGTTTATCGTCAAACGAGCCTTCACAGTAAACGTGACAAAAGTAGGTCAGATCAAAATCTTTGTAGATAGCACGTATTAATTTTATGCTGACTTTCCCACCATCGTTGGTGAAATTTTTACTGAAGTGAACGTCGGTTGACAGAGATGGATCTGGTTTGTACCCATTTCCAACTGTCCATACTCCAACATTTTCAGGCTACAAAGAAAATGTAAGCAATAGTTATATTCGTACTTTACAAGGTGTGCTTTGTGGAAATTTGACCCGGACAGCGGCACTACGACCTACTTTTATTTCGAATTCCAACTGTTAAAGAGTTCTTGTACGAGAACGGCAAGGTGTATACGGTACCTCGTTTTTTAGCACAATGTGAACGACCAGGCATGGTTCCGTGCTAAGCCGCCGCCCGGCACCACTGATAAGGGGTCACCACACCGGAAAATCCTTAGGAATGCTGGTTAGCAAACCAGCGTTTTACTCACTGAGCCACTACGGTTCCCCGCTACAATTGGTAAACCAGGTTATAATATTTATAGTATTTTCTAAATTTCTAAAACGAAAAATAGCTCAATTAATTTATAATTATAAAATGAACCTGATGATTTTTTCTAAAACTTTTTATACACTATTCAATGATGGAAGTAAGTCTAGATTGTTTTTGTCCATTGGGTCTTACCGAGCTTTCTTCGTCCTTCGTTCTATAAATGATGATCTTATGTATCCGTTTACTAGTTCTGTACGTCCATGTTAATTCAATATCTTGATTTAAAGTCTTTTTTATTGGGGCTTGAGTACTAGGTATCCATTCAAAGCCAGCATCACCTATTAACAAATTGTTTTCTTTTATAAGTAAGAATCTCGGATATAATTTTAAAAATGAATAAAACTGGTGAATTCTACGTGGAAGGTTTTTATAATTCTAGTTTCATGCCACAGCCAAAATAAATGATGCCAGCGTCCGGATATCAGACGAAGCTAGAGATGGGTTTCTTGGCTACCATTCACCTTGATCCTGGATAAACTCGCACATAAATAAAATGAAATGTGGTTTAAAGCATTATTGTTCTACTCAAACGGGGTTAATGAAGACGGGTATATGGTCAATCTGTTTCACAGAGATATTGCGAAAGCCATCTTATACCAATGTACCTATATGAAGTTTACATGCATTCTACAGGTGACGTCACCTCACGGCGTCCATATTGGCTCTAAGACACGTGCATTGTTTACAGAAGACGTTGTTGCGTTAACTGGTACGGGCAGAATGGTGCCTTTTACTCTTTATTTTAACCTATACTTCAAACACCGTTATTTATTTTTCTAATACTTCAAAATAAATGTTAGAGAATTGAATTTGCAGATGGAAAAAGTTAAGCTTCACGGATGTCACCCCTATCAGTGATTGTTGCGGCCTGGCGAATATTCACTGCTGATCAGTGTGGTATATCGTATGCAGTGGGCTATTATGGGAATTATTCCCGGACAGTGGCATTTATGTATACTCTTCGTCGAATTCCTACTGTCAAGGGTTCTTTCACGTGCACGCCAACGTGCACACGACACCTCGGCTTTTCGTCTCATCCCGTTCATAAATCAGCAGTGAAAACCATCCGTGTACATTCGATATATCTTAAAAGTATTTCAGCGATTAATAAAAGTTTTCAGGATATTACTGCGGGTTAATTACATCTTGGCAGTTTACAAACGGTCTCGAAAAGCGGTGTTACCAGATTACTCAGTTAAACCCGATTTCATTTCATTTCTATCTATAATTGGTAAACTTACCATTGACAATGAGCTTTATATCTTGGTGTACATTTAACAAGTCTAAGATACATCGGTAGATACCAGCATCTTCTACAGACACATTGGTTATGGTCAGGGATAGAGTTGCATTGCCTAATGTAAACTTCGTGTCGATATCATAACGGTGATGATGAGGCGGTAGCATTACCGAGTCTTTCATTAAATACGTCAAAACAGGATTCTTGAGTAAAGTAAAAATGAAGCTACTGTAAGTATTATTTAGGGACTATGATGCATTACGGGTGGACGGATAAAATGCATGGACTATAAACTAAAAAAACGTATCGCATCACCCGAAAGTTTATGCGCCGAAGAGAAATTTATTAAATACATAATATATTCAAAAGTGAATTGAAGATTTTGACGTATTCTGTTCTCCAAACATACCTGCCAGAGCAGCACGAAACAGAACTACGGCACGGGGAAGCCGTGAACATCGACAGACTAATGACGTAAAGGACCGTCAACATTCATATGATTGTTACCTCCAACTGGTAACAGTAAGAGGGAATCTTAAAAGCCAAGGCCAATCTTTATGTACGACAAAATGTGCGTGCCGATGTTTATTTTCTGCATCAGGAGACCGTTGCTACACTACGTGACCAGTCGGGAACTGAATCCAGTTGAGAATATCTGGGACATTCGCACAGAATGGTTCCCTAAAATTTAAAAGTGCAGATCGCGTTTGAAATCGCTGCTAAGCCTTCTGAAACACCGCAGAATGCAGAATTTTTCACTTTCCTAAGCACATCGAGAGGTTGATTGTCCGTTTGGATTATCATATCATAATTAGGGTCAACATCATTAAGTTATGTATCTTAACAAGGGTAAACATCATTATTGAAGTTTCGTGTGATGCCTTTTAAATAAGATATAAAATGGAACATACCCCGTCTTTGATAATAGTAAATTCATTGACAGTTTCATTTATTGTAAATGTCCAAACTAGGACAGCCTGTGAACCTTGCTCGGTTGACATATTTAGTAGGGTATTGGCAAGCTCGTCCTGTTTTAGTTTATCGCTAATTTGTACATTGCCAGCATCAACTACAGATAATGAATAATATTTTAAAAATCGAGAGAAAGAGCGAGAAATGGATGGGGAAGGAGATGTAGCGATGGTGTAGGGGATAACATGGTTGTTAGCTGTGGGAGAAACCCGTAGCACCTGTAGAAAATCCATGAAGATGATCAGGCGAACCTACAGTACTTGCACATGGGATCAAAACCAGACCAACTGACTCAATAACAGGATGTTTCAAAATGGGTGCTTTATATACTTTTGCATCTGTGGCCATTGTTCCTAAACACAGTAGCCTCTGTTTCTGTAATCCAGGTCCAAATCGTCGCTAGGGTTCGCTAGAAGTAGCTCCGGGAGACGTCATCTAGTCTTTCCACGATATCACTCAAGGTGGAAGCGGACGACGTAACATTCTGCGAACAAACGAACGTGATCTAGTCATGCAGAGGTACGCGAAAGCAGTGTGATAGGAATGCCTACTTTGGATGAAGTTATGCATCAAATTGCAACATCAAATCTTCTGATAGAATTCAAGCTTGTAGGTGTTCATCATCACGATGTCGTATGACGTCAATACAAAGTCCTGACCGGTGTCGATTCAAACCCGGTATAGTTCAAACAACGCATATGTTCGGATTTTGAGCATTTATTGTGGACAGTAACATTGTCATTTGAACTACCACCACGTGCAGTGATGTTGAATTAACGAGAACTAATTATGCAATGCTCGTCTACTAATAAACGCTCGAGAGGGAGTTTGGTGGGATGGGGTAGATCATCGTCCACAAGGAGTTATTATATGAGCTTGACATGACAGGTAAATTGCGAAAAAAGCTTTTCAAAATAATGGTATACCTGTTGATGACAGCAGAAGCGATATCATAAAAACAGACCATGGGCGTCGCCTTGTTGACCTTTGTTCGTTGTGATCTAGAAAGATGAAAGGGACAGCAAAATACAGTCCCTTCAATAATGTACCAATCAATGATGTTAAATGTGATGTTATTCGTAACAACCCACCATTCGCAGTCAGTCTGTTTTGAATTTTAGAGAAGCCTTTGTTCACCATGTCACTACCATCATCGTTAAGAGGGACGTTGGATGGATTAAGAATGTTAGAGCCATCTAATGTTCTGTGAGTGGGTATTTTCATCCACGTTTCATACATATTGTCCGGAGAAATGATTTGTTGAGCACTAAAAAACTCAAATGGTGATGGATTAATTAGTAATTCAGAATTGTCTTCCGTAGCAATCAAGGTCTCTTGGTATAAGGAAAAACTACATCTACAATCCATTTTATCCTGTAAAGTTACAAAATGTAAATTAATTAGAAAATTCTGCATCCGAAACATCTAAACAAGGTGTTTTTTTAAAACTATTTTGCAACTAACCGTTTTTCACGCGTTGTTCTAATCCTAATCAGTAAGTCTTCGATCCCTTTTCCCTACAGAACAAAAACGCATGACCCCGCTGAACTTGACTTTATGAGCATCAAGCTTTTCTATAGCCTGTGTCATAGGAATTAGAACGGCAGTCAATCTATGCAAAGCGCTAATTATAGTATGACAATGATGACCGGGTTTTATTTTCCGAAGACTAGACTACAAGAGAAGATATCAGTTTTTCGGCGGAGTATTCCATAACGTGTGACGCGCACTCCTGTCATGATGTGATCTACAGCCTTAAGCTAGCGAACAGTGACTATATTTTCGTTCGGAACCTGGGCGGGCCTTCGTACTGATTTAGCCAAGTCATAATATCTAATGGAAGCTCAAACAAACCACTAATTAATTGAATAGTTAATAAAATACTTTTGGGATGTAAATGTATTAGTACAAACACTATCTCGAAGTGTCTCTTAGCGGAAGTATTCCCACCCAACACAACTGAATTTCAGTAATAATTATAAAACAAAGAATATATAGCTACTGACAGACATTCCGTCGCCGTCAAACCAACGGGTTAGTTCTATTTGTAAATGCAGTTGTATAACGGGGATTCATTCATACTTTGATGGAATATATAGCTACTGACTGACAGTCAAACCAACGGGTTAGTTCTATTTGTAAATGCAGTTTTATAACGGGGATTCATTCATACTTTGATGGTGACTACTGAATTAAATTTCGAATGCTATGCAATCATCGAGGCGATGGGGAATTTTCGTGCGCATCCAAATCGTCGACAGCGAATACATCAGTATGAGGTCCGGACGGACAAGATGGGCCGCGCGCAACAATTAATCTTTCGTCTGCTTATATCCCATAACAGCATTATACCGGTTTGAATGCAGTGTGAACTTATTATGTATAACCGTGACTAAGTATTTGAATAGTATATAACTGTCAACGAGCCAAATTCATTGCAATGTGTATGGCAACTGTTCCATTTATAAACATGCCCAAATCTGCATAGTGATATACAGTTATAAAACTATAACTATAATGTACTTTTTACTTAGTAATAAACAAGTTTTGCCCATCCTCATTTTTGTTTGCACTGTATATCATGGGGCCCCATATATATAGTATGTTAGACTTAATCGGACACATTGGTCAGACACATAGGACGTACACAAGGACTCAGTTTGCCTCGCAATGATTTACAAGTGAAAGGAGATATCGTTGTGCGCATTTTAGTGCAGTCTTTGTTTATTATAAGCCTGAACCTGCCTGCCATATGTAATCGCATTTCACATTTTCGATGAATTCTTGAATATATCAGATGTCAATGTATCAATATTTTAAAACTTTATAAGGACCATTTTTAAAATAAAACAAATAAAATCGTCACTTACCATAAAGTTTGCGTACCAGCCTGTCAAAGTTATTTTTAAACTGGGGCGGATGGGCTGGTGGGGTGGGTAGGGCATGTTTGGGGCCGATGGAGAAAAATTTAATTTAGCAGATCATGTATGGCCGAGCGTACTAGTTGTCATTTTCAATCTAACCATTATAATAAAAGCCCAATAAACAATGACTCTTTGAAAAGGATGTGCACACCAGACAGACTATGCGTAGCCTTTCAGTTACTATTTATCTCATGTAACCGAATGGTTAGCACGCGCGCGCTTTATCATACGGTCTGTCATTGAGTCAACTGGCGGGGTTTCGATTCTCCGGTTGTACGTGACAAGGAGTAGGGTCGCCTGTCCAACCTCGTGGGTTTTCTCCGGGTCCTCCGGTTCCTCCCACTGCTAAAGACCCCTACGCGCAAGCGAATTATTGAAATAAAATTGAACCATGTGTTTGCCCCGAAATGACCTAGTTTGTGTCGAGTTGACGTTAAACCCCATTTCTCTCTCTCTCTCTCTCATGTAAGTCGACTTCCTGACTTTTACATGTATTTTATTGTAGTGTGATATAAATGTCATCTTGCACCCTTGTATATACCGTAAATTTTGACCTGGGCCCGGTTGCTCAGAACTAAGTTATTTTAACGATCCGTTAAACTCTAACGGATCGTTATCTTGGTAACTTGTCGTTTGTTAACGGTCCGTTAAATTTCTGTTGCTGGAAAGTCAATTTCATTATCCGTTAGCTAACGGATTCATTAAAGTTAATCCAAGAGAATACTGTTTGTTCATTGGCTGAATTTTAAATTCGATGTACATGTATAACAACTTCATAGAAGTTAGTATTAACAAGAAACTGAAGACAGTGAGACAACTGTGCAGTCTGTTCACAAAACTTGATTAAAGACAAAAACATAACTGTAGAATTTACTACAAAAAACACTATAAAAAAAACTATAGAATACTTTATTTTTTCCTTTAGAAATTTTAGCATAAATCTGTAGGAAAAATTATGGGATTTGCACTACAGAATTATGGGGCCATTCTTTCCTACAGGCCACCAAAATTCTGTAAAATAGTATAGAATTTCACCCTATAGAAAATGGAATTGGCCTGCATCGCCCAACCCTCTAGAATCTTCTATAGAAAATTACATAGGTAATCTATGACAGATAACGGAGCACAACACCTCCGTTAAATATAACGCCAAGTTAACATCACGTTAAAGTTAACGGGGCTTCCAGCAACAACCTTTCTCTCCGTTAAAGTTAATGATCCGTTAACGGATCGTTAAAAGATAACAGAGCTTTGAGCAACCGGCCCCTGATGTATAGCTCTGTTACTTGAAACCTTAAAATAGACGGAAGCACCTATTAATGTAATCGGAATGTTTACAATGTACGTGATTTACTCGTTTTTATTACTATTTTGTCCTTTGAAATCGCAATTACTAACTACTTCCACATTGTCTTGTTTTGCATATCGAATATTATGGAAAGTATTGTTTCTTGCGATCTGGTATTGAAGTCACAGATTTAAGCGCGGTTTGGGAATACCAACTACGCAATTAATAAGCCAAATATGTCTAGATGTTCAGTTAGTATGAAAAACGGAGTTTCCTTTATCACTTCTAGTACGGGTTCTTTACAACGTATGTATGGTGTTTTGTTAATACTTCCGACATTAAAGGCTCAGTGCGTCATTTAGTGCTATATGAATCCCTTGCAAACTTCAATATTTGTGAAAATTGAATCTCTAGCTAACAAGGTGGCGCCATCTTTTATTAGTAACGGAGAAACATAACGGGCCTAAATTAAATCTGATTGAATCCAACCCGCTAGATTCTCTAACGTTTGTTTCTGAATACATATTTAGCGTGTATTAAAGCGGAAATTGCAAATTCTCTAAGAAAGTCAAAACGTAATTATTTCTATGTCTTTTGCTCAATAGGTTGTCAACTCACAATTATACGATCATAGGTGTCATTCTCACACTTAAAACTCATTTACACAGGAAATAATAACACAATTACCTCCCAATTACCTCCCTTGTTTTCTATTCTCCACCATGGAGTGGCTTTTTTCAAACGTTTAAAAGTGAAGAGGAAAATGATATTTTTGCCAATTTCTCAGCTGGCAATAGTGAATTATAGGATTAATAGGATTATTCTTTAACAAGGTAGGACTGTTTATGGATACCATCTATTTTCAGACTTTATTTTAATAAATTGTAAAAATATAACTTAAAAATTTGCAATTTCCGCTTTAAGCGGACAACAGCTGGGTATTTTAACAAAGATACAAATGAAGCATCGAACCTTTAAATTCATCATTGCTTTTATGGTTGCCCAAGTCGCGGTATTGTGACCTTCAAATATAATGAAATGAAATTGGGTTTAACTGTTCTGCTGTGACTGGTGTATTGAAGACGGTTAAAAATAATGGCATATACATAAACAAAAATAATGCAACCTTTAAAGAAAACCCTCAACGTCAATCATCCGGTCTGTATTCGATTCAGTTCCCAATGTTTGTGGTATAAGTGCATGGGAACAAAACAGAAAGCCAGTAGTCAAACCCACGCACAAGACACACCACACACACAATGCACAGATATTGTAAGTAATAGTAGTAACGGCAGTGGCAAAATTTCCCTCTTAGAAAGTTTGCATGGCGTATGGGTGTTTTTATTAACCCAGTTGGAGCAGCAAAGTGGGACGTTAAACCCCATTTCATTTTATTTCAACAAATCAAGTGAATGGATTGGTCGGTAGATTACAGACGTACTAGGTAGACACAAATTGCATGCATTGATAGAACAGTGTTGAGTGTAGATTAATAAAGAAAAACAATACTACAAGTTAATTTAAATTTAAAGAAGTGGCTAGGGGTCGTTTTTCTAATAATTATTGGTTTAAAAATTCAATAAATTATTGAAATGTGCAGATTTGCAAGATGACGCATTACAATTCTTTATTTCTATACTACATATATTTATGTATTTTTTGATATCCTATTTGTATTTTGAAAAAGAATTCTAGTTTCTATTTGTATTTACTGTTTTTATTTCTATTTTTAATTAACTATTTTATTCTAATTTCTATTCTTAATATACCAATTCCAATTTTTATGTCATTTTTTAATTTATTTTTTAATTTCTACAATAAACGAAATAAAAAATAAATAAAATTAGAAATACAAATTGGAATTGGGATATTAGAAATATAAATTAGAACAACATATTTATTTAAAAATAGAAATAAAAACAGTAAACAAATTATCACCATGTAAAAAATCATTCTACAAAATCCAAAATAGAAATTAGAAATTAATTTTAAGATTTTAAATTAGAAATAAAAATAGGAAATAACAAAGAAAGAATATTTCTTATTTAAGCTTCCGTACCCAACACTATTTCTGGATGTCATCTGAAAACGAATTGATTTATTGCATACAATTGTCACTTCCCTACAGGCTCCTTCTGGATAAACAAGTATCATAAATATTATATTGCGGAAATCACAATCTTAAACATATGGACACCAGGAGAAAGCCTCACTCCATACAATTTGGACTGAAATCGCCGCTTTTATAGCATTCGTTCATTTCAAATTAATAGGTTAATATATTGCCAATGATAAAAGCATCATACCATGTGGTCATCTAAATCAAAGAACCCTACTAAGCAGCAAAAGAAAAGTCAGGCTGGTGTGTTACTCTGAATAGACGCATTACATAAAACGTGCCAAATGTTTTCATTGTATATTTGTGACCACATCTCTAACTTTAAATGAGCAAAAAGGCTCATTCCCAAACACAGAATTTAACACAGGAGATGTTCTCATAAATGCAACCTGACTTCTGAGTGGCAATGTGTTCTCCATGATTTTCATGTAACTCATGCTGCACGTGTTGTTCACCGGGACCAGCCCTATAAAATGCCCCCCCCCCCCGCATACGTAGTTGAATCACTCACACTACAACGTCAGCAGGATGCCACGACTCACGACACAGCTCAGAGGAACCAATCACTTTCAGGGCAATGTGCGGACTTCAGCAATGCCTTCGGGCCACCAACACCACAGATGATCGCCCCCGAACTGGTAGACCAAGAGTTACCACAAAGCGACAAGACCGGCATGTTGTGCGACAGCACGTGCAGAATCCCTTCACACAGGCATCTGAAATAGCACGTCAGACAGTGGGAACACACGGAAGACCCATCAGTACTGATACAGTGCGCCGATGTCTCAGCAGAGAGAACATCCATTGCCATAGACTTTTCCGTGGACCGATCCTCACCCCTCGCCATCGACGCGAAGTTCTACAGTTTGCCCAACAACACCAGAACTGGCGACACAGGCAATGGCGAACTATTGCTTATCAACTGCAAATGGGCATGAGCAGAATATGGCGTCAACTTAGCCATCGTTATTTTGACCAATGTGTCATGGAACACGACTCATGGGGAGGTCCAAGCATAATGGTTTGGGGTGGAATCGGCCTGAACCAGAGAGTGGGTCCTGTGGTGTTCCAAAATCTTGGTCCAGGGAGGGGAGGCGGTATCACAGCAGTGCGCTACATCGATCAAACTCTCAGACCCCACGTCATACCACATTTCGCACGTCATCGAAACAATGTTTTCCATCACGACAACGCCCGTGCCCACACCGCGAGAGATACTCGGGACTTTCCACAACAGAACGGTGTCAACGTTATGCACTGGTAAGCCCTTATTTTGGACTTAAACCAGATTGAACATCTTAGGGATGAAATTCAGAGGAGACTTAATAACGTCGTACCGAGACGACACATTGTCCATGGATTGGGCCGGGCTTTTCTGAGAGTGTTGTTCCAGTTGGCAATGGCGTTTATCAATCGTATGGTCCACTCAATGTACAAACGCTGCGCTGCTGTTATTGACCCTTACGGTGGGCACACCAGATACTGATGTATAGACTGTGTACAGACTCTAAACCTTCTCGTAATGTTTTGGAATTGTCATGATTTAATCACTAATGTGTCAACATACG